GAGGGGACACTTTTTGTCGACGAATGGCCCGTTTACAGCGTCACTCACTCACTCACTCACTCATCGCGGTTCCGCGGCGTTTTACAACGAATGCCGGTGTTTTGCCGGCGCGCGGCTCGGAAAGAAACGTTCCCGAATGCATCGTAATCGTTTTTATCGCGCATTTCCGCGGTAAGTGCGGCGCGGCCGATCGCCGCGGCGAAAGCCTCGAAGAGCATAAACCTGCGCGCGCGCGCGAACGATCCGGAGTAAATCGCGTTTCGATCGCGCGCCGGGGAATAAGATATCTGTTTCGTGTACGTACAAAGAAAATGACACTTTCTATGCATAGAAAAATGGACAGGATCTTATTTCCATTCCTCGGCGCCCCAGCTATCCGCGTCGCGCGGGCTGCGTTACCTGAGAAATTCAGTCACGCGCGCGCGCTGCGACGACTACGGCGCGACCTTAACCCTTTAACGACTATTGCTAACTATAGCTACCAGAAACGCATTTAAGAATCCGTAACTTAGTGAAAAAAGAAGATATTTTCGTTTTCATCGCACCACTGTAAAAGTGAATTCTTCTTCTAAAAAATGGTATATAGATTGTATGTAGATTCGGTTTAGCCTGTTTTTAGCTCAGTTTTAATGTTATATAATATGTTTTGTCAAATTCCAAGTAGGCATAGTTAGCTTTGTTACTGACATCTACAAGTGCACTATAAATGTATAGATTGGTATCTATTCGAATTTTATACATTTGGAAGCTTTCTCAGATGCAAAATGTGAAATTAAAAGAATACAGAAATTCGAAATGGCGAATCCAATATGGTGGACACGAAAATGAAGAAATCAACCTATTTCCGTGAAACCTGGTGACTTACAGTTTTTTATGCGGCGAAAAATGAAGGGACGATTGACTATCTAAATGGTGATCTATAAGATATTCTTCTGAAATAGTAAGCTTGACGTTCTGAATGATAAACTTCACTCACAAATATAGTAAAGTTTCAGCTCAAAAATGTCAAGCTGACTATCAGAGTCATGTCGTATAGATTACCCTTCATTTTTCTCCCTATAGGTTGCCCGTTTCGTATATACTTTTAGGATCCAAGTCATATTTACCAATAAACAAAAAGCGAGCGATAAAAAAACCAATATAAAATTCTGATATTTTTTTTGGTTATTACTACTTATAGTCTCAGTTTCAAAAAACTCAAGTTTTATTCTTAAAACACTTATAAAAAAATCGGGCGTCAAAGGGTTAAGATGAGTCCAGACTCGTGTCGCATCACCATATCGTATCATAATTGCGTATCACGATCCGCCAAATGTAAACGGGATGCCGTAAACCAGCTCCAAGACTCGTGTCGTATCATTCTCGTGCTTCCTTCCTTTCTTCTTCAATAAGTAATGAAGAAAAATGTAGCTGGCAGCAGCTATAACTGTTGAGAAAGAGACATTATCTCTGCGGGAGGTAACGTGGGACCAAAAATACGAGAACGCGTGCTAGGTGGAAAACTAAAAACATAATACCGACTCCATGTGGTCGAATCGTATCTGCGTGTCACCTTGACACGCGTGATGCGACACAAGTCTCGACCTATCATCAAGGAAGGAGTCTTTCGGCCGAGCGAGTTCCCGTGCCCGTCGACATTCCCAACTCGACTCATCGCGGACTTTTTAACGATCGCGCCCGCGTTCTCGCGATTAGCGTCATTTCCTCATTCGGATAATGCCGACGTAAATCGTACGTTACGTATACGCCTTTGATTCCCCAACAGCGGCGATGATTGAAGACGCGCGACGACGGCCGAAAGAGCGCTGTTTAATAATTCATGCTCGCACGCGCTCGCGGAGGCGAGAGAGAGGAGGCTGCCACATTTTGCCGACGTCGTCGCCATCGCCGTCGCGGCTCGTACGGAGCTCCACCTCATCCGCTTCTCTCCATTCTTTCCGCACAGAGAGACGTGCTCTTGCTTGCGCTTCCTTCCCACCCACGCGGTCTCGCGGCAATGCTCGAATTTTGAACATTAGTTTGCGAACCATTTAACACAACTACTCCACTGTCGGCCTCTCCGCTTTGCTCCCGCCCTCGTCTCTCACTCTCTCTCTCTCTCTCTCTCTCTCTCTCTCTCTCTCTCTCTCTCTAGTTTCTCTCTGTGAAAGCGTAGTTCGAATCACGCCACTGCATACATCGTTCCCCCTATATATAGATTCAACCGCAACGTTCCCGCTACCGACGGCATAGTTATTGTACATTAAGCCTCGCGGAGAAGTCCGGGGTGCGCGTGGTGGCCTCCCGGGGGATACAACGCGGGCTTCGCCGCGAGCTATTCCGCCCAAGAAATTAACCTTTCTTGCAATTTGCCAAATCCGCTCAAACCCGCCGCGCGCTGCTGAGCTTCGCGAAGGTGTCCTCTCCTACTCTACCGCCACCCGGAACGCTACTTTTCCGGGGATTTGTTTCCGAAGTGTGTGCGACGCGTATCTCTCGCGGAGCCATCGAGAGTTTCGCGTAGCGACGAAGGACTCGCGTGGAATCTTCGTTTCGTTTCGAGATGAATGTCTCTGTAGTCGTCGAATTAACACGCGTTCGTATACGCGTCCGATGCATTTTCCGCAAGCGCGTTATTATTGTTTTTCTTTCTTTATTTAATTTGAAAGCTGCCCTCGAAGCGAAGAGCCTCGTTAAGTTGGTCGCGCGAAAAATCAGACTGCATCAGACGTTCCTCGTTCATTTATCTTGCGCCTCTTAGACTACATTAAGTCACGTAAAAATACCTGGATAGCGGTCGTTTTGTGTAACACGCCGAACACGTCGGGGAAATTTGCTTTCCTTAAAGGACCATTACGTTCGGGCGCAGCGCTTAACAGAATTAACGCCGGAGGAATTTCCGATAGAGAATAACGGCTTTAAATAAATTACAGAGCGATGAAGCACATCAATTTCGTGTCACGAGTCGGGCCACTATTTCGCGCGGGGTTTGGAAGTCCCACCGGCGAAATTCGAGAGCGGGCGGTTTTTATAAAAATAATCTTCAAACATTTTCATAGCCGGAAAAAAGTGACACAAAAAAAGTCGCCCGCCGAAAATTCCATTCACGCCGAATGTGCCGTGCAACTTCGCACAAAGGCGCGCGCGATATTCAACAACGCACACATACGCCAAATACGGCGGCAGAAAAACAACGTAAAAAAAAAAGACGTGGTTTCTTCAGCAAGACGCGCCTCGGTCAGATGCGTAAACGTACCTAAAAGTTTGTAAACAATCGCGTCGGATACGGCGTCATAACGGCGGAGAGTTACGTCAGTGCCCATAATTGTGATATTAGCCGCTTGCGCGCGTCGTCTAAGGTCCCTTGCACAATGCCAGGCAACAAGCAATAAGAATAAAAATAGGCCAATCGCAATCGACTATTACAAGAATAATCTATTGTAATTGGTCTCTTTTTATTCTTATTGCCTGTTGCCTGGCATTGTGCAAGGGGCTTAACTCACTGGCCCGATTATACAGATCAGTGAATTCAATTATACGCGGCGTGTAATCGCCTGACGGCGCGCGATAACACGACGAAAGCCCACGGAGGAAAGACCTTTGCTCGGAATGCAGTCCGCGGGAATACGCGGGGATCGCGCGCGCGTCCTGCGGACCGATTTTCTCTCGCTCCTTTCAGCGCGAATTACGGCAATTCGGGTTTTATTCAGCAGTTAACACCGACCGCGCGCGGCGCAGATCACGCGCAATTTCGAGAGTCGACGGTAACTCGCTATCGTCGAACTTGAGAACCCCGCGCTCGATCTCATATACAATTCCTCGAGCCCTCGCCCGAGAGAAGACGCGTCGTCCGGCGCCGTGGCTTTCGAAGCTTCTCCGGGCCGCCCGGGAAATTAATCTCGAGTCGAAGTTCGGCTCACACGCTTGACTTTCGTTTCTCCCCGATCGCGGTTTCGCCCCGCTCCGCTCGTTCGCTCCGATCTCGCGCGGAAAGCCGAATTACTTATCGGCCGAATAATAATGAGGAACATCGACGACGATGCCGAGGATCGTGAATATCGTGAAAAAATTATTTACCGTTAAAAAATTATAAGAAACTAAATTGCGCGAGCCAAATGTCGCTCTTCCAAGAAGAAGTCCGACCACCAACCTGTTTATCGACCTGCTTCATCGAGAATTTCAATCACGATCGCGGCATGCCTTGGGCGCGAAACATTGTTGTCGCATGTTGCTCTAAATTATGCGGTTTTATCAAAATATGCGACATCCACATGACAGAGACAAAGTCTCTGTCATGTAATTAAGGTTATTTCTATGCTTTTCAACTTTACACTTACGTGTACAAGATCGAAGATCGTAGTAGCAAGTATCCTATGATATCCTATGAAATAAATGCTGAGATGTACGACGCCCGGTCATCATAATCACGAGAGATCACGACAGATCGTAGTTCTTCTTCGTAGTTCAAAAGTCAATAGAATCCTCAGAGCGCGCGAAAATCACTCGATCGTGAACGCAAAATGGCCGCGCCGCACGTTCGTTCAAATCGAATTAGAGGCGCTGGATCGACTTCTAACCGACGCGTACGATCAACATAACCGCAAAGTCTCGTGCACCGATCTGGCGATTTCTATCGAAGAAAGAATACGATTCCGTCGGAATCGCACTCATCGCGCTACGAAATATTTCACACGCGCGTCAAATAGACACTGTCGTTTCACCGTTTCCTACGTGTTTGCAAAAATGGCGTCTGTCGTCGGAAATACGAAACGGATAGACGAAATAATGTCGTTGAAACCTTGTCGAGGTCGAGGTCGACCGTTCTTAAAAGTGACAATAGTACGTAGTATCCGTTCGTACGTCCCGACGAAAAGTATTCCACGTGTGCAGCTTCAGGACGGAGTTCTTTCAATCGCGCGGGAACGATTCGTGAAGGATTCGCGGCAAAGGAGCACGTTCGAAAAGTCGCGATCGGACGAGCGATCGCGTTGGACGAAAAATATGCGTGTGCATTGACTCACCGCACCAGGCGCGACGAGGGTTCAGCAGTGCGACGGATCGGCCTGCGACGGTGCGAGGATCCTCGAGGACATAACTGTTGCTCCGTGTCGAGTGGTGTCGGACGCCGAAATACGTTGCCGCGCGCTCCTCGCGAATCTGACGCCGCGTACCGTTCCGCCGTGAAGATGATGCGCGACTGATGCGCGCCAGTAGCGCGATCTTCCTTTTATTGGCCGACGCTTTCGCGTCTACTCGAGCGCTGACCCCCACTACTTGACGGCTCGGCTAACTTCGCTCCGTCAGCAAGTTAATTCGCGTGGCTCGCGCGCGTTATCCGCCAATAAATATTACATATCATTATTGCAACTCAATGTACGTTACTTTTTTTTTTATTCAAGATGAATTGCTATTAATAAGAGGGATAAGATCCACTTTCCCTCTCTCAAAAATGACGACTACTGTCGGTAGCAAATGATGAGACAGATCCAGGGTACCTATTATGGAACTCGTCGGAATCGATTCCGATCGAATTTATTCCGTTATTTCCTAGATTTCTATTGTCTTTTCTAGGGGAAACAGAATTATTCTGATCGGAATCGATTCCGACGAGTTCCATAATAGGTACCCAGATCAGATTAAAAAGATTCGTAAAGTTTCAACAGATATAAAGCCGCACGCATAATAAATTGAATCTTATAATTGAATATTAAAAGTAGATAATTCAATAAACTGTGCTCGAATAGTTTTGTGATCTGTGAACTTTATTATCATTTGGTACATGAGTATATAAAGAATGTTTGATTGTTATAAGTTTTTGAGATAATTTAGAAAAGTTGTTTACGATCAATCAACTGCTGACTAAGAACGCGATGTACCAGAAAAAATATCTTGACAGTCGTCGAAAATGCTTATATTTAAACAAAGTTTCAAAGAAAACAAATTAATAAAAATAACAATATAAAGTCATCCGGGAGAAAGGTGAAAGCTCATGCACGTAATCACGTTTAGAAGTAACTCTTCTATTAAATAAAATCAATACGAACCACATACATACAGATGTGTGCAGGTATTTGTAAATATAATGCATTAGTATCAGATGTTTTAAGGCAACTTTCTCTTCGCAGGTTCTTCATGCACTCTAACTGGAAGAGTAGAACGCGGACCGCATTTCCACACATTGCCGTCCTTATCAAGTATACTCGCACTCGCTGTAATTTGATACTGACCACCGCTACTGCCAGTATTTCCCGAACAGACCGGGTATGTTGCAGCCATAGATCCAGGGCATCCCAGAGAAAGTAGAAACTCACAAGCAAAGAAGTCGCGATGAGGTATTACCGTTTGCTGCAGTTCGTTCATATTGGAATCCTACGTACACAAATATCGCTTAAGAACTGCGAATAAATCCGATAAAATTCTCCTAATTAATTTTCTCGATACATTACAACTATATGGTTATAATGATAAAAAAAATCGCGTGACACAATATTAAACGTCTTTGTCTTACCTTCTGGTCGACATTTATCTTCGAGGGTGGCGTAGTCGAAATGGAGATGCACACTGCAGCGACGGAACGGAAAAGAGACGCTCGACGACCATGTCGCAATACCCCTTCGACCTTGAGCGCTAACTGACTACCCTGTGGAACGGAAACAGGTTCGCCAAGAACACGTGGTTGAGGCGACACTGACAGTTTCACACTAGTGGCTTGTAGAGCTTGGAAGAAGTAACGCGGCATCGGTAACCGCATCGTCCCGTCGGCTAGCAGAGTCGTTTGCAATATTAAACGATTAATTCGCAGATGACTAACTGCGCCGACTTTACCCTCAGTCGTCATAAAGGATGGCGCTAAACGACGTAACTCATCGCAACATCGACCCAATTGTCGCATCTCCACAGTTTTGCCGAAATGAGAATTAATTTCCTGTCCGTCCTGAAGATACATGGCCGACACATCAGGTCCGCCGCAAACTCGTTCCACGCTAGTCGCCATTAATCGACATATTTCTTGCAATCTGTACGACGATAAGGTGACATGTTGTAAATATGTCATAAATTTAATAAACGACGTTCGTTTGTAAGAAATATTATACAAAAGGATACGCTCGAATGTTCGCCAACGATCCCGGGTCGGCGTCGAAAGCTGACTGGTATAACTTTTGGTAATTTTCTGCGCAAGCTTTCAAATCCTGCGCAGATTTTCTTAACTGAAAGAAGATGCGAAATAAAAATTTATAATATGAGATTTAATTGAAATTTATATTATAATTTGACCATGTATAAATCACATACCTGATGCGTAACACGTCCGTATCTTTGAAGCTCGTCCTTAGTCGCGTCGACAACCGTAACAGCTATAGCAGGTGGTGGCGCAGTGCACAAAGATCTAGGATCAGAATCATTGTTTTATAATTGCTTTATAGCTGCTGCAACATATTTCTTAATCATACGCTATATTATTACTCACATGCACGAGTGTAACAACTGTACTATGGATTGCAAAAATTCGCAACGTAATTTGGAATATTCACTTGCAAATTGTAAACTGCGTAACGGAGTGCTGGCAGCTTTGAGAGACGCGCAAGCGCTCGCATAACGTGCTATTGCTCTGTTCAATTTTTCCACAATCTGCACTTTGCTGGTCTCTTGATCTTCTATCTTTTCCCTTTACAAGGATATTATTATATAGATAACATATAGATAACAAGATATGTAAAAGAATGTATTAAAGACATTTACGAACGAAATAAATTATATACATACGTGAGGGAGCATTCTGCTTTTGTAACTAATTCTAAGCCAGATAGCCAAAAATGCAGTTGTTCTGACGCTACAGCTTCCTTCAAATTTTTGAATATTTCAGTGGCGATCGCATGATGGCCATATCTCGCAGCGCTACGTGCTATTCGATACTTAGCCCAACCGTCTACGCTTTTTACGACGTTCCTGACTGTCTCTAGGCAATCAGAATTCCATTCGTATCCCTCAGCCACCATTTGAAATAGTAATGTACACAACATTACCTTCAATTATAAGAGAATTTTATGAAGATTATCACTTGCTAAGAAATGCTTGTTTTGGACCAAGAGAGATCTTTATATATATATATATTATGAGAAAATCATTTACTTTAGTATGAACGTGCGAGATCTGTTTAAGTTTTATCAAAATATCAGGTAGAAGTGAAAACAGCACATTTTGTCCTAAACTACCAATGGCGCCTAAGGCTTCACACAGGACAACCATTTGCTTCTCGTTCTGGCCATTTTCTGCGCTGGCGTTGACAAGAGCAGAAGCGATAGCATCTACGAACACGGCGCAGTGGCTAGGCTGTGACTGACATAGCTTCACTATCGAACGTAAGCATGCCTTCAACTGACGTAAATGCTTGTCATCCAAAACCAGTGATACAAGTAGAGACTCGAGGCAAGAAGTCACATCTTGTACGCCATAAACAGGCAAATCCTCTTCATAACTGTTAACATAACAATTTTTATCAAATATTCATTTTCCATATATATTAAGTATAAATATATTCCATGTGTATACGTACCAGTAACAAGCAATCCGTGTAAGTATAGTAATTGCTTTTACTGCGACAAATAGATCGGGTGAGTAACAAGCATTTACACATAATTGCAATAAAGGACTATTCTCGTCCATATTTGCATCACATGTTACAACATTCTGGCTAAGTACCTGCATCAAAGAAATTCAATGTATATATTTGTGTAAAGCAGAAGTGTAAAATTATTTGCAGATAAAGAGAATGATTTACGTAAACTTGTATTGACCTCAATTACGTCTAAAGTACGGATGAGAAGATCTGTATTTCTGGTACCATCTTGCAACAGCGTCGTGGTACTCTCTGGATTATTAAATATTGCAATATTAAAGTCATTTGTACTAATTAAGGGTTTAAAAAACATATGAGTGATATAAATATATATAACATTTACCTATTAGATTGTTGAGAGCACCTTGTGGCCAAAGATGTGCTCCTCTTCTCGCTAAGCTATGTAAAAGATGTAAAGCATGACGTTTGACTGATAGCCTTGGGTCATCTTGCAAATAGCGTAATAATAATGCAACTTGTTGTGGAACATCTATCAGCGTCGCGGAAGCTAGTGTACTTAACGCACTTAAGGTGGTTTTAACAAAGTCAGCTGCTGGATAGCTTGCAAGTAATTCCATACATAATTCATTCACCTTTAATAAAATGATTATAAAGATCTGTTCACAGAATAAAATATATGAAATTGGTATTGAGAAAGATATATCACCATTGATGCTGTAAAATTATCATGATGCATATACTGCAAAATAGGTATGAGCTGCAATTTCATAGATGCAGGTGTAGCCTGCCCTCTGATCATGTCAGAAATTTTACTGCACATGGATACAGCAAATAATTTGGATTGCGCTGCAAACATCTGAGCAGCATATATGGCAGCTTCCACCTCAACAGAATCATGGGAATCCAAGGATCTTCTTATGCTATGATGTACCTTGTAGTAAATATTAATAATCGTATTAACTTTCAAAAATAACAGATTATGTACTGTACAATTAAATATTTTAATATATAGTATTACCTGTTGTCTTTCAGGGATAATACCAGCTACACTACCCAATGTACGTAGTGTTAGAGCTCTGGCAACTGGATCATTTGAGTGTATAACACTGTAGATACGTCTAACAAACTCATCTACATTTAAAATCTTATCCAGATGCTTTTCGCTCTGCTGACATACACTTAAAACCCATACTCTTAGGAAATTACTCCCTGTGCGAAATACTTCTGCCAATTTCAACAGAGAAGAGTTTATCAATATTGGAAAAGGATATTTTTCAAATAATCTAGGGAAACGTACAATAGCTTCACATTGTTCCCCAGTTTTTGCAGAACGTAAACCTAAAATAGATTAATAATTTACTTAATCTGTATTTTTACATTAATATTCAGATACACGCATGTATTTATATATGTTACAAATTAGAAAGTTAAAAATGTACACTAACCTTTATCGAGCTCTATAAGTGCTGTATTTGCATCCTGTTCAGGTTCTCCGAGGCCAGTATCATTAAAGGCATTCATTCTCATTCCAATCATATTTTTCACAATGCAAATTTCATATACGATATACTTAAAAAAAACGTACTATTAGTTACACACACACACACACAAGGTACTATTATGAATAAAATTTTGTATGTATTGTATAATGTTACTTGCAGCTTTTAAATTAATAATAACATAGTAGTAGTAAGTTAATAATAGTATAATATAGTAATAAAGTTTCACACATATTCAGAAAGAAATCACATTTATACTCACTAAATTGTTAAATATACACTATCTGCCAGGAGTCGTCGAGTCAAACAGTAAATGTAAATCCGCGCCCCTCCGATCATCTATCTCTCGGCGCGCGCTCATTTGTCAGCTTTCTATCATTAATAACTCGATAATTATTGCGATTCTTGCAAAATTGTATTTTATTTTTCTTTTCAACTTAGCTCGATCCACCTTCACACTTCGGGTTGGTAGCTAATTATCGGACACCCTGTAGATCAAGAGCTCCGCCAATTAATTTTTAACGAAAAAAAGAAAAGAAAAATATTGCTCTTAGGTTTACGAATGTTAATCATGTAAATACAAAAAGTACAGAAAGTATTCCCCGGTAGGATGATAATGATAAAGAAATAATTGACACAGGCACTGGAAAAAGAAACGTTCAGTTGGTCAGAGGAAACTTTATTTTTAGAATTATATCGAGAAAGAGAAAATGAATTTATCTCTAGGCTGGAACGGCATAACTATGGTCGAAAATTATATTTGAATTATAAAAATCTAATTATAATGTTTCTGTTGTACAAGTGCAAAATAAAATGTCAAGCCTGGAAAGAGCCTATAAAAAAATTAAAGATTCTAATACTAAAAGTGGCAATTACAGACTTGTATATAACCTATAACGCATAATACAGGACTAGAACTAGGGGCCGGTTGTTCCAACCTCTTGGTAAGTTAACTGATAGGTTAAATCATATGTTTGTTTTTGTTTTTCCTTCAAATCAGACCAAGACAGATATCAGAGAGTAACCTGAAAGCGCCCAATACGACATTTTCTGCGACACCGACTTTCCGCACTGGGAAAGGACGCCATCTGCATCCATTTTGAGAGGGGAACTACGATAGTACTTTCGATCCACTTTCAGGTCTCGGTGGTAAAATCTGCATATGGTGGAAGTCCGAGGCCTGGTTCTACGATACTTCCCTACGATACTTCCCACTACAAAGAATGACATGATTGCCAGAATAACAGAAGCAATTCAATCTTTAAGTAGCGATGAAATTCTTCGAGCAACCAATTCTTTTCAAAACAGAGTAGACAGTTGCATTGAGAAGATTGGTGCTCACTTTGAATACTACCTTACTTGAATACAGTTCTAAAGATTAATATTAACACTCGGAGCGCTAAAACAAAAATTGAAAGAGTTCTCGCCGATTTTCGAGCTGAGGGACATGGAAATATTCGACTCGAGGGACAAAAATCGGCGAGAACTCTTTCAATTTTCGGAAATTCGATATTTCATTCAAAGTTCTGGTTAGCCCCTCACGAGTTCTAAAGATTATGATTAACACGCGACGCGCTAAAACCAAAATTGGTAGAGTTCTTGCCATTTTTCGTTTTCTAATTCGAGAATTTTAAATATAATTTTTCTTATTGTTTTAAACAGAACTATTTTTAAAACTTATCTAGAACTATAGAACTTAAAAATCTATCTAGAACTCTAAAAAAATTGTCATTTTTTACATAATGAGGGGCGTCTTGAAGTTGGCCCTCCGATTTTTAAAATGATATTTTCTCTACTTTAAATGAACTCTTTCTATAAAGGATTGCGAACTCTAGAACTCTGCGAGGAGCATTCAGAACTGTAATAATTTTTTTCAAATTTGAAGAATGAAGGGCCATCTTCACAGAGGTGATGGAGCGAACACATTCTCTGTCTCTCTTTTGCTTGGCTCGTCGAAACAAGTCGAGCGGTGGGCGGGGGTCTCAGAGGAAGTGTTATCGACGAAACGTGCAATGCTTGCGATGCCCGTGTGTTGTATGCAATACGTGCATTTTCTTAAAAAATGAAAAAAAATTTATTGTGATACACGTATGTTGTATGCAACACGTGCATTTTCCTAAAAAACGAAAAAAATTATTGGCGAAAAAGGACAACGCCGACCACCAAGGAGATGCGAACCACCGACCTCAACCCCGCGAGTCCAGCGTACTTCCACCAAGTCACACGCTCTTTGAGAAGCTCGCTCCTTCATTTGTTTCATGTAACGCTCGCGATTTTCAATCGCGACTTTCTTGCAAACGCTTCAATGCTACGCCGTATCTTTAAGTGCAATGTTAATTTGTCATGCAAATCTATCGACACAACGAATTTAGTCGAAATCGATTGCTATTGATCATCTCGTTGGATTCACGCCGAGAGTGAAACGTCAGTCTCGGCCGTGTGTCGGGAAGCACAATCTCGGTAATGTTGCGAATAAGAGCGAGATGGAGCGAACACATTCCCTCTCTCTCTCTCTTTCGCTTGGCTCGTCAAAACAAGCCGAGCGGTGGGTGGGACTTCAGACGGATAGACGGGAGCAGTTTCTCTGTGTGTGTGTGCCGACTACATGCTTACACAGAAACGTACGGCAATTGAAAATGTTTAAGCATATACCCTGAGATTCTATCTGTTGCGTATGACACGTGTGTGTGTGTGTGTGTGTGTGTGTGTGTGTGTGTGTGTGTGAGTGCGTATATGCACACGTACGTCACGCACACTTTCAATGCAACACATGCACACGGACACAATTGCGCTAAAAAACGCCTGCCGGAGTATAAATAAATACTAACGTAACGCTGAAATATTTTGGAAAAATAATTTTGGGTACACACAAAATATTATCTTATTATCATATATTTATATATCGATATAAATCGTATATAATTTTCATGATGTTAATCATATACAATCTCAATTCTTATTTTTTTTGTGCATGTTAACATGTTAATTCATGTTACAAATGCATAACAATGCGCGAGACCGTGCTTGTCAAGTACGCTATTATGGTTGTAGCACGGATATAAACCGCCTGAAAGTGGATGTAGCACGGACAGCCACCAGATGCAGGTTTTACCGTCGAGACCTAAAAGTGGATGTAGCATCGTAATTCCCCTCTCAAAATGGATGCAGATAGCGCCCATTCCCAGTGTGAAAAATCGGTGTCGCCGAAAACGCTGTGTTAGCCGCTTTCAGCTTTCTCTCTGCAGATATATAATTTAACTATCAATTAACTTACTAAGAAGTTGGAACAACCGATCCTTAGATATTATAACGTCAACGGTTCCTCTTGAAGACTGAAGTGAAGAGCATGACTGTTAAGAAACAAATTATTATTGAGTTATACTACTTGAAAATACAAGTACGTCTAAATTATCATTGAGTCGTACTACACTGATTCTTCAATAAGAATAGTGGCGGTTCGTAGCGGAGATATTGAAAGTAAAGTTTGGAACATAGCTCGATTATGGTGCGCTACTTGTACGTAATGTAAAAATAATAAGACATAAAATTAATAAATTATGTATTTATGAACCGTGAAAACTGAGAACGCTACATTGATCATTACACTCTTGCACTTCTTTTTACCCTTCTCTAGATTCATACTCGTGAGAAGTTATATTGCTTCCATGTGTTCTGTGTATTCGGTTAAAGCGCTGTCTAAATACAGCTGAAAAAGAACAAACCTGGTGTGACATCTTCCGTTTTTCTCTTGCAGCAATTGTAGATCGAAACTCACGACTGTCGACAGTACAGTTGACAATCAAGCTTCGACAAGTGCGATAGAAGAATCGCTGCTCTGTAAAAGAAGAAATTCAACAACTTCTGTGCGTCATATTTGCGGTGAAAAGTCATCCAGCTAAAAAGCGACGAAGAGTCAGTAATCAATCGTGTGACAACGATTACTTTATTCGAGCATTGAACGATGGTGGATTATAGCAAATGGAAGAGCATCGAAGTAAGGACATTATTCGCTTGCCATTCTGATATATTTATGGAACAGTGTAGATTCGAGATTATATCGTTCCGGTGGCGTATGATTTGCTCGCCGGTGACATTTTATAACATGTTACAGCTGAAATATTAGTTACTAAATTTTAGCTACATGTATGTACAAAAAGAACTTCAAAGAAAGAATAAAATACTTTGCGATATGCTACTAAATGTTATTTTCTTAATTACAAATCAGGTCGCTTATTATATATATTGTTTAAATATAAGTTTTCAAAAATCAAATTTTATTTTGTCTTACTGATGTATTTTTGTTTTTACTAGATCTCAGATGATGAAGATGATACGCATCCAAATATTGATACGCCGTCACTATTCCGGTGGCGGCATCAAGCTCGAATTGAAAGAATGGAAGAACGTAAAAAGGAACATGAAGAACATGAAAAGAAGAAAGCAGAGTATGAACAAAAACATTTAAAAACAATATCCTCTCAAAATTAAGTTCTTATTTAAGTTACTATTTGTTATTTTAGGACATTAAAAAAGTTAAAGGATACAAAGGAAAAGTTGGCAAAATTGGGAAATGAACAGGACTCGGCTGATTTAACCACACTGAAAAAAGTTCTCCAGGATCTTGAGACAGAAGAAAAAAGAATTAAAGAAAAGGAAGATGAAATGGAGAAGAAAGAGAGATTGACACCATGGAATGTAGATACCATTGGTCAAGATGGTTTTACAAAAACTGTGATAAATAAAAAGCCTCCTAGGAAGGATGAAGATTCCAGTTTATCTGATGAAGAAAAGGAGAAACGCATGAAGCAATTTGTCAAGGATAATGAGAAGAAACTTAAAGAATTCGGTATGCTGAGAAAATATGAAGATAGTAAGAAGTTTTTGTCAGACAATCCACATTTAGTTTGCGAGAATACAGCAAATTATTTGGTCATCTGGTGCATCAATTTGGAGATGGAAGAAGTAAATAGTTACAGCTGAGTTTTGAATGACACAGGTAATGGTCAATTTGTGTTACAATATTTAATATATATTTTCAGAAACACGACTTGATGGAACATGTGGCTCACCAATGCATATGCATGCAATACATATTGGAGCTGTCCAAGCAATTGGATGTTGACCCGCGGGCATGCGTGGGCTCCTTCTTTAGTCGTATTTTAATTGCTGAGGTGGAGTACAAGAACTCCTTTGAAGATGAACTACGATCGTTCAAGGACAGGATATGTAAGAGAGCAGAGGAGAAAATAGCTGATGCTGTTCGAGAGGCAGAAGAAGAGGAAAGAAAGGCTCGTTTAGGTCCTGGCGGACTCGATCCTGTGGAAGTGTTTGAGAGTCTTCCGGAGGTAAATAGAGTTTGACTTGCAAAATAAAAACCGATATTAATGACATGTGTATTATACATTTGTGCTCATTGCAGCCTCTCAAAAAATGTTTCGAGACACAGGATATTCCTCTGCTGCAACAAACAATAGCTACAATGCCAGAGGAAGAAGCGACATATTATATGAAGCGATGCGTCGACAGTGGTCTATGGGTTCCCGACGCGAAAGCTAAGGAAAAAGAGGAACAAAATGCCGCGAAGGGAACACCAGATCCAGAATAATGACCACACCGTACGTAGAATACTCGGTGAAAATCAGTATCTCGTTTACACGAGTATTCTTTACATAAAATCGAAACGGATGTGTTGAAATAAAGTCATAAGTGGGAAACACACTGGCAATACGATTATTATCTCCATCTGCTGCTTTCATTGCTACTGTAGACATTTTACTGTGTGTTATCTTACAAATATGCTCTGTTAACTTAAGCTGAATTAGTTTACAAGACTGAGTTGTCTTTTTCATACATAGCAATCACTTGAAATGAACCGAGTAGAGCAAGTAATTAGTATTGAAACATTATGTAACACTCACTTTCTATATATCATTTGTGTTGTTACTCGAATTGCCTTCCTATGTATATGTGTACATATACTGTTAATCACATTAACAATTATTTCAATATTTTATATCAACCTCTCTTCTACTAGTAATAGTACATAATATTGTATATTAATCGAAAACGATACCGTTATGTAAATAAAAACTATTATAAACCCTAAAATTGTCTAGTTTTGAAATCATGAGTTGCTTTGTATATAAATAATATCGCGGATACTTAGTTCACAAAGACTAAATTATACAAGATAAATATAAATCCTATTAATTTATATGATTTAGAGAATTAGTATATGATATATTATGATATTCTAGAGTCTAAAATATCGTCGTGTGTGTGTGAGCGAGTATAAAAGTATGATAAAGTATAATATGTAACATATAAAGGAAAGGTATATAGTCACACACGTTGAAAAAGAAGCTGCAGCAAAATTATTTCGAGTTTTAATACATAATCCATATACGATGCCTTACGACTGACGACGGTCCTTTCATTTTTATTTCATCGGCACTGATATCTTCTTCTTGGTTTTGGCTAAGAACTCCGATTTCAAAAGTTGCACCTGATGTCGCATTGAAACATCGTTCTCGGCATTTTGAAAGTTACCCGCCATCACAGTCGAATCTCGAAACAGCGAGAATCGAGCTCTCGACCGGAAGCCGTGAACGCTCATACGTGGCGCTGAGCTTCCGATTCTTCCTTTTCCGGTACGGCGTGCCACTGCTGCCAGGGTAATATTCTTCCTCTTACATTCTGGTTCATAATACGTTAGTTTCATCGCCTGCTGAAGGGCTGGTCGGCTTTCCAACGTAGTGGGTTGCGCGCGCCTTGAAATCCGTGTCATTATCTCGACGCTACGACACGTCATTCAATCCGAAATCTTCACCCGAACGTGGTTCAGTCGCGTGGACGCCCGTTACGCGATGGAAAAGCCGTCTGGTCGCTTCGCTCTTACAGTTTCTGATCAATCGCTACACTCAGTTTTGCATGGCGACGTCGTTCCTAGCGTTTTTGGCTACGATTCATTCAGATCGATCACGTCACCGGGATGATTGTGTTGTTCGCTACTGCGTATGCGAGATGTGTGCTAGAGTTAAACACAAGTTCCTGAGAGCCCTCGAAAACGTGTTTAATTATGCCAAACGGTATGTATCAGTCGCTCACTTTACGTATATATCACGGGAGTAACGTTGCGTTACGTTCGAAACTTTTCCTCTTCGATGCTACGATGCCTATGGTAATGACAAAAATCAATATCTCGCGTGCCTCCAATTAAAATTCCGTACTAGAGCGGTAATATCGTTGAATACGTGGTAACTCTGATATATGGTACATCTTTTCTACGAAACTACCGCTTTTTTTCGCTCTATTTTGTATCTGTTCTCTCAAACCTGCGTGAAAATGATCGAAAAAAAAAAAAAAAAGAAAGAACAGGAACGTTGTCTAGAAGGTCATGAAATTTCTCGAACGCCATTTTCTACGCTTCTGCCGTAGCGCCGCGCGTATAAGACAGCAGTCGCTCGGTGATCGAAAATGCGCCGCGCATTCTGGGTAAAGAACTTCGCCACAGCTGCTCAAAATGGCTGTCTAACGAGCGTTTCCGCTTCGCGATCGTCCCCAACGAGCGACGGCCGGAGAGATCACCGCGCGGTGAAGATCGCGCCCGAGCGATCGTGCGATTCTATGCGCAAAAATTACGCGAGCGTTTCTAGGTCGATTAAAATTCATTTGTTATTTTTATCGCGGAATCGTCGTCGCGAAAGTATCTCGCGTGAAATACGCGTCAATTCCGGTGTGCGCGCGCACACGCACAGGATAGGACGTGGCATGAGGAAGGGGAGGGCGAGATGGCGCCCGCGTTGCATGCTGGGAGTCGGGGCGAGAGGGGAAAGGAGTGCGAACGGGAACGTCGAAGGAGCTAGTCTGATCATAAAATGGCGGATGAACTCGGGATCATGAGCGTATAGTGCGTGTGGTTCGATAGTTTCCTCGATGTCGCGTTTTAATACAAGACTCGCCCTTTGATATCGTGAACGCGTATATCTCGGGCAACCTTATTGTTATATTGACGGCGCGTCGCGGGCAGCAATTGTGGGGTCGGAACGTATCGTTGCAGCGCGTACATGAGCACAATGCAGGTGAGTGGCTTGCTGATACGAAACGGGTGCGAGTGCGATTTTACCGCGAATTTATGGGTTTTCGCGACGATTCCCGTTATTTACGACAAATCGCGATGCGCATTTATGCGTATTAACGCGGGTACGTGTTTCGCGATCACGTGTGTTGTTTGGAATACAGAATAATCGCGTTGTCGCGCGCGTTTCGATGTGCTGACGACAGGTAAAAACGTCAAAAAATTGGGAAAAACTCTATTAGCTCAGCCACGGAGGGTTTGTACGCATAGGGCGGGGTCCCACGGACCCTCCGGACTCAGGAACTTGTGCCTCGTGCACCGCGATTTTCCGCGACTTTACACACTTTTCCAGCCTCTTCAATAACCTATAAGTTTGTTTACGTAGATTCAACGTGACATTTATCACAGAAAATATCGTAGAACCACCCTGATTTTCGTCGCGAACGTTTCCTCACACTTCCCTCCAGCCTGGAGTCATGCTTATTTGAAAATCTAAAATGTACCCATTTTTGCAAATTGAGCTTGAATATTGGGATGTACTGTCTCATCTGACCATCAGGAACGTGCAATACGATTCTCACGGTGGATATCCGCGATTTTAGGGCATTTCCATCATGCAAATGTTCAAAATATCTATATGCTTATGCCCTTTGAAAGTTCTTTATAGAAATTTCCATAGTAATTTCACAATTTGGTGTGGGGTCTGAGTTGTCAGTGACTTTTGTACACTCTACAGAGCCATATGTGTGTCATTGGGAATCTTGTTAAGCATAGATTTCTGCATCTGTCTCATGATAATAAAGATCATACTCTATTGTGACATAAAAATCTTTTATACCATGAACAAGAAATGAAACTGTAGCCTGATACTGTGCTTCATACAGTTTCAAAACAAATTTGTCTTATCACATATCACGAGGATGATATTAAAAGCGAATGTCCACTTTTAATTGTTAGCTTTCTAAAGGACGCATGTAACTTTTGAGATAATGACAAAGCTAGTTATGATTTATTAGGAGAATTGAATCAAGTTTTTAAGCGACATGTGTTGTTATGTATCTTCACTGTTGTATATACACAAAATATAGAAATTACTATGGTTTTTAGAGAGAGGTACCATATAGATGTCTATAATAACTTTAAGTAAATCTAATCAGTTTCATGGTCGCATTTAAGTTCATAGTTTGCTTAATCAACTTTCAACATATCACTCATAAGCTACTACATTGTTTGATGTTTTGATGAGGTTGAAGATTCTCAACAGATTAATAGGGATTAACTTATCTCCAATTACTTGTACAGTCATACAATAGATAAAATATTGCTATACAAATATGAAAGGTATCGTTTTTATGCTTGTATCATGTATCTTTAATGATGTTTTACAATGTTAGCAGTATTACAATCTATAGTATTAGTTTTCTTTAATGTTTATTTACATATGGTTTTTCAGTGATATGATTGAAATTATAGAATTCACTAAAAACTTTTGTTGCAAAGAAAAAGCAGACAATATGTTTATTTTATATACATGTAAGAGCAAAATTCTTTAGTGGGGCCATTTTACAGAAAGAAGAATTTTACTCTGTTCATATCTTTACCATAATTTTTATATTGTAGCTCAATGTGGGTATGACAAATGTTACAAACCAATGTGATAAAGTGCTGTTATAATTAAGATGCAGATATTTCATAAGCATTATGCATTGAATCATCGAATTAATATACGGTAATAGCAAACACAGCATAGCAATTTATCTTTTATATATCCAGAAATTTTGAGCATAAACACAAACATATATGTGTATATGTGTGTGTGTATATATATATATATATACACATGTACACACACACACACACATGACACATATATAATATATATATATATATATATATATATATATATATATATATGCATATAACATATATCTACTACTGTTACAAATTAGCATATATATATATGAATTTACTCAATATGTTGGTATATGTTTGATACATATTACATATATATAATGCATATCTTTATATCATAAATATTTAAAATACAGAATATATCCCATATATGTGCGTGTAATATATATTATGCACACATTTATCACTGGCTGAAAAATGTATTTCTTTAAATATTTAATAAATGTATAAACTTTCAGCGTAGTACTTTGTTATTCATCTTTGATACCCGAACGTTCATCGAATTCCTAGACTGCGAGAACGTATAATGGTATTTCTCTTTAAATCAGTTTCTTTTTGTTTTTTCTTTTTTCATGCGAATAACATTGGAAGCGATTACAGTTTTGGTATTTGCGTCAGTATTTTGCGAAATACGTGCTTGTGGGTTGAAGGAACCTGTTTGCATCTCGTTTTGCTGAATGTTAAAATATGGACAAGCAATCGATTGTTCCTTGTTAGGAATGGAATTTAATGTATTGTAATGTGTAATGTACATCGAATCACGTTGAAAACCTTATTTTTCTTCGACGCCATCATGTAAGCCGAGAAATTATTGTACAGACGTAAAGCGACCGTAATTATTTAGTGGAGTCTCTTAGGAGATTGGTATTGCGCTTGCAAGAACACAAAATGGCGGATGACCGTCACGAAATGGTGGATGAAATCGTCTATCGTTCGTCGACATTTTGCATCTGGGCTAACAGAGGAGATGCGAGGATATGTGGGTTTGATTGCGGATATGATACTCATCGTCGCAGTCGCATTGTATCACCGTTTCGAATAAAAATCCATCGAGATGAAAAATGAACCGGGCGATTGGCGATTATCTGAAAAATTATTCCAAACAACACACGATAAACGAATTGTAAAAAATTAAAAACCGTAATTGTTACATGCCGTCGGTCTGTCTGATTAACTTGCAGAAGGCATTAGAGTCTGAGTCCGGTAAGGAATCCGGGTCGGATTCTGAGAATGAGAGTAAAAGCGATAGCTCTTCTTCCGGGAGTAATAGCGGTTCAGGATCAGGCTCGGAAAGGTGAGTTTAGTTAAGACATGTCCGTTCCCCTGAAAGTCATAAGACCTGATACACCAGCTTGTATCAGTACGTTTTTGTATACCTTCCATGCTCGATAACGTGATTCATCGAGCGAGTCGTTTGAGGATCGTTTCTCGGTTATTTATATTTCCACTAATGTTTTCAAGAATATGCGATGAAAACAATTAGATGATTAGTCGCTATTAAGCGACTATTAAGCAACATATTAATTTTTGATAAAAGAGAATTGGTATCTTCGTCTTTTACATACATGTACTCTCAACGTGGAGTGCAGTTACGTAATGTATTGTAACGATATGACCGAGAGGAGAGAATTGAATACAAGTACATATCAGGTCCTCTGATGTGTCAGGGTGCAAGGATTAGCGTCACTCACAAACTGGCTACTTGTGTATTGCTATAGCTTCATATAGCACTAACGTTGTCTTAACAATCTTGCTAACTCTATGTAGTACTGAATATTTTTGTGAGCGCACACGGTCCTTATATGTTATACTTGTCATATAATGTTTGCTTTCTCTCGTACTTGAAAAATTATCTCTTCATTGCTAGATAAGCTGCCTTATATCTTGTCGCGTGGTATTAGGCTATACTTTCGACTCGTGCTAAACTATCAATGATATTAATTTCGAGAATTGTAGAATTACAAAATTAGATCGAGATATTTGTTCGTCGCAAACAGCATCTTGAAACGTCCTACGCCGTGGGAAATACCACACAACGTTTCTACTTTAATGTTTATGTTCAATTCGCTGGTGATTCTTATTTTGTAACATTGCGTACGATACGCTTTTAGTTTATCATGCGGTAGCAATTAAACAATTCGTTATACAGATGTTTATTTCAATTAACAGTCGATGCGTCCTTATTTTTGTATCTTTCATGTATCAAGAAAATTGTTTTTGTTGAAAATTTCACGAACTCTGAATCGTTCGAGAGATTAACATGTAACAGAAATTAAATGCAGTAATGTAATTCTTAGATCTAATATTTATATGTAGAGCGAAGCAAGCTTCCAATAATGATTAAAAATAATTTTTAATAAATGCCGATTATTTTCTGTCCATAAAGACTTCTATTTTTGAATAATTACGTTATCAGCATCAATAGTCCTTCCGGATAAATGAGCTTCAAGATGCTGTCTTTGTATATTATCCGCCCAAACATAATTAGTGAAATATGAAACATTATCCGGCTGCTTAACGCAGTGACTCTAGCTCCTCGAGCAGTTCCGGTTCCGGGTCAGGCTCTGATTCGGAAAAGTCAGAGAAGTCGGATGCACCTGCACACAGTGATAGCTTCCAGAGCAAAAGCTCAAATCACAGCACAGAGACAAAGGTTAGGGTTAAACATGGTCGCGAATGGGACGAGAATCCTGACATATATGGCATCAGGAGATCCGGGCGTTCAAGGAAAGAGCCAGAAAGGCTCGCCACGAACCGTGGGAGCGACAGCGATAGTCGCAAGAAATACAAGAAGAAGAGGTAAGTAAAATCGGGAGAATTTCTCAGCTCGATGATGGTGATGGTAATTATGATGATCGATGTAAATTGGCTGAGCGAATTACTGCGATTATTGTTACAGGAAGTCGCAAAAGTATGAAAGATTACGACGGTAGCGCGGATGAAAAGTATTGTAACATCCCAAGAAGATTATAATATTTGTTTTTCACGTGAGATTTTTCTTATCAATTGATCTAGAGAGAGAGACAATACATTAAATACAGAATTATATAGATTATGGAGCCACGATATCATTTCGAGATACAAAGACGAAAACATTGAAAAATTATTCATTAACATTGAAAAATAATATTGTAGTTGAAAATAGACAAGACAATTGTTACAATACGTTTTATCAGTGCTATCGATATTTATTGCTATCGAAATTTATGTTATATATATTATCGGGTTGCAAAGCGTTAACTCTGCTAATTTAGAGATAGCAACAAGCTCGTAATTTCCATTCGTCAATATAAAATAGTATATGTATGATTAATCTGTACCTTGAACTTTGACTCTATCATTTACATTTCAAGATGTGTATTTTGCTATAATGCAATTCTCGTTTGCTCTAGTTAAATATAACATTTTCAATGTAATTTCCTCAATGTCATATTATGCTAGTTTTTGCTTGCTCTTTACGTCATAACACTTATATATGCAGACGTAATATGTAGATTGGTAAATTTATATGAAACATTTATCGTAATGGTATCCGTATCAGTTGTTATATCACGTTGCGCGATTCAAAGTTTACTATCCAGCAATGCAACAGATATTTCGATGAATTTGTCGACACAGATTTATAATGTTTTTATGAGCAGTGCCCATAATATATAATGATATAATAAATATACTTATAATGCTTAAATTTACTCATAATGCTTACGTTATATATTCCGTGAATTTTTACATGCGTAGCATCTTTTTATCCAAACAATGTAATATATCAATATATACATCTTTGAGATTAACAAATATTTATAAATATATATGTTTTTTTATATTCTTGTATATTAATAACTTAGATTTCACTTTTATCTTGCACATGCCTGCTTATTACACTTTCAATTAATTTTACAAGATATCCTCGCATTCTATGTTATCCGGGATCTGTTAAGAACTTAACAGGCATAGTTTTTATGTGTTACAAAGTATAAAATGTATACGATTTTCTAAATTATTACAGCTTTATTTTTCGCAAATTAATCTTAAATTACGCTAAATAACAGTTAAAGATAATAAGTGATAGATAAATAGTGAACATCTTTTTTGCAGCTTCACCTTCTTATTTATTTGTTTCTTTATAATATAATCACCATTGTTACTATTGTATTGTTATATAATTTTTTGCATGCGTTACATAAACAGATGAAATAGTATAAAAAATTTTCTGCATTATATAAAAATGCGGAAATTTTTAAGAAATTGCTAAAATGAAGTAAATAGTGCTTTAATTAAAGTTATATTTTAAATAAATGTTATATTATACAGTTATATTGATGCAAATACGTAAAGTGTAATAAAGACGCTTCCGTACATTGCTGATTTTATCTTTTAGTTTACACACTTCGTGGAACTCAGAAACTTCGGATTCAGAATCAGATGATGTTGAAAATCAAAGGCCTCCACCTAGTAAATCTCTAAATAGACGTGCGGCACAAAAAGCGAAAGAGAAAGCTAGATCACGAAAGAAGCGTATTTCAGAATCTACTGAATCTTCCTTTGATAGCGATGACAATAGAAGGTATATATCTGAAAATCACCATGTAAAGCAATATATATATCAAATTTGGTGATATTAACGTCAATATAACGTTAAATTCTGGATCTTTAGACAAGTCACCAGAAGAACAGGCACGGCTGTCAGTTACAAAGAAGAAAGCGAAGAGAGAACCGATAGCGATGATTTGGTTGAGGTGGATGAATCTAACGCCGCATCTGCAGAACCTGACAATGCAGAAACTGTTGAACGAATTCTGGGACAGAGGAAAGGCAAGAAAGGGGGTAAGATCAAGAAAAGCATTATTAAACAAAATGATAACTAAAATAGTAAGTATATATGTTTACTTTATATATATAATTTCTTACAGTTACTGGCAATATGACGACGATCTATGCTGTCGAAGAAAATGGTGATCCTAATCCGCAGGATCTGACTGGTGTAGAGACTGAAGTACAGTATTTGATTAAATGGAAAGGCTGGTCTCACATACACAACACATGGGAATCAGAGGAATCTTTAAAAGCACAAAAGGTATCATTGAAATTTTTCGCAAATTTTCTTCGCGATCTTTAATCGCAAAAAAAAAAGATGTTCATGACTTTTGTGTTTGTTAGGTCAAAGGATTGAAGAAGTTGGACAATTTTATTAAACGCGAACGAGAGATTAAGCAGTGGAGAGAAAGTGCTGGGCCAGAGGATATAGATTATTTTGAGTGTCAATTAGAGCTCCAGCTAGATCTCTTGAAGAGTTACAACAATGTTGAAAGGATTATTGGTATTAGCACACTTTTAAAGTCTAAATGATAAAGTAAAAATGATAAATTTTAATTATACTGTTTGACAGTAAAAAAAAATGGATGATTTCGAATTTTAATATCGCATGCTTTTTTGAAAGATGAAATAACAAGTCGTCATATATGTATTTATATTTCAGCTGAGTACGATAAACCAGATTCTGAGCATCCTGATTATTTCTGCAAATGGGAAAGTCTGTCATATGTCGAGTCGACGTGGGAAGACGGAGCTTTAATAGTGAAAAAGTGGCCGGAAAAGATCAAAGAATTTCGTGACAGGGAGGATTCTAAAAGAACGCCAAGCAAACATTGTAAAGTCCTTAAGTCGAGACCCAAGTTTCATCAGCTGAAAGGACAACCAGACTATATGGGCAAAGGAAAAGATTTAGTACTGAGAGATTATCAGATGGATGGACTTAATTGGATGATTCACTCCTGGTGTAAGGAAAACAGGTATGCAAATTTCCGTACGAAGAATAACGATATTTAGAAGAAATTTCTTTTGCCTTTTATTTAATCATGCATATTTTTTCGCAGTGTTATATTAGCCGATGAGATGGGTCTGGGAAAAACAATCCAAACGATATGCTTCCTTTATTATCTATTTCACACTCAACAACTTTATGGGCCATTCTTACTAGTAGTCCCATTATCGACGATGACTTCCTGGCAAAGGGAGATGTCTCAATGGGCACCCGACATGAATTTTGTTACTTACTTGGGTGATGTTTCTTCCCGTAATGTTGTAAGTATTATCTTGGCAAAACTTGACGCGGCAAAATATTTCTAAGGGACTTGCATTATATAAATTGTTTTGCGATTTTTTTCTTTTATTTTCTTTTCTTTTCTTTTTTTTAGATCAGAGAACATGAATGGTGCTACAGTACGAAAAGGCTAAAGTTTAATGCTATACTTACAACATACGAGATAGTACTTAAAGACAAAACGTTTCTGGGTGCCTTAAACTGGGCAGTGCTGTTAGTAGATGAAGCTCATCGGTTGAAGAATGATGATTCTCTTTTGTACAAAGCACTTGCCGAATTTCACACCAATCATCGTCTATTGATTACTGGTACTCCATTGCAGAACAGCTTGAAAGAATTATGGGCTTTACTGCATTTCATCATGCCAGTAAAGTTAGTTTCCATCATATTTGAATTTCTATTTGAATTATTATTTTTTTGTCTGATATTTTTGCAGTTCTTTTACATATATATATACTTAATGTACGTAGATATTGTTTTCCTAAAAGTAACTTTCTTTTATCTCTTTTATTTTGACGTTTATATTCATCACATTGATTTATCTGTAGATTTAATTCATGGGAAGAGTTTGAGAAGGAGCACGAGAATGCTGCTCAGAAAGGATATTCCAAGCTGCACAAACAATTGGAGCCATTTATTTTGCGTCGAGTTAAGAAGGACGTCGAAAAGTCCTTGCCTGCTAAAGTCGAGCAGATTCTACGAGTGGAGATGACTTCGGTGCAAAAACAATATTACAAATGGATACTGACTAAAAATTATAGCGCTTTGCGAAAAGGCACCAAGGGATCCACTATGACATTCTTGAACATTGTCATAGAGTTGAAGAAGTGTTGCAATCATGCCTTTCTTACGAAACCTACCGAATACGAGAGGAAGGATAGTAACGAGGATTACTTGCAGCAACTGATCCGAGGATCCGGCAAATTAGTGCTTCTGGATAAGTTATTGGTGAGACTGCGCGAAAAGGGACACAGAGTTCTGATATTCAGTCAAATGGTCAGGATGTTGGACATCATCGGTGAATATCTGCAAAAGAAGCATTTTCCATTTCAAAGACTAGACGGAAGCATAAAAGGCGAATTGAGAAAACAGGCATTGGATCACTTTAATGCCGAAGGTTCGACGGACTTCTGTTTCTTATTATCAACACGCGCTGGTGGTCTCGGTATTAATCTTGCCACCGCCGACACTGTGATCATCTTCGACTCTGATTGGAATCCGCAGAACGACTTACAAGCGCAAGCTCGAGCGCACCGAATAGGACAAAAGAATCAGGTACACTCGCAATTGTTATATGCGATGTTCATTTACATAAATTGTCGAACAAGCGACGTCTTCTAACAAACTTCACACTTGGTTTATTACAGGTCAATATTTATCGATTAGTTACCAAGAATTCAGTCGAGGAAGAGATCGTGGAACGTGCGAAGCAGAAGATGGTCCTTGATCATTTAGTGATACAGAGAATGGATACAACCGGCCGAACGGTATTGGATAAAAAAAACGCGGGGACCAACAGTAACCCATTTAACAAGGAGGATCTGAATGCTATTTTGAAATTTGGCGCGGAAGATCTGTTCAAAGATGAGGAGGATGGAGATGAAGAGCCAACCGTAAGTTTATTGACATATCTTGTATTTTTGAGAAAATATTCTCGTGTAAAGTTACTTGAAGCGCGAGGAAAACAAATATTTACATGTACATGTAAATGTTTTTGTAAAATTAGTGTGATATCGACGAAATACTAAAAAGAGCCGAAACGAGGGACGAAGGACCAATGACGGTTGGCGATGAATTATTATCTGCTTTCAAAGTCGCTAGTTTTGCTGCATTTGAAGAAGAATCCGAACCCGTTAATCAACCAAACGACAACGACGACGAAAGTAAAGACTGGGTAAGTATGTAATACATACATGCAGCGCGATTGATCTAAATTTCCTTTGTTATATATTAAAATTTATTTATTTAACATTATACATATACATGTTATTCATGTGCTCTAGGCGGAAATCATTCCGGAAAACTTCCGCAAAAAAGTAGAAGAGGAAGAGAAATCAAAAGAGATGGAAGATCTCTACCTACCACCAAGAAGCCGAAAGACTCTTCAGCAAATCAATGAAAGCGGTAATGTGCATTTATTTTAGTCGCCCAGTTTAGATGTGTTTTGTTAATAAATCTTTGCAGCGTGTTTTTCGTGAATGTAGTATATGTAAACAAACGGGTATTATTTTATGTAAAGGAAAGGGAAGAAAACGTAAAAAGCAGGATGAAAGCGAAGATGGCGACGAGTCGGGTAGCGAAGTAGAAGGCAGTGACGATGAAAGACCCAAGAAAAGAGGCAGGCCAAGAGTCACACCGCGCGAGAACATCAAAAGCTTCACCGATGCTGAGGTATGCAGTTTGAATTTCGTACAAATTGTTTCTACATGCTGTCGCATCTTTGGTATTACAATAACGTTTCTCTTTGCAGATACGCAGATTCGTCAAGAGTTACAAGAAGTTCCCGGCGCCTTTGAAACGGTTGGACGATATCGCGGCCGACGCCGAGTTACAAGAGAAACCAATGTCGGAGTTGCGATTTCTGGGCGAACAACTGAAGTCTAGATGCGATGCGTGTTTGGCAGAGTTCGAGAATACCGCAAAAGAGAATAAAGGTGGCGAGGAAGAGGGCAAGGGACCTGGTCGTAAGAGAGGACGTGGGCCCACCTTCAAGATAGGCGGTGTCATGGTGAATGCCAAGTCATTCTCAGCTGCAGTTAAAGAACTCGAGCCTCTCGAGCAAGCTCTGCCATCTGACTCCGAACAACGTGCCAATTGGTACATCGATTTCAAGTAAGTTTAAGATATTTGAAGTACACAGGTCATGTCAAAGTCAAATCAAGCACGGGACCGAGATGTTTTAATGCTTTATTATTTCAGGTTGAAACAGGCGAATTTCGACTGCGAATGGACTACAGAGGATGATTCTAGACTACTGAGGGGGATATATCAACACGGTATGGGTTCGTGGGAGGCAATCAAAATGGATGCCAGTCTGAAACTTGGAGATAAAATTCTTTTCAACGGCAGTAAAGTACAATTGAAACGCGTCAATACGCGCGCTGAATACTTACTGAAGGTTTTGAAGAAGCAAATCGATTTCAAGTTAGGAGTGGTAAGATCGTTTTGTTGTATGAAATACATATTTGATAGGTTGTTTTTTTATTGCAACAAAATTGGAAATCGTTAGCTTTGTATTTTTAACGTCATTATGATCGATTTGTTTCAGACACGAATCAGGAAGCCGAGAAAGCCCAAGGAGATGAAAGTAATTACTAAAGAGATTGTAGAAGAGAATGACACCTCTGGTGATGAGAATAAAAAACCGAAGCCTAAAGCTGATAAGGTACATTCTGAATGCAAGATAAAAGTTAGCGTATATATGATATTTAATTAACGCGCAATATACAACCTTATATTCTATTTTACGATTATATAGCCGACGGTCAAGAAAGAGGATGAAGTTGTCGTAAAGAAAGAAATTAAAGAAGAGGTTGATGACTTGTCCGAGGAAAAAAAGAAGGATAAAAAAATTAAGAAGGAGAAGAAAGAAAATAAGAAAACGAAGAAAAATAAACAACCAGCAGGACCAATGCATTTTACAGCAAACAACGAACCAAGAGCTCTCGACGTACTTGGGGATTTGGATCCCTCGATATTCAATGAGGTGAGTATTATTTCTTTCTAAATCTACAAAAATACATGAAGCTAGAAAGATCGTTCGATAATAATATGTTTCGTTGCGTAGTGCAAGGAGAAAATGAGGCCAGTAAAGAAGGCATTGAAGGCTTTGGACAGACCGGATGAGTCCTTAAGCCCACAGGATCAAGTCGCTCATACACGCCATTGTCTCTTGCAAATCGGGAATCAGATCAACACGTGTCTCGCAGAATACAGAGATCCTGAACAGATCAAGGAGTGGCGAAGTAATCTGTGGTATTTCGTCTCCAAGTTCACCGAGTTTGATGCGAAGAAACTTTACAAACTGTACAAACACGCGATGAAGAAGAATGTTGATAGCAACGGTGGTGTTTCTTCCAGTCCCGACAAGAAAGATGACTCGAATGCCTCTAAGGTGTGGTGTCACCTTGCTTATAATGTTTGTGTAATAATATATGTAGATTTCTTCTATAAAAGTTGTTGTGGTAAACGGTTTGTAATCCTATTGTTCAACAGAAACACAATGAGAGACCTCACGACAAACATATCGAGAAACAGCAGGCGGACGGTGGTAGTAAGGACAGTAGAATAGGGAAACGTAAGATCGACGAGATCGAGGATAACTCGAATAGCAGTATCTTAAGTAAGAAACATCTATCTGCTATTTCTGCTGTCAGCAATATCAGCAGCACGTCTGCGGTTACTATCGGTGCTATTACGATTACTCCTATAACGTCGATGCCGAATTCCACATCGGGTACGACCAACAGCGCAGACATGTCGAGGCATAAGGAACAAAAAGAGTCGAAACACAAAGATATGAAGAGGGACAGAGATCGAGATAGAGACAGAGACAGAGGGCACAATGACAGAAATATAGATAGGATAAGAGGTGGTAAGGACGAAAGGCTTGGAAGAGACAGTGGAGGGTATGGCATCGGACATTACAGCGGCAGCAGGGAGGACGATCATTGGCTGTCGAGAGACGGAAGAGACATGAGAGATAGCAGGTTTGTAATAATAATATTAAAGACAAGCATATCAATATGCATTCTCTTTGTTTGCGCCGTTGCGCATAATTCATGCAACATAGCGATAGCTTTAGCTTTGATTTAATACTGAATGAAGAAAGAATTTAATATGGAATGAATCATAAATAAAGAATACTGTGTATTAATGCGTTGCTTAACTGTTGTCGTTTCTTCTATCAATAGATTCGGTGATCACAAGCGTGATCGCTTTGACTCGTACGGACGAATGTCCGGCGGTTATCATCGAGACAGAGACCGGGAACGAGATCGCGGTATGCACATGAACGACAAGAGGAAGTACGTTCATAATAATGCACACTTCAACGTTTCGTCTTACGAAAATTACGCCTCACGAGAGGATTCCCTCAGTGATTATTACAGGTACTCATCGGGACCACCGAATTATGGATACGGTCCTGGTGGTTACGGCGGTGGCAGCGGTGGTTATCCTGCCGCAGACATGGCGTCAAGTCACTTCAGGGGACGGGGCTACCCGAGTGATAATTATTCTGGCGATTGGCGGCCGAACAAAGATTACAGAAGAGATTATGAAAGGAGACCACCACCGCCAAACGCCAATTCCTAGTGCTCCTTCCTCGCCTCCGTTTCGGATGAGTACCGCAAACTAATTGTGATACCGCCAGACTCTTGTACATAGTCTTCTACGTATGAACGCGAGATGTGAGGTGCACCGAAATGAAGTGATGTTTTTGCGTGTCACCCCAATTGTATTTATATGTAAAGACAAATATATATATTCCAATTCTTACTTAATATTTACGAGTAACGTGACAACAACCTTATTTACACAAAAGACTACGAGAGTCCTCACGAAAAATTTCATAGATAATTAAATTATTTATAAAGAAACAGGCGAAATTGTGTTTTCAGCCCGCATTGAAAGATTGATCAAAAATTGAATACAGGAAATAGGTAATCCGTTTGTCTAGGATCCAATCCTTCGTATAAGTCAGAAAATTGTGTGCGAAATGTTGGGAATCTGAATTACTTCAATCTTTTCGCCAGAAGTGTGTGTGTTTGCTTGAAACATGCAAATTAGATATTTTCAATGTGCAATTTTGGTAAAATTAATTTATTAGAGACGATTGAGCTAAATATACGGATGTACATACATCTCAGTGTACTTTACATTATGAATATAAATACGTTTTTTTCGTTACACTCGTTTTATATATTTGAATATATTTGTCAAGCTTCCAAAATCATTTAATATGTTTTGCATTTTCCATACATTTACAATTATATACATATGTATGTGTTTAATTTAGATATATATAGCCTGTTTAGATACATAACATATTCCAATTTCATCATACATACCCTAACTTTATCATATGAAAGTCTGATAATGACGAATTATTTGCTTTTGTTGCTAATACAATTTCTAAAGTTCGACCGCGTTACAATTACATGTCGTGTATAATAAATATGCTTTGTCATCATAAGAGAATGTTTATAAAATTGTACAAATTGTCTATTAATTATGCTGTTATATAAATTTTCTATGAAGACATTGAAATATTGAACGGAAGGCCTCTAGGTACACACAAGGCATCAATAATGTTCTCTAGTTCAGATTTAGACATATTTTTTTTATAAAAATACGTTTCTATACTTGTTAATTTTGGTTATTTGAAGAGTGCAAAATTACAGAAGTCTTACTTATAAAAGAAAATATTAGCAATTGTAATCGAAGCAAACGTAATTATCACAAATTTATATTACATTTCTTTTTGTCACTACATCACAACACTACAAGAGTGTCAGTTATTTTTAATCTTATGTATATTTTGTTAATGTGTAAATCTCATGCACAAAACTAAGCATTTACCATTCTCAAGTTCATCATCAGCCACGAATCATATTGGACGAACACCTACTTATGATTCCTACCCGTGATTCCCTCAATCGGAGCGGAAAGAAACATTAGTGGTGCCTTGTGAGAAATATCGTGTCTCATGAGGAATAATATCGTATAAACGCGAGATGTGAGGTGCACCGAAGTAAAGTGGTGTTTTTTACGTGTCACGCCAATTGTATTTATATGTAAAGACAAATATATTCCAATTCTTACTTAATATTTACGAGTAACGTGACAACAACTTTATTTACACAAAAAACTACGAGAGTTCTCACGAAAAATTTCATAGATAATTAAATTACATATAAAATTACCTATTCACCATATTCCTCATGAGGCTTCTCGAAATGGCCATCAAATCAATCTTTTGCGTTTGCCAGCAAAATAGCAGCGCTTGATACATTATCGATCAACAATGCGATTATTTCATGTGCAAATCAAAAGAGAAATAATACATTTTAGGACATAATTATATAAATAATTTTCCCTTATAGTGCTTCTAACATTTGTGATTTAAAGAGAACATCAATGAAGAATGTGTTTTTACGTTTACTATCTTATTGTATCGTATATATGATAGTTTTGTATTCTACATTAAAATCAATGTAACATAGTGTAAATAATAGTGTAAGATTGGTAACTGTCAACTATTCCGTTTGTGTCGAACTGAGATGAATCACTGAGATAGCATTGCGTTTTCTTTACTCAGCGCGTAAAGTGTGAAGAGGTTTTTGATACCTCAGTCTTATCTCGGTCGAAGAAAAAGTGAAAAATCGGATATAGTTTGTGACAAAACGAGAAGCCGTATAGAGGTTTTAGCTAAATCATCTAATGAAATGTTTCTTCGGAGTAAAGAAAGAAAGGAGAACGATAGGCACATTTAATATTCGATATAATTTACGTAGACATAAATTGCTTTAACATTTGAATGGGCAGCTAATAATTTTCTTTTTGCAAAATAAAACCTCTTATGCTCATGTAACAACAAAAATTCTATGAAATTCAAATGCTTATAATATTTACAAGTTTTCTGAATTATAAATTAATCTATTAAGCGATTAATATAATCTGATCTTTTCGCAATAACTGATATGTAGATCATTATGTGTGACAAAAGATTGTCCTTACTAAGCGTTACCGTTAACATATATAACTTATTTTATAAATTACGCTGCGCACATCTCGAACCAACTTATTCAATCGCGAATATCTCGCAATTTTCGTGCGCACTTATGTAAATAATATAGCGTGTATTAACTAATAAAGAAAAAAATATATTTGCGCGTTTACACATAATCATATTAAAGAGAAAGTCATATTCGCGTATTTTGTGTCTTAAATAATTGTTCGGGGACAGAAAGATAATACGTGGGGCGGTCATAGAAAATACGCTGGACTAGATTTTTATTTGCAAGATAATATTTCACGGAAGTGAGCTATTTATAATTTATTACTAGGCACAAAGAGTACCGCGACAGCTGTCGTTATAAAAAGCAGAATAGGGATATATTGTAAATATTATAAGTCGAAGAGTGAATAATAAGTGAGATATAGCAAAATTAGTTTAATATCGTACATATATTAGGTATATGTAAAGTGATTATATAATAACGTATTTTATCTATCTTTATTGTAGATTACTCAACGTTTCTGAAAATATATCTGCATTTTTCATGGCAGTTGACCATGTCGTGTTGTGTTGTAGTGTATTATATGATATCGTCGTGTCTCAATTATAACTATTATAATTCAGTAGTCTACATTTTCGATTCAGCTTGGAACTAATATGAATTTCACTCGATAAGCTTGAATTATAAGTTTTACAGTCTGTGCTCTCACAACACTTGCACAACACGAATATCCAAAAGTTCTACGTCGTTCCCATAACTGCGCTTGTATGTTTGATTATTTTACGTTTTTTGTATATGTCAGGTTGATAAAATTGAACATTATTTTATTCGAATAAATTTTCAATTAGAAGTTTGCGAAAGCTTATTTTGACTTTAGTTGTATGTTTAGTTTATTAATATTAACGAAGTAATATATATTGCCATGTTTAGCGGAAAGTGTATTTGTTCTTATCTAAAACACTACTTACTGGGTTACAAGTTTTAGCAATACGGTTTTGCGTCTAACATAAGTCGATATCTCAGCCTGGCAGCAGAATTAATACACTATCATTATATTATTACAAGTGCATCCTACCGAATTCCTACCGAATCAGAGTGACTTTAGCGTTGTAGTTTTCAATCATTATTTACTTCATCAGTATTGTTACTTACTTGAGATAAACGTTCAAAACGTTTTCAAATATAGAAGTTACGTAAGAAATCATGTTTTGTAACGTCTCTCGCGTGCGTTAGAAAAAATTCATTTACACCTTGCACTACGATTTAAGTCGCAACAGCAAAGTCGATGATAAAATCACACTTGTAATGCCCAGCCTAAATCGCAAATCACAAAACGCAAATCGCAGACGCAGAACATTGATCACAACACGTAAAAATTAAACTACGAATCTTATTTGTGTTTCCTATGTTTGGCCCGCAAAACATATAAACAGTCTTACTTATGCTTCTTATATTTGGTCCGATATACATATCACGAGCCTGACCTATGTTCTCATGTTTGGCCCGTAAAGCATATCACGTGTCTCACACGATATTGTAGGACAAGGAGTTAAACATTTATTAACGTCTCGTTAAAGAAAAAATACGAATGTTAATCTTGTTAAATTTTCTGAAAATTTACTTACTACTACCACTAATATATACATTTTCTTAATTCTCCATTGTCGAAATTGTTTATCAGATTTTTAAGAAACGTTCCGTATACGAGTTGAACAGAGCAAATAATAAATTCGAAGGCGTGAAATTTAGTATCGTCTTTTCTCCCGAAGAAAGGGAAGACCAAAAATGGCTCATATATTTTGTAATTAATAATGATTGCGAAAGAACATAAAAGAAACAACGATAATAAAAAAATACGCAATTCAAAAATGATGTTATATAGGCAATGGAGCGTATTGTGACGGCATTCTGTGCCGAGCCGTTTTTGTGTGGCTTTCCATTTGATATTTTGAGTAAAGGCGGCGGATACATTATCACATAAAATCATTCGTCATATTGATATATTTATTGACTCATTGATCGATAGCTAGCTATAGTTGTAGCTAGTTTGTATAGAGTAGTTGTCGTATCGTGCACCACTGGTGCTACTGGTGGTGTGTTACGAAATGTGTTTAGCAAGTTTAATGATATTTTTTTTAAGCAAGTGCATGCAAAAAAATGCGTTAGCGGAGTCGCTGCGTCAGTAGAATTACCACCGACAAATTCTACAGTAACGACTACTAATGCGGATAGTATATATCGAAATCTGTTGAAGTATTGCATGACTTGATGCAATGACAACTAGCTAAGGGTGCGTTTGGGGGAGCACCCTACTAACGTTGGTGACTGCGTTCGGCAAAAAAGGTTGCTTTGCATCTGTTGTAAAGTTCGTAAATCTGATCGGTATATGCTCCCAGACAGAGCCGATATTTAGAAGTATGCACTAATCAGATCCACAAGTTTTAGCACAAAACAACAATTGCAAAACAGCTTTCTCCGCTGAACGCAACCATTCCGCCCTTACTGTACATCTACCTTACGTTCTACGGTACGTTCGGAAAATATACTATCAGTGTTAACTCTGTCATTCGAGACTCTGTTCATTCCGTCGCTCATTAGATATACGAGGACAAAATTGATAAGAATAAACGTTAGCATGAATCAGCGATAATAGCACGCTGAACGTAATCTCGGAGCCACTTTTATCACATCCTGGTTAAACTATTCAGTAACCTTATAGATTCCCACTAAAATTATTGATTTAATCCTTATTTTCTGTTTTTCCTCATGGCAGTTTCAGTTGGAATTCTGCAAGATTAGTAAATCAATTGGTTTAATTGGAGTTTGATAAAAGTGGCTTTTAATGAGCAACAGAGTAATAGAATAACATATTAACGTTGGTAGCGCGCTTCCCGAGCACATTCTAAAACTGACTCACAATGAGGCCCATTTCCACAACTTGCTTTAAACGGAGTTTAAAGCTAAACCGATAGTTAAAAGCAATAATAATATATGCGCATATATATTGCTTTTAACCATCGGTTTAAATTTAAACTCCGTTTAAAGCAAGTTGTGAAACTGGGCCTTAGATATGCCATATTCTAAAAATAGACACACCCCACTTCTAGTAGTTACTTCTAGTAGGTGTACTTGTCGTTTATTTTCATAAATCGTAAACAGACTGACCAATCATAGTCGACCATTGGAAAAAAACTATTGACTTTTTGGTTGGGCAAGCGGCTGGTCGATCTGCTGACGAGTTATTGTCATAGCTAACTGTTTGCTATATACAGGGTGCTAAATTTCAAACGTAACAGGTAAAAAATATCGAAATCTATGAAAGATATTAAAAAAAGCTAAAACACGTGTTCCATGATTTCAAAGGGAAAAGAGAATGGCATTATCAGTTTTTTATTTGGAGGGCATTTTCAAGGTCAGTTGAAGGTCAACTTCATTTTTTTAAATAGAAAGCCCAATTTTTTATTATATCTTCTTTTTTTACCAATTAATCTTAACAACTTTTGTCTGAAACATTTTTTATTCGCCTAATATTTTTTGAGATATTTAAGGAAAACTTGGTAACTTTTTCAACACTTAACTTACGATATCTCGCTAACTATTCGTCGAAAGAAAAAATAGTATTAGACTTTTTTACTTTATTTACTATCAAGAATATATTACTATAATAATGCCCTAACTTTTGTTAATTTAATAATTTTGAAATTTCCGAAGGTCGATAAGTTTGAAATTTAACACCCTGTATATTATAGGAAGCCTATAAATACTGCATCGCTTATAGATTACTTATGAGTTGACGATAGTCGTCTCGACGAAACGTTTCGTTTTGTGCATTCAACGCAGAACCTGCTGCGTAAGATTCGTAAATCCTATTGGTGTATAAGCTCTTAAATTTAACTAAGATTAAAAGAATATACCAATCAGATAGATTCATTAATTTTATGATAGTCTTAAAGTGATTTTCAAAAGGTTGAGCTCAGAGCAAGGATTTTGGCGCCGGAAACTATATTTTGAAGGAGAAAAAGAGTGAGAGAGATATTTATTTAGACGTGCTTCTTATGAAGAATAATTATACCGTTAATTTGCCCGTACCAACGTAATAGCTTAAGTGTACTTAAGTGTAAATGTACTTAAAAAGAATGAGTATGCATTTATAATATGTGCATTTAAAAGGAATGAATATGCATTTATGATATCAGCTTATATATTATCGCAATAGAATAGTATGTAAAGAATGTATAATCCTGGAGGTCGATTATAAATATTTTTCTCCAGCGTAAAATCATAAAAAGTGAAAGTTTTCTAATTAAAAAACGTACGAACATTCACTTTTCACGAGTTTACATTAGAGAAAAATATTCATGATCGAAGTTAGGAAGTAAATAATAAGCAGTAGAGCAAATCGTGATTGTTAGAAAAATATATTTACGATTTATATAAGACCCAAAAAAAAAATATTGAAAGCAGTAGATAATATTTAAAGCAGTCTACTGGTACAATGACTTGCCATTGTTTAGAATAAGTTAATTATGTAATTAATAATTTTCTCCTAGTGTCTAATGTATAGTAATTTTTTTAGTATCTAATAGTAATTTTATTTCTAGTTCTAGTAATTTTATTTCTAGTCATTCCAGTAATTTTATTTCTAGTAGTTTTCTCTGTAATTTTCTTTATTTCTAAGTCAGGTGCTCGGAATTATTTTCACTTTTCAGAAATTTCAGGAGTCTTCCCTCACTTCCCCTTACCTACCCTTATTGCGTTCGCACGGCTGGTAGCCGCAGAACTGACAGTCATGCTCTCCACTTCAGCGGCCTGTTATCATTGCGCAGCTTTTGTATACCGTAGAAAAGCTGCGCAACGATAATGAAATTGTCGTTAACTCCAATAACGAGTCAAAGAATCTCACCACAAGGCCGTTGACATTATAATATCTAAAGGCCGATTGTCCCAATTTCTTGATAAGTTAATTGATAGTCAAATTATATGTTTATCTTTGTTTTTCCTTCAATTTAGACAAAGACAGATATATGATTTAACTATCAGTTAATTTACCGAGGAGTTGGAACAACCCTAAGAAGCGCTTACCCATAGCTATAATTACAATTCATTTTCACGGCTATTAGTAAGCACTTCTTAAATAGCATAACGTTAATGGCCCAGCGGCACGATTCTTTAACTCGTTAACTCCAATAACGAGTTAAAGAATCCCACCACTGTGGTGCGATTCTTTAACTCGTTATTGGAGTTAACGACAGTTTCGTTATCGTTGCGCAGCTTTTCTACGGTACAAAAAAGCTGCGCAACTGTAATGAAAGTGTCGTTAATTCCAATAACGAGTTACAGAATCGCACCACTGAGATGGAAAGCGCAACTGTCGGATCTATGGCCGCCCGGCGTATGAGTGTCGGGGGAAGAAAACTCAAAAATCGCTTAAAAAGTGAAAGCAATTTCGTACACTGTTCCGAGTACAGAGTTTTTCGGTATATTTCCTAGGCAAAATTTAATACTAACAGGTAATTTTTTTGTTAAGAGAACAAGTTATTTATAACTATCTTTCTGTGTAGATTATTGAAAAATGTCTGACAGCCGTTTGGACGTTGTAATATTTGGTGCCACTGGATATACTGGGAAGCTTGTAGTAAAATATGCAGTCGACTTTTGTAAAGAATGGCAATTGAAGTTTGGTATTGCTGGTCGTAGGAAAGAAGCTTTGGAAAATGTGCTTAAGGAATTTGCTGCAGATGCTGGTAAAATTAATTTTAGTGCTATTTTTTATTTAGCTAATTTAATGTCATAATTTTGTTTAATTTATTATCTTTATCGATAATAAATCTTAGCAATAAACTATTTTTTATACTCAATAGATATTTTAATTTTGATACATTATTTCCCAGGGAACGTGCCCATCATTCTGGCTAATGTTAATGACGAGAAGTCTCTGGAGAAAATGACGGAATGTGCCAAGGTACTAATCAATTGTTGTGGACCTTTTAGATTTTATGGGGAACCGGTTGTTAAAGCCTGCATCACTACTCGTACTCATTATGTTGATATTACTGGTGAACCACAGGTATTTCAGCATGCTTTTATATAACAAATACCACAATAGTTATTTGTTTATATACTATTATTTTTAATGCTTTGCAGTTTATAGAGAATATGCAATTACTGTATAATAAAATGGCACAAGAAGCTGGTGTTTACATAGTGCCTGCTTGTGGTTGGGAGAGTGTTCCATCTGAAATGGGAATCATTTTTATACAAAAAAAATTTGGAGGAGAAGTTAATAGTATAGAAATATATGCACAAGCTTATGCTGAAGCAAAAAACAAAAGTCCCTTGGTAAATTATGGAACTTGGGAGTCTCTGGTATATAGTATAACTCATTGGAATGAGCTAAAAAACTTACGTGCAAAATTGTATCCTGACAAATTGCCAGAGTTCACACCAAAGTTGAAATCCAAGTATGCATTTTTTTAAGCATATTTTCAATTATAATTGTTTGTCTTCCACTTATGCCCTAAGGTTTAAAAATTAAAATATATGCAAGTGGTTGCAACAACATATTTACAGTAGAGCAAAAATATTACAGCATAGTAAGTGCTATGATAAGCATTGTCATTAACTATAAGTAATTAAATATGCAAAAATAAAAATAACGAGTAGAATGTAATCTCTGCTATTATTGTTTTCTGTAACTTTTCTCATTTCAGAGGTATCATACATAAAAGTGATGTTACCAATAGTTGGTCATTAATATGTCCGACCTCTGATCGTTCCTTAGCCATACAAACACAGCGATTTTTATACAATAAATACAAGCAAAGGCCTGCACAAATTCGTAGTTACTTATCAATCGAGTTAGTACAAAGATATTAGTAAGAAATGTTGTGAATACTTTTAAAATGACATTTCTTAATACCATCATTTATTTATAGCTCTCTCTTTGTTATTATTGGATTAATTTTTATTGGTGCAATCTTAACCATAATGACTCGTATGGCATTCACTCGTAAACTGCTTTTAAGAGTATGTGTAAAAATGTATTTGTAATTCGAATTCTATTTCTTGTACAAATATGATGCTAATCGAACGCAATGTTTATAGTATCCAACTTTATTTTCCTGTGGCATCGTGGGACGCGAAGGCCCCACGCGCAAATTATTGGAACATCAGCGCTGCTTTATAACATTTAAAGCTGTCGGGTGGAGCGAAAAATTGTCTGAGCCTACTGACAAACACACAGAACCACCTAACAAGGAACTGATTGTAAAAATGAATAGTGGATCGGCATACGATGCAACTTGTATCGCAGTGATCTTATCAGCGATCATGATTCTTAAAGAAGCTGACAAATTTCCTAATAAGTAAACGATCAGCTATTTATTTATTAATAGATTAAAATCTATTGCTTCTATTTTCGTTAATTTGAAAAGTTCTAAAAGAGCATTAAGTATATGTATATATTAAAAGATATATCATATTTTAAATTAGTTTTACTCATATTGATTTATTTTATATCTTTACAGTGGCGGAGTGCTTTCTCCTGGTGCTGCATTCAGGAACACATCTCTGATCGAAGAAATGGATAAAAACAACATCAAATACAAGGTGATAAAGTCTACCGAGAAATAAAAATTATATGCAGGTTTCTGCATATAATCCTCGCTGGATATTTCTATACCAAATATGATGCAATTTTTTAACACGTTTGTGTTTGATTTTAATACTAATATTTGTGAGTGATGGTTTGCTTTATACATTTATAGTTTACGATATATACGAGAAAATTATTTATAATACGTATACATATATGTGTTAACTCAGATATATATATATATATATGTATGTACATATATCATATATATACATATATATACATACATATATATATGTATATATATGAGTTAATGTCTGATTATTTCAAAGAGAGAACTGAATACGGCAGCAAAATTTAAAAAATATGCATTTTGTATCATGTTTTTAGTGTTACAGTATTACAACTATGTAGAAATGTTATATTTTTCAAAGATAAATGTTTTATAGATAAAAGTAAAGAAGCTTTTGGGTATTAAGTAGAAGTATAAAATTATAAGATAATACATAAATTTTTCTTAAACTTATATTCAAAGTTTTAGTTATCATTTTATATTTGTCATTTTATATACAAAGTACAAATGCATATTTTATGATATATCATCTTATATAATATATATATATATATATATATAATCATGTATGTAGTACATGATATATATAAAGTGATAATATCATGAGATATATATTTTTCTAAATTGCTATTCAATATACATAATTTAATAGTTGCTCCATATTCAATTTTATACTAAAGCTAATTACATCATATGAAAGCCGTAACTGATGAAGGTGCTACATAAAAATAACATATGTTATAACTGGTGAAAAATATTAAGATGTTAAATTGTGATGATAGAGGTGTAAGATTTATTATTTAATATATAGAAAGTGGGAAAAAGATTGACGACCTATTTATAATTATATAGAGTGTAACGCATACCTTTCCTAGCAAATATATATTTTATAATTACTTTGAAAAATTATTATTTTGTATATTTGGGTGTAAATTAATATATTAATATTTTTCGTTTACAACAGATTTACTAACACAATTTAGTTTTAATAAAATAAATCGCTTACACCTTCAAAAAATGCAATTATTTTTCCGTACAAATAAACGGTTGAGACATTGTGCATGTGTATGCCTCAAGGAATATATATTTTCCACTAAAAGAAAACTGAAGAAATTATCCATTTGTCTCCACACATATACATCCTTTTTAAAATAATTTCGAACAAATTAAAATATCTTCCACAATCCTTTTCCCATTTTCATAATAATGCGATCCATGACTTTTTAAGACTTGACATTCCTTGTCGATGTCACTTCCTCGTTTGTACATATCAGTTGATCTTACTTTCAATTTATAATGTGTGATATCCTTTACTTGCGGATGTTTAATCACGATATTCTGACGAAGAAACATTACTCGCTGCGCGATGCGTAATTATGCGATTTCTTTTGGGCCAACTTTCCTTCGTTGCTCGCTAATACGAGGAAGGAAGGAAGGCGAGTTGACGTGTATACTATAGCGGTAGAAATCTCGGAACAGTACGCTCGCATACCAGCCAGTGTACTAATTCAACGCAGCTACGTCATACAGGGGGATTCCACGTGCGTGAAATCCCTTCTCGGGAGAAATTACGTACTTGATTTTTGCCGGTGCGGCAAGATCGTAAAGGTACACGAGGCGCAGGTCGCGCATCGCAATCGCTGTTCGCGCGAGATATGTAATTTATTCGACTCGGTGCTCTCGTTTCCGCGGAAGGCCGCGTCCGTCGCAAAAAGAGCTCCAGGAGCGCGCATGAAACGTATCGCTCTACTTATTCACCGCCGTGATCATGCAGTTTTACGCCGAAGTTTTGCGATATTCTTTTTCTCTTTCGGCCGTCAGGCCGTTGTACCCTGAAATTGAACGGGTGTTGTTCAAAAGTTGTAATCTCCGAAAGGAGGAACGATGTATTCGGACGTAAGGTGTTTTTTACCTGCAAGACCAGTTGCCCGATAAACATTGTTTATCGCGAATGCAGTCACGAAAATGTTGAGATCAATTTATCTCGCGGATAAAAGGAAAAATCATAATTTCTCGAACAGAATTTTTATTTAGTTCAGTTACTCCGCTGATTAATTTTCCAGTGACTTACCATTAGGAAATGGTTACAGATCCATGAGACAGATTTGTGAAATTAGAACCGGAGCGTCGTTCTGCGATCTGAGAAGAAGTAGGAGAATGGATATATACTATATATACTTGGATGAGGTGTTCAGTCTATATCTCTATGCATTGGTAATTATAGTTATAAGAAAATAGTAATTATAGTTACAAAATGTTGGAATATTAATAACAGTTTATTAATTCATAGTGGTCATAGATTAAAAGCGTTTCCATAGATCTAAATCGCTAAATTATAAAGTAGAGACCTACTCAGTGTCGTAATTAGCTGAATCTGTCGTATTTTGATTATGAATACGCGATTGAGATGTATTATTGATAATTTCAAAATTTTTTATCACATTCTTATAACGCGATATTTCCAATACAGCGATGAATAACGCATAATGCATAACTGTTGCGCTACAGTTTTATTATTGTATTATTTCAATTGTTAAATTTTTAACGTAACACACTTTACGCAAGGGAACAAAATGAATGTTTGTTTCTGGCAATTTGACACACGTTTACAACGTACTTGCTATCGCATTCATATACGTTTCAGGAACATACTACGTTTCCTGTATATACTAGGATGTTATTGCAGAACGTTTTGAGCAATAATTACAGCTAAATTTAATTTATTAGTTAGGCTTAGATTTAGATAATTTGGTTGCACAAGAAGAAATACTTTTGTCTTATTACTACAATATCTTAAATATCATATTTTCAGCCAATAATTGAGCGCACTTACGATTAGCAGTCCATTTTCCTTTTTCTGGTCTCATCAAGAAGCACATTCATAAAATATCCATAATGTCACGGAAGGATGATGAAAAGCAACATTAAGTTACGTACAATGTCTGCACGCGAGAATTACGGTACGAATCTATCAAAGTTTGTATCAACATTTTTACGTTGAAGGGATCTCAAAGCGAAAACTAATAAAAAACGTTCCGCGTGATGGTCGCTCATCCTTGATAGGAATTTTCAGAGTCTCCTTTCATTTTATAGCATCTCGGTTTCGATCATCGTTTACTTCATAAATCCTTGATTGTTTAATATATATATAGCTGTCCGTGAAAATAGACTTTTTCCACGGAAACGAACAAATATTATTAGTCTATATTCGCTTGACGTTGAAATCTTCTTCTTTCTGTCGTAATCGATGAAAAGACGATTTAAGGGTCAATCGTATGACCATTAGCTGCGCATGAAATGCCGATTTAGAAACCGACGTATCTCTCAAGCTTACCGCGGTGCGTTAGGTTTCCCTGCGCTATGAGTTCTGTTATGCTAAATGGCAAAAAGAGAACGAAGGTGCAGGAACACGCGGGCAAGAAGTATCGAGGTCGATTTCGATGAGCGTTTTCACTATCGAGGGTGAGAACGTTCTATAGTGTTGCAGCCAACTACTATTCGGCCTTGTGCCAAGTCAGGTATGACTGCGTAGCACCAGTTACGCAGGAATCGTGTGTCACTGCCGTATCTTTCACGCACATCAAATCGGATTCCCCGGTTAATTACGTGTCGCAGTAGTTTCAGTGTCGAGTTACCGCAAAAGTTGTCGCAGACTTTTTTTCCTTTTTTGCCAAAGCGCGCCATGCTCGCGATTATCATCTAAAGATTTCAAGCGTGTCGATTTCCACGAGAGATGATTTTCATCGTTGACAACTTATGAAAGATCGGAGCACCGATGAATCATCGTGTGTGCGAAAAACCGCGAATATCTCCCCGATGACTCGACGCACAATGTATTCTCGGATTAAAATGTAGCGGACAATATTTTCAGGCTTGTATCTTCAGGCACTCGACGGGTACTCGACGATCTCGAAGAGAGCGTCGCTTTTCGGGACTTTCCGTTACTCGCGATGCCAAATTCTCTTGTTTCTGGACGCGTTAGGGTTTACGGTCAATTGTCTTTTTCTTCACCATTGCGCCGATTAGTCTCTAATATCGTTGCCTTCACCTGTTTAAAAACCTGCTACCGTTTCGTCTCCTCGCACGTGTGCGCGCGCCTAGGATGGTTTTATGTAACTTTGTAACGCGTTTTATTATTTCCTTCGAAGGTCTACCACTCGCGGATGCGCAAAAACTGGTCTCAAGTACTTTAGAAATCAGGATATATTTCCAATAAGGATTGTTAGTCGCGTAATTGACATCTTACGGTCCCTGCATTAATGGCCGAGGCCATCCGTTCGCAACAAAGTGAATTAACATAAGTCGCGCGTAAGCGAATAATATGACTGTTTTTCTTTTCCAGGCGCTCTCGACGTATTACACAGGAGTGTTGATGTAACACTCGCGACGATGTCATAATCGCGCTGTGGGCGAGAAAATATTTCGATAAAATTTGGGACATGCCAAGGCTGACAGTGAGAACCGTGTATTAGGAGCGACAGATTAAGAAGGCCGATTTAAGTCTCGCGAGTCTTAGCGCCTCGAAGTTTTATCTCCGTCGAGCAACCGTCGAGAATTTAAGGAAAAACCTTGCGACGACGTTACACGTGGTCTTGCACGTGCACGTGCGTGACCTTAGAAAAACTCGTGTTCCCCACAAGGTCATGAAAACCCTAACGATTTCATTCGAGTTTTCTTTCTTCTGCTAGAAAGAAACGCACGTTCCACTCCGAGAGATTAGGTAGTGTTTCGCAAGTGCGAATAATTCTCGTCGTAATATACAGACAATTAGCGAAATAATACAACTAATACCTGGCAATTGCGCAGGAGATTATCAGTGATTGCACATTTTCGTCGAGAGGAAACAGCTTCCGAGTTTTTTTTTTTCGCGTAAGTGGATAGATTGGCCATTGGGACATACACGGATGCGGTGTGCACACGTCGATATAATCGTCGAGCATTACACGCGCTCGTGGGGGTTGAAAGTCGCGCGATGAGGAAAGGGATGGCCGAAGTAAACGGCGCGCTCACGCTTCCTCCGTGAGTAAAAAGGAAAAACGGCACGTAAAGGAACCGGTTGTTTGACGTTGGGATTCTCCGTGACGCAAGTACTTTCCGCGTCGGTCGGGCCTTTCGTAAAAGACCGTTTTACTTCGTACACACTTCTCCTTTCCTCTCTCCTCGTCATTATCCTTTTTTTTTATCTGCACGCGAGCGAACGTCGGTAGATTTACACGCGCGATACACATAATCAGCACAGTCACTCGGATAAAAGAAAAACGGCTTCGATACACCTGATACCGTCACGTCCTAACTCGCATGCATGTTGCAGGCTGAGGATTCTCACTTACGCAATGTGAGCGAAACATTAAATCATGATATTTCGTGGAAATCGTGGAAGGAAGGAGAAATCCAAGATCCAATTCCCTGAGGACACATCTCGAGACAATGTCGAGCTACTCGGGGCATCCTCCGTGCTGCAATGTGGGCGGCTTGTTATCAGTGGGCTTAATGGTTCCAGTATTTCCCATGATTTCTAAAATCTCCCGGCTTATTCTAACCGGCGTTCCGCTAATGATGGAATCAATTACCACCAACTGAATGAGATCGATCGATCACGAAAATCCTTTAACTTAATCAAGAAAAAAGGTTAGTAGAATTTTTCAGCTTGACAGTGAACGAGCCAAATGAGTTTTGAAGTGCGAAGGAAATGGAATTTACGACTGTTAGAGCTGGATATTTGATGCACAAGGACCAGAGATTCTGTTTCCTACGACTTTCCCAGGCTTTCGATTCGTTCACTGCCGCGTTAATTCGATCCGTCTCTTCCCTCCGTTATGGAAAGAAGCATTCTTATAGATCCGATAAAACCCAGAAACCCCAACACCTAGGAAAAAAGTATTTATTATTGTAAAGTGATTTTTCCCATAGTCTCATATTCTAAGCGAAGCCTTTTACAGAAAAAGGATTCTCCTTTCGATAAAGCGATTAAAGTGAACCATTCATCTAAAATTTATTAGATGTTATTCTAACTGTTCTCCTCTTATTTCCAGAGGATTTTCTCTTATATCAATTGATTTTTCGCTTATACAGGATAATTCAGAACAACCTTTTAAATATAAAACTACAAAATTCTGACCAAATTTTAAGATACTTTTTCCTCTTGCAAAATTCTGTCTGAAGCTTATTTTTCAAGTTATTGGTAAAAATAGTTTTATTACCGGTTGGATACAGAAGGTAGACAGGGACGGCGCAATTCATCGTGAGATGCGAACGCTAATGTACATCAGCAACACAACATAATACAACACGTACTTATTTCACTACAAGAAGCAGCCACAAATAATTTCACAGATAACACTTATACACACAGCAAAAGTGTTTAGAAGGCTGAATGCAGAGGAAGAACGGGAAAAAAGAAACATTTCCTTCCATCTTCACACCGTTGTGTCAACAACTTGCCATGTTCACTCTGAAAGGCTCAGCCTATCGGTTTAACTGCACTATCACCTGCGGTATCACGTTCGCCGTGTGTACAAGTGTTCTCTGTGAAATTATTTGTGGTTGCTTCTTATAGTGAAATAAGCACGTGTTGTGTTGTGTTGTATTGTGTTGTGTTGTGTTGCTGATGACGATTAATAATTCCTAGAAGAAACACGTGATTATTTATATGTTTTTTTCAAGGCTTGGCAGTCGCCAAACAAACATTCATCGATCGATCGTGATTAATCATGGTTAACGGTAATCAATTGTGTTTATTAATGTTCTTTTCTCTTTTTATTCCAAGTGTGTAAGTGAGTGAAAAAAATAAATCAGAAGAAAGAGACTGAGAAGCAGAACTTGCTTTCATTTGTGTGCACGTTTCCAACATTACTGCCAATTGTAAAAATCTTTCCTATTATAACACACAATCTTTACATTGGCAATGAATATTGGAACGCAGCTGATGTAGCGAATAGCTGATTGCAGCAAACACCCCGCATTAGTGCATGAGTTGCGCCATCCCTGTCTACCTTCTGTATCCGATCTATAATAAGGTAACTATTTTTGCCAATAACTTAAAAAATGAACTTCAGACAGAGTTTTGCAAGAGGAAAAAGTATCTTAAAATTTTGTCAGGATTTTGTAGTTTTATTTTTAAAAAATTGTTCTGGATCACCCTGTATATATTACTTTTCGCTATGCATTATAGTAATTTTTTCAAATTAACTAGTATTACCAGTAAGAATAAAATGCAGTAAGAATAAATAATAATCCTCTTAAAAAGAGATTAAATAATCGGTGTAATAAGAGGAAATTTATGTTAAAATCAATAAGATTTGTATTATACATATAACATATAATCTAACTCTAAAAATTTCTACTCCTAGTTTACCTTTGACTTTAAAAATAATGTGTTTATAATATTTTCCTCTTAATTTTAGAGGAATCCTCTTGAGGCCATATGTCTAAAGTTTAGATGATTCCGCTTATTCTGAAATTGCTTTTTTTTTTGAGTGAACATACTTAAGCTTACGGACACTATTGCACAGTGTCGTGATAATTTACGTACCGACGTTACGACGATGTATAAATATCTCATAAATCAATCAAAATCTATCAATATTTTTATAATGCGGAGCCATTCGCATGGGACGTGACATAAAGCAAATCAATCTGCAGATTGCACAAAAGTACGGAATAACCGGCGGTCTAAGAGAACAAAGAGGAGGAGAACAATCCGATTACAAGCCTGGACTCGAGCCGATGTCTGATTAATCCTGAGTCCTGCGAAATCACCATCTCTCACTGTCAATCATCGCCAAGTACCGACGCGTGTGAAGAAGGCAAGGAACGAACCAACAGGAGGGATTGATACGTAATCAAGAGGGGGCTGATTGCCTCGACTACAAAATCGAAAATCGCCATTCACCCCTCCCGAACGGAAGTTCCTTTCGAAATCTTATCCTACTGACAATTCCGGGTGAGTACCAAAATACACGGCTGTTCAATCGGACCGCCTGCGCTCAAATCCGCTTCCAGCTCCGACTGCAGGGTTGAACAAATACGACAAACGTCAACGTTGACGTCTTTAGGAGCGAGCGGTTACATCGAGCGGACAGGACACACATCCGCAATCGGGGTCTCGCGATCCTGCCGATAACGCCGAACTTACAGAAAACGGTCACCTGACCTGACGAGAGAACAACATCCGGATCAACAGCCGGGCTCCTCTATCGCTTCCCGGCGAGTGCGTACGAGGTACCAGGATCAGATTGCGATTAACGTCATCGGACGTCACAGCGAGATCGGCGGCAAGAGGCAAGAGTACAATTAACGAGAGGTCCGCGCGAGAAATGGACAGAGAGAGAGAGAGAGAGAGAGAGAGAGAGAGAGAGAGAGAGAGAGAGAGAGAGAGAGAGAGAGAGAGAGAGAGAGAGAGAGAGAGAGAGAGGAAGGGTATGAGCGAGCGAGAGAGAGGCAGAGGGAGAGACGCGGCCGCGCATATATACGCTTTCGGAAGGACTACGGGTGACGTTCGCTCTCGCCACCGCCACGCCGTGGTTCCCGTTCGGACCGACCGATCGACAGACAGACCGCTCGACCTCGACTCACGCTGGTGGTCCACGCCGACTCGCGTCAGTCGCGCTCCGCCCGTCATCCCAACAGCATTGTCCACGCGACTTCTCCGCGCGTTCGTCAGCACTCGCAAATACGCAAACACGCACAAACGCACGCACGCGGTGCCGGCACGCTCCTCGCCGCTCGCTCTCTGTCTCTCCTCGTTCGCACGTGTCGTCCTCGACGACGTTGTCTCCGACGGTCGATACGCGCGCCGCTTTTCGAATCTTCTTCACGCAGCCCTCGCCGTGCCGGGGCGAGCATACTCGCTCCCCCTCCGCACGAGTCATCGTGTTAGAGTAAGTCCAGATCAGATGGGAGAAAAACGCAGGGAGAGCGTCAGATGCGAAGATCTTGCCGCAGAGGTGCTGAAGGTCCTCGTGTGATAAAGTTTCCCCAGCCGGGATAATCGAGGCAAGTGAGAGCCAAGATCGCTGGTCTTGAAATGGTAATATGCTGTAAAGTTGTTTGAAAATATTCGCATTGTCGAACGTTTGTTCTAAGTGTGTCTAAATTTCTTTTGAATGATTCTGAACGCTTGGATCCTCTTCGGGTCAGAGTCAACGTGTAACTATCTGCTTACACATGTGACTATCGTGTAACATTTTTGAACGTTCAAGCTTTCAAACTACCTTTTAATACATTACCGTTTTAATCGCCAAATAGAGAGTTGGATCTCACTCGTCTGTGCGTCTTTTTCTTCTTGACTAAAAATTACCATGTCGTAGAAACAAGCCCATTTCCGAATAGCTTGTCCACCGTGAGAAGTAGCGGGAATAATTGCACGTTTGTATCCTCGTGGGATCATTGGTCCCACGACTTTTGTCATGCGACGAATGTCGGCCGTTAAATTGTTGAGTTGCTGGTAAAACGGGGGACGCGCGCAATTAATAACGTTTCTTCTGTCCTTTTTTGCATATTGTTTAATATTGAAAAATATTCATCTCTAATGACAACGGCGCAGCATTTGCATGAGATTGTTTTGCATCTGATACTCTGACATTTGAAGCCGTTTTATCAATTTCGTTCGCTTGTCTCCGTTTATTCCCGTGGCGTACGTTGCACTCATCGACTCATCATATATTCCCTCAGACGACAATAAGAATACTCCGACCCGTTGATTCCGGGGATCCTTTCGGCCAGCCGCGAGTCGAAAACAAAAGTGCCAAGATCGACGTCGAGAGGAGATCGCCAGTCATGAACGGGATATCGAATCAGTGCTCCAAGCTGAAGATGTACGACGGCGAGGATGAAAAGGGAATAATGATCAAGAAGCCCGGGCCGCTCAGGACCGTTTCCTGGAGCGAGAATGTGGAGGAGACCGAACTGGACATCCCCGGGACGCCTAGAACACCGCGCACGTCTACGACACCAGGTAACATTTCGCGCGTCGCTCGCAACGGCCGTCGAACGTCTTCGCGAAAAATCTTCCCGTTCCGATCGCGCAGTTCAAGGCGAAAGATTCGTCTTCATTCAGTCAAACGTTGACCTTGTCTGGACGAATTTTGTACGTTCGAATTTCGTCGACGTTCGTCTGCTCCGTAGTCGATGTTCTTTTTATGGAAAAAACTAGAAATTGAAAGATGCATCAGAGCGAGGTTGTTTCGTTGGGACAACTTTTGTTCTGCGTTTTTCCGGTCCGACCGGTTAACGTTGGCCGTCGACGTAATGCTCTCATATCGCATCATAATGCGTCAGGCTCGAATAGATTGGACGAAATTCCTGAGATATTTATGGGTCAGTTGCTGCTAAATATAAACCGCTGCTATTGCTTGTCAACAGGAGTAAAAAAAAAAACACATTCTTCACCTACACGTTCCTTTTATCAAAAGCTGATCGCAACAAGTCGGGCAAGTGACTTTGAAGATGATTCGAAATCGAAATCTCTCGATTGGGACGTCAAATCTGCCGACGGTCTCTTTATTTTCCCTAAATCTTGATCGTTGCATCAACCGTTAGGCAGCCTGACTTTCCACCTATGTGTGTTCTTCCACCTTAAAAAAATGCACGCAGCCAAGGAACGACATATCAGTACCTGATTTGCTAAGTTTATCTTCACATACGTCACAAGCTTGTGTTTTGTAAAAACGTTTTGTAAAAACATTTGTAAAGTCAACGATTAGGTCGACTAAAAATATGTCGCTCGCTCGGACGACTTTCCGTCTTGGTCAAACATTAGCGGACAGTCAATGAAATGAAGTAGCCGCATTAGTCATCTAATATTCATCTTGAGGCGATAACGCACGAGCATCGAGAGCATGAGTGTCGAGAGATACGGTTACAGCGATGCGTAACAGGTAACCGTAACCGTTACATGCAAGCATTACAAGATAAAAGTGACAAAAGGAACCGTCATAGAAGAAGATAAGTGAAAATGAGATCCGGAAAACCGAGAGAAAGGAATGGTTAATGTCGCTACGACTATATAGCTATTCTCGGCGTAAACTATATCTTCTTGCGGCAACAAAAAAGTGCTTATATGCAGAGGATGTTTTTATCACTGCGGCATTTGCGGCAAACACAGCTCTCTGCGCTATAATTTACTCGCTATGTGATTATATAGTTACAAATACCAAATACTTTTTTCCTCGGTGTATCATCTATTATGCAGATTTATGTATGTGTGATTAAATCGACCGGATTCTCTCTCGCTCACGCCTTCGCAAGACCGGCACGGTATCGCGCGACGTAAACGATTTTCTACGATGCTTCTAACGGGACAGCTTTGTCGCACGCTGGATTCAATTACGCGACACGGTTCATTAACGAGAGATGGTCTAACTAAGTTTGCAACGTAAATGCGTGCTTCTCCCTCTCTCCCTCTCTCTCTCCCTCTCTCTCTCTCCCCCCCCTCTCCCCCCTCTCTCCCCTCTCTCTCTCTCCCTCTCCCTCCCTCCCTCCCTCTCTCTCTCTCTCTCTCTCTCTCTCTCTCTCTCTCTCTCTCTCTCTCTCTCTCTCTCTCTCCTCTCTCTCAATTCCTTCCATCTTCTCCCATTCTCTCTTTTCGCTCAATCTTAGAGAAGCCGATTGCTCGCGAGCCCATGAATATTGCACGTAAACCTTGAATCTGTTTTGCCGAGCACTTTCTACGCCGCTTACGCAGACGGAACAGCGTAACTATTTTAATCGCGCGCCATTTGATTTTCGCAACAGATCCCCTCAGACGCATTTCCACGGTGCGTCGAAGGAGGAACGAAGAACATTTATCGTCCGATAACGGCGAAACACAAAATCTCCATCGCTATCCACGGCTGGCCGATACGCAGCCGCGCAGCAGGCTGCATTATAATACGCGCGAGTCGCGCTGACTTGTTATAAAATCGACCGATCCGTTCGTGAATCGGTCATCGAATCCGCGAAAACGAAACGAACGTCGATAGTTGCGCAAGGGTGGGCGAGCCGACGGGCGGGCTCTCCTCATCGTGGTATCGCGTGAGCGCGAAGCCTCGCTCTGCCTTGTGTAGAGCGCAAGTTGCTCTCGATCGGAGAATCCGCGAGATTCGGCCGAGCAACTTGTTCGGCGCGGCTTCGAACTCGAGACGAGTCTCATGAAGCGAGACCAACGCCGCACGCTGCTCTCTCTCTCTTTCTCCCTCCCGATCTCGGCGCGATCTCGCACAAGATATTCGATCAATCTCGTGCAAGCGAGAACAAAAAACGCTCAATCGGCTTGACCGCGCGAGCTTCGTGACGCGAGATAGCGCGAATATTCGCGTCGCGACGACGACGTGACACAAAGGTCGTGACCCACGCGATAACGAAGATGTTGACATATCACCGGGTGCGAGCCTCGAGCACGAGCTCGAGACGTCGCCGGATGGGGAGAGAGAGAGAGAGAGAGAGAGAGAGAGAGAGAGAGAGAGAGAGAGAGAGCGAGAGAGAGAGAGAGAGAGAGAGAGAGAGAGAGAGAGAGAGAGAGAGAGAGAGAGCGATCATCGGCAATCCCCGATCGCCCGGCAAGTATCTGGACCGCTAATCATCACGCTTCAATCTTGCGTTCGCAGGCCACGAGAAATGCATGTTCCACCACGATCTGGAGCTGGACCACCGGCCGCCCACGCGGGAGGCGATGCTACCGGAGATGTCCCGCAGTTACAAGTTGCTGCTGAGCTCCTTGGGCGAGGACCCGGAGCGGCCAGGCCTCTTGAAGACGCCGGAACGCGCCGCGAAGGCTATGCTCTTCTTCACGAAGGGCTACGATCAGAGCCTCGAGGGTGAGTGACTCGCGTCTTTTTTCATTCAGCATCGCGACCGTCCGCCAACAGCTCTAACTCACCTGTCCGATTCGTCTCAGGTCGTGTCTCAAGTTGTGACAAGCGGAAGTATGTCGCTCGCCTCGAGGACTGACGCTCGCGTAAAAGATTAGCACCGGCAGGTATAAGGACGATGAATTGGCGGTGTTGGCGAACTGTGACTCGCAGAAATAACACTCCGCACGATGTAGGAGTAAAAGAAAACCGTCGACGGGCGGTCTTTTCGATCGCTCGCTCGCTCGCGTATCGTTCCTATCGTGAAAGTACTCGAGGAAGTTTCCGATCGCTCCATTATCTCCTGGCGTTCTATCGTGTTTTCTTTTTTTTCCCCGGGGAAAACGGAAGTCCCGCGATACCTGTCCGGATGTCTCCTCGTCGACGATCGTTCTCGCGATAAGCGCTGGAGATTGACAAGCGGCGACGCGATCACGGCATGATCGCGCGCTTATCGCGGAACTATCCGAGCTATTCGCCTTTCTAGCCGGTGCCGAGATATTGCAAAATTAACGCGCGAAAGAAGGAAAGAAACGCGAGTAGCGCGCGGAGCCTTGACGGTCGTCGGCTAATCCAAGGTTGCGCTCGAGGATCCGCGCGATGCGAATTTTGCAAGCGGCAATTACACGCGGCTGCGATTGCGGTTCATCGGTTATTGCTTAACAACGCGGCCCGTCGGGCCCACCGATCGCCTGCGGCCGTTCTGCGAATTCGACTTCCTCACGTTGTTAATTGTCTCGACGCGATCGGCGATTTCGCTGGCCGCTACGTGGCCGGCACGGCGGCATCGCCGAAAGAACGTTCACTCCTTAAATGTCAAGTACAGCGCTCTTGACTTTGGCATTGGGCCGTGGCACGCATTATCGGACGCACCTGTCGAGACGCGTACCTGTCGAAAAGAGCACGCTGCACTCATCGCGCAAGGTGCTACCGTCGAAAAGATCGTGTCGCTCTTAGATCTATCTGGAAACGCGCGCGTCTCCGCTAAGTGAGAACTTCTCCCGAAGGCACTTGGAATTATTGACCAGAAGTTTCAGCTGGAATTTTAGAACTAACGATCTCTCTCTCTCTCTCTCTCTCTCTCTCTCTCTCTCTCTCTCTCTCTCTCTCTCTCTCTCTCTCTCTCTCTCTCTCTCTCTCTCTCTCTCTCTCTCTCTCTCTCTCTCTCTCTCTCTCTCTCTCTCTCTCTCTCTCTCTTTCTCTCTCTCTGTCTTCTTGTGTGTCACCGTGAATTAACGCCAAGACACGAGAGACACATTTCTGGACGGTGCGCTTCGTATATATGACGACCGACGTTTTCGAGGAGCAAATCCCACGTTGGAATTCGTAAAGTGGAGAATAATTTCGGGAGATGTAAAAAACGCGAAACTTCTCGAGAATCTTGCTCGTACGGGCCGGAGAGACGTGCTCGAAGTGCTCGACCTCGTCGAGGCCCGCGCGGCGCGCGGCGGGACGTTTCCTCGAGCGAGCGATTTCGAGCGCACGAGTGCCGTTTTCCGCAAACCGACGACTCTTCACCGTCGGATTGCACACTTCTTATGTAAGGAAATGCGCGAGCTGTGTGTAACACGGCGCAATTACGGCGGAGTCGAAGGTGCAATTTAGGGTGGTCGAGAGAGAGAGAGAGAGAGAGAGAGAGAGAGAGAGAGAGAGAGAGAGAGAGAGATAGAGAGAGAGAGAGAGAAGGAGAGAGATGGAATAATTAATTAGGAAACAATCCGTCGAGCAATTACAAGCGAGTTTCTTTTATTACGAATCATGGCGCGGGAAATTATAGGGACGCGCGCCTACTTCGCGAAAGTACCGCACTTTTCGTCTTTCTTACTCTCAAGGCGCTTTTCACGTCACGAGAGCTACGAGAGGAAGGATGGAGAGAAAAAGAAAGAGAGAAGAAAAATGAGGACCCGCGAGGGTGGGTGGGATTTAAGTGCGATTCAGAACAGGGAGCGTAAAGCTCTCGGTATAAATGCGGGACGTCTCAGGGACGCACGACTCGAGGAAAATCCCCTTCAGCTTGTTCTTCCGTGTTCCTCGCGTTGGACGTGCATACGTCGAGCGTTAAATGCCACGAAGTCGAGAGAAATGTTCGCGTTACTCATCGGATGAACGCAATCTTTCTTTCTTCTCTTCTTTCTTTCTTTCTTTCTTTCTTTCCTTCTTTCTTTCTCTTTCTTTCTCTTTCTTTCGCCAACGAAAAGTCATTTTATTTTTGCGTAATTACCGCGGTGAACGCGATATCGAATAATCGCACCGCTCATCTACTTTTATTTATTTCTGAATCACGCGTACACGCATTTATTTCCGTGTTAATTAGCCGCAAATACGTTCATGTTATTAACGTATAGGCATACATATGACAACGATCGTAAAAGTATTATACTTAAATATCCACAAGAGTGACAAATTTCGAGTAATGGTCTTGGAGCAAATTTTCATCCCGTTATAAATTTGTTCAGAAATCCAGTTTCAGTCACCGTCGATGCATTTCCGCTTTACCGAACGACTGAATATCAAGGAAACTTTTCGCTCCCCCCTCCCCCCTCTCTCTTTCGCTATACGCGCTGATCTCGTGCCTGTGTCAAACTGTTTCCCGCGCTGCTCGCGATAATCAAGTATCGCCCTGAAACGAGGCGGGAGAAGCTACAGGTGATGGAGAGACTTTAATTCACTTGGACTTAGCTCGAGCAGCGAAGGGGCTCTCGAGATAAGCTCGCTTAACGGTGGTACGGCGCGCCTCGATGAATCTCAAATGGAAGGTACTTTCATACGAAAGCACGACCGCCCTCGTCGCGTCGTCCTCTCGTACGGACAATTCCACTGTGGCTTTTGTCCCACTCACGGTGCTCGTGGGAGTTCCTCTTATCGGGAGTGTGGATGTTCCCGTGATTCCTGCGATGCTTTTTTCTCGTTCATTTCAACATTTCACTCTCTATCTGTATATCTATTTCACCGCAAGTTTCGACAACGTGAGTATGAAGGTGCGCGCCGCTCAACGAAGATACGATTGATTTCAGGACCGAGGAAAACTGCCCTTCTAAGATCGCCGAGATCCTCGATGGACAAATTCGTGGCGTTTCGTTGAGAAATATCCCGAGGACAGAAAAAAAGAGAGCGTGCCTACATAGGAAGGACACGCGCGGGGAGGGACTGCGAAAGTTAATCGAATCGCGCGCTATGAAAGCTGATCACGTTTGAGCCATCGAGTTGAAAAATCGAACTTTACACTCGGGGCTCGACGCGGACGGGGAGGAGGAAATTGCCTCGACTTCCACGCGTGTGACGTGTGCGGTCCTGCGCGTCTTCCAGAAAAATGGAACGAGAGGCATCAGATTCAATCGTACGCCGTCGTAATTGCCATGAGAGCGTGTTGCCATGAAACGCGGTGGTGTTTCATTCATCCGTCGAGGGTTAAAGATTTTCGTTCGACGAGGATACGCGCGAGTCGAAGGTTCCTCTTCTCTTGTATAATGCAACTTGCAATTGTCTCTCTCTCTCTCTCTCTCTCTCTCTCTCTCTCTCTCTCTCTCTCTCTCTCTCTTTTTCCCAGGCGCGCATGAGAGAGAGAAAGAATTCGAGCTCGAATGCGGGTCGTTAGGCGAATTCGTTCCAACGTTGTCGGTCATTGCGAAGGTGTTTCTTGTTAAGGTTGCCGTGGAAACCGTGGGGAGAGTACACCCCCATTATCTAGCTGCCGACACCTACCGGCCGCCCGCTCGCCCTCATACGTACGCACTACCACTAGGATCTACTGTGCAGTAAGTAGGTCAATATCGGTTAAATCACAGCCGAGATAACCCATCCAACGTCAGAGCGAAAGAGCGTTTCTTTCGCGACGCAGCGCGCAGCTGACAGTGCCAGCTCTCAGTTGCTTGCTTTCGCCGCGTTTGCTGAGTTCGAGCCCGACCGTATGCCCGACCATGATTCTTGTTCTTTTTCTTCTTCTTCTTCTTCTTCTTCTTCTTTTGTGTTAAAATCATTGACGAGTGCCAGAGCTTGCTTCCGCACTCCGAGGTCTCGATACGGGTAGAAGTTGACTGGTGCAGCAGTCCCAAAAATCTACTTCATAGCCATCAAGGTCCGGGCCGGCATAGTCCATTTCTTTTCTTTGGACACGGAAGTTATTCAGCTTTCAGCCACGTCGAGGAGCGTCTTGACCCCGCGCGCGCGGGTTTGATCGGCCGCGGCGTAGATTTTTATCGAGAAACGGTGCGAGCACGAGTTCTCGTATTCACCGTTGAACTATAGAACTAACTGGAAGGAATACTGCCTTTGTTTTCGCCGGATCATCGGGAACCGAGAGAGAGATATGGTTGATCTAAGTTGAATCTCCGTCTTCGTCTATCATATAGATGAACTAAAAGTTCAAGCTTACAAATGCGGTAAAGTGTATGTAGAACAGATACGAGATGCGTTAAATGTAGTAGAAGAGTTTCATAGACGCTAAATATTATGTACAAAATGTTCACATATAGAATGTTACTATAAAAGTATTATTTCACAAAAAAGACTGATAAAATAAAACATCTTGTTTCGCTTTGTGATTATTGTCTTCTTAAACAATAAAAGATTTTAATTAATATATTCATTATTCAAGAGTAATTGCTCTGATTAAAGTATGACTGATGATAGTACGTGCAAAATTTCGTTTCTCTCATCTGTTGAAAAGATTTGATAACACTTTCAGACCCACATTGTATATTGTGACTTGGGAAAACTTGGGAGAAATAGATTATAGTGCGTTAGTAAGACGGAGAGCGAGATTCAACTTGGTCATGACCTTTGTCTTGCATGCTGATTTGGCACGTATGAAAGTAGTACTCCTTCCAGTTAGTTCTATAGTTCAATGGTATTCACAAGGTTCACCCCGGGGTTCTTTTTCCTCTTCGCATTCCGCCTGCCGCGTTCCTACTTTCGTTAGCTCCCTTGCGTCTCCGCATGATATCATTCCCGCTGATTTGTTTGCTCGGCGATTGATCTTCTCGTCCTGCTGCAAGTTGATTTGCGCGACAGGTTGTACGCGAATAAAGCGCAATAACACAGGCGATCTCTGAGAAGCGAGCGGCGCCGTATTTAAAGGGTACCATGGGCTAAATGTAGTTGCAAGTCGTCCGTAACTTCGTCAGATAGTCAGTTACAGTCACGTAACTCGCGAAGATACGCGAACGGTAATTAATAAAGTTCTGTAAATTCTGTTAACTTCGGCTGCACCCCGGTCGCAATCCGGTCGGCTGAATCGCGGCTTTGTGCTGCGCACTTGCGCGATCATTCGGTGATGACTTACGGGAAACAAAGAGACGGTGAACAACGTCCTGACGGTCCGAGAAATTGCGTCCGATCTTTATCGTAAATTGTTATTTATTTTCTCACAAGTTGTGCTTCATAATACCGTAAAGTACAATCTGTGCCCTTGCGTCTCTATTGCGTCTCACGTTTACAATTTTATATTTATTGTATTTTATGATGCAAAATACAATATAAAACTCTAAAAGTATTATGAAATCTTTTCAACAGATGAGAGAAACGAAATTTTGTACGTACTATCTTCAGTCATACTTTAATCAGAGCAATTACTCTTGAATAATGAATATTATTTAAAATTAATTAATTAAAATCTTTTATTATTTAAGAAAACAATAATTACAAAGCGAAACAAGATAATGTTTTATTTTGTCAATCCTTTTTGTGAAATAATACTTTTACAGTAACATTCTATATGTGAACATTTTGTACATAATATTTAGCCAAACTAGTGCCAAACTGGTCTCGTCGCACGACTCACAATTCCGAATTCTCAAAAATCCACCCGTTCTTCCCCCAGATGTGATTAACGACGCAGTGTTCGACGAGGATCACGATGAGATGGTGGTGGTGAAGGACATCGAAATGTTTTCCATGTGCGAGCACCACTTAGTACCGTTCTACGGCAAGGTGTCCATCGGCTACCTCCCCTGCAAAAAGATCCTAGGTCTCAGTAAGCTCGCCAGGTAATTGAGACCCCACTATGTATGTGTGTGTGTGTGTTCAGATTCATCTCATTATACGCCCGTCAGATTTCCGAGTCGCGGCACAAACCGCCAGCGAGTAATCAACCCGTAAGGATTAGCCGGCAGCGTCGCGAGATTGCGCCGAGGTGACTCGATTAAAGGAGGGTCGCGCACGATCTCTCCTTCGCTTGGACGAACCGCCTAATTACGCGGCTCCGTCTCATCCCGCGGAAATCGCGTTGGGAGCGACTCAAAGTGCTCGACACGTCGAGCCGGTGATTCGTAGAATCTTGCCCGAAATCGCGATCTCGGCGATGATCGGACGAACGAGTCTTCAAGAGCCCGCGATATATAATTAACACGTCTAACGCGTTGTTCGTTTAGCTTCTTCCTCATTCTGCCGGCGGTATTCGACAGTCAGCGCCCGCGCCGGTGCGCTCGTCGGCAATTTTGTAACTCCGAGTTGCACGTCCGCTCTCGGTGGCCTGGCCTTGATCAGTGAAATATTAAGGCGGGAAGAAAGAATATGACGAGACTGGTCTCTTAAGACCGTAAACACTTTCACGCGCTAACGGCCCCCGCGAGCTCCGTTTACTCGTCGAACGCCGCGTTGAATGCGAGTAAACGGAGTCAGATGGTGGAAACCGCTCCGCCGACTGACATTCCGATGTGCTCTCGGAATAATGGTATGCTCGAGGACCGTCATCGTACTCTTTACGACGCGGACGAACAGGGCGATAATCACTTATTTTCTTTTCCTGAACGATGGCAGACAAAAAGAAAGAAAGGTGAAAGAGTGCGGCTAAGCGCTCGCACGTGGACGTCTTTCCTGATTTTAGAGCCATCGATAATGACAATTCTTTTTTATTTATTTATTTATTTATTCACAGGTACTAGATCCATTTTACGTACAAAAAAACAATAGTGTTGATATGCGTAAGATATAAGATTTTTGCATACGATTGAAGCTCACGTCTCTATTCTTCTTCTTCTTCTTCTTCCTACTTTCTTCCTAAGTCGAAACCTGTTTCCTTTGATAACCATACTCCTCAGCTTTTTAGTTCCGAGGTCGGTTACTAGAACTTTTGAGTTCTCTAAGTCGGTTGCTAGTCGGGCTTTAGATAGTCGGCACAGATCGGCATGAAAGTGAGCGGTTGACACAAGTCAGTACGCACTGAGGTACGTCCTGATTCCAAATATTTAATTCTCAAATCTGAGTCTCTTAGAGTTCTCGAGAAAAACAGCGCGATTTCAGTCACGCCGTATTGGTGGTTTCTGCGATTCCAACTTGTTACGTGCTGTCTGATAATCAGTTACACCAATCGCTAATCAGTTAAGGCTTTCCAATCAGGCAAAACTTGGCCGCATTCTTTCCCCGATGAGAGAAGTATCTGCCGACTCGGGTAGATTCTCGCGACATCGATTTCCACTGCAGGAGTGATCATGAGAGAAACATTTCTGTCACGCAGGATCGTGGAGATCTTCAGCAGGCGCCTTCAGGTGCAGGAACGACTGACGAAGCAGATCGCGATAGCGGTGACCAAGGCGGTGCAGCCGGCGGGAGTCGCCGTGGTCGTCGAAGGAGTGTACGTATATGATCCCCGCGTGAAAGATTCAAAGATGGCTTCGCCTGAGGTCACATCTTTGAGGACATGACGGTGTCCTCTCGTCCGGGCGAACGCGAGCGCGAGCGCGACGAAAAGTCTGCTCGCGACGCTTGCACAAGCGCGGCTCGTCGAAGATGAATCATCATGACGAGATATTGTTTCGTGCTGCAAACAAACGTAGAGACTGACGAAATGATGATCCACGAAATAATACGGCGGCGTTGCGTAATGGCGCGCCAGCAGCTCGCGCTGAGGCCGCTTTCCTTTCAATGCGGGCGCCCCCGCGAGACACGTGGAATAGTTTTCGCAGGTGGAATACGCGCGGTGGCACGTAAGAGCCACGACCTTGCGCTATACTGCCATCACACGCTCGTGGCTGTGCGCCTGCACCGACCAAGCAAGACGCGCTGGAGGTCCACAGTTAACGAAAGCATTCACGTAACGGTCCGCTTGTTTGTTACATGGGATACGCATTAGTGTGCGACTCCCATGAAGTAAATCTGCCGGGCCGGGGGTGGGTGTTGTCACCTCCGCTGCTGCCGACCGTTCGGGGATTATTAATCATTGCGCGCGATTAACACGTCCCGTACCGGATGATTCATGTTCGTCCCGGTGGCTCACGCTCAAGTCTTCGACCTGATATTTCGCTTGATATTTCGAAACGAGATCGAATCATGGGAGACGGTTGTTATATTTAACACGTAAAATTTCGCTTATAATGTGACCGACCGATGGCCTATGTTGAACTCTTCGTCCAAGTCGCTTGATCTTTGAGGCGAGGTCAAATGCATGAGATGCTTTGCTAATTATTATGAGTCACATGTTCGTTGACGAATAGAATCTCTCAGTCAGACCACGTGGGTAGAGAGATGTTACTCTTCGGCAGCTTCGAAGTCAACTTCGAAACTTGCAAGTTTTTTATGCCAAAGCTTCGAAGACTAGTCTTCGAGGATATCACTCTTCGGAGCTTCGAATACGACTCGAAGACTTCGAAGAAAAATTACACCTCTAGTCCGCGGTGAGCCACGCAGCGTGGACAGGTATAAAATTGCCCCGGCACGTGGACAACGTGTTAAATATCGAAGAACTCACGTGATAATTCAGAAGTGCCATCCGTAGACGCCGCGCGCGGCACCCAAAGAGTTGCGCGAGTACACTCGAAATATCCCGCGATGTATTCCCGATAACGATAACTGGGCTGTCTTGGGAAATAATGGAAGTCGTCTGACGCAGAAATAGCTCGCGTGCCTGTCGCCTTCCCGGGTGCTATTTCGGCCGGCTGGTCGAGCGCTATTTTTGCCGAACCCGCGCGATTAACGCCGTTACCGGTGATTATTTTTACCGGCGCGTCGACGTTATTTTCACGGCTGCGCTTTCAATCATTGATAAAATGATCGCCTGGTCCGTCGTTAACGATTCGACGATGTCTGCGAAAATAATAAACCGATATTATTGCCGTATTGCGACACATCGGGACGAGCGTATTTCCCGAGGCGGAAAGTCACGTTACGCGATAGTGCTCTCGTATTATCAAGCTGATCAAATCTTTTGCCTATTCACGAGTCGACAGCGTTGATAAGAGCGATCGTTGCACGCGGGCAGGAAACGGCACGTGCGGAATATTCATAAAGAGGACGAATGAGCTCACGAACGACTCGCGAGAACGGTGACGTCTTATCTGTTTTATCTTCCTCTCTTTTTGCCGTCGCAGTTGGTTGCGCATAATCCGCACACGTAATCCGATAAGTAATTGTCCGCAGAAAAACTCACCTTATATATTCGTTGCAGGCACATGTGCATGGTAATGAGGGGCGTGCAGAAGATCAACAGCAAGACGGTGACGTCGACGATGCTGGGCGTGTTCCGGGACGACCCGAAGACCCGCGAGGAGTTCCTGAATTTGGTACACAGCAAGTAAACACGGAGGACCGGACCGAGCGCGGTGCCATTACCATCATCAGGGATCGAGGGACCATTAATTGAGAACGCGTGGCATCGCCCGTGGATCGCCTCGTCCCGTTCACCCGATTGCTACCTCGTTGCAAGGACCTCGCCCGAAGGAGCTCATCGCAGGTCGCCGGCGAGGTCGCCCGTTCTCTTTCTTTCTTTCCACCCTCCCCTCTGCTCCCTCTCTCTCTCTCTCCCTCTCTCTCCCTCTCCCTCTCCCTCTCTCTCTCCCTCTCTCTCTCTTTCTCTCAGACATCCGCTCGCTTTCAGTTAGTTCCACTGAGAAGTAATTCTCGACTTATTCGACGATCGCGCGCGCGTCCTCGTCGTGCTACCATCTCGCGAGTACGCTCGGGGGAGGGGAGAAAGGGCCGTGACAAATCACTATCCGTGGCCGAGATAGCGCGGACGGATAGTGAGACTCGGCTCAGTAATGAGAGAACGCGCTTAAACTGCTGATTGAGTGACAAAGACAATATCGACGACGCAGTCCGTCGTCTGCGTAGACGCTCGCGAGTCTCCAGGGGGTGAGCGACGTCCCCGGGAGGCTCGCGAGCGGCTGGCCGCAGCGAGATGATGCACGAGCGATGTGCGTGCCGGAGCAAAGGGGCAGCGAATAGACAAGTAGCTGGCACGGACAGCTCGTAGTTTAGTTCGTGATAGTTAACGAGTAAACGCGCACGCGGCCGTCGCTGCTGGATCAGCGATCAAGCCGCGACCAGAGAGGACCACCCGGCATTCACTGTTCCTTCAGCCGAGCGAGTCCGTCGTCCAGCCGTTTCGAGGTGTTTTAGAAGAGTTTTAGAAGGCGCCCGGAGCCTCTCAGTCGGCACAAACTGGCGCATCGCAGAATCGGCGCGCTTCCCGTGACAATAAATTATACATCTTAGTAAGTGCACGTTATGTTTACTCCCTCTCTCTCTCTCTCTCTCTCTCTCTCTCTCTCTTTTTGGAGAACAGTCTAAAAGAAGTGTCCGACTCCTTCACCAGTTTGTGCCAAACATATGAGCTCCAGAGGCTCGATTTTACTTCGTCGACCTACATTGCGGAATCTTCGTGATACCGCGAATGGTTTTATCGCGTTTCTCGGATGCGGGACACGACAGCCACGGGTTCCGCATCGTTGCCTGCGTCGTGCAATTGTCCACGATTGTTCTGTTTGCCGTGCAGGGTGCTCGGCGATGAAAAGCCGGCGTGTGGCGTCGATGGGTAATATTTGAATAGTCCCGCGGATGAGCACTCGTGCGCAATCCAAACGTCTACCGTGACATCGAAAGCTACCCCCCAACACTGTCGTCTTAATCCTCGACGCTCCCGTCGTCGCGATCGGCGCGCGCGCGCGATGAAGACGCGCCTCTATCCCACCGAGCACCCCGCATTACATTCCTCTTCTTCTTCGACACGAGCGATCATTCCGTAGTTATAATTGCACACTTTGTCGCTAAAGGCCTCTCACGGAGGTGTCGCGGAATGCGCACTGCTACAGCCATGCGCTGCGCATCGCGACGAACATCGTCCTCGGGAAATGTGTACAACACCGTGTTTGCCTGATTCATCCGCCGAGACGTGCCCCGGGCAAGGTGATTGAGTCGCCCTCGGGGGAGCGGTCTCTCCCTCGGCTTCTCTCTCACCGATTGCGTAAATAATTAACTTGTTTCGACATCCGTTCGACCAGCGCGTCCTATGTGTGCTCCGCATTATGCTAACTAATTTCGCGCACGGAGATGCTCCCATTCATTGCGAATTTATGTGTTCATTTTTGTCGAATACAAGCGAGTACAAGCGCCCGCGCGACAGTGGATGAGATAAATAATTTATAGAGTATAATAATTTGTTTGCGCTCGCGTAATTATGGGGATATTACGAGAATTGCGTTCGTGGCAAAAGTTACACGTGAGAATCCGCGTGGGACATACGCGAATCCCCAGGCGGAACAGAAAATCCTGACTACGTCAAAATGACGAGAAAATGATCGAATTATACGGTAAAAAGAAAATGAATTTTCCCTCATTATTTTGATGTGATCATGATTTTCCGTTCTGTCTGGGCCTGCCGTTGCATTTCACTCGCGGCCGGCGCGAGCGCGCCGCCCTCGGGAATTGGGGAGATTTCTTTACGTCCTAGCGATAACGTGCAGCTAGTTTGTTGCGTGTGCGTAACGACTTTCGTTGGAACATGTGATTCGCAACTTCCTGCCTCAACAGACTGAAGTGATACTGAGCTTCGGTGTATATTCTCCGATTATACTTTCTGACGCTCTCGAGCGGAAAGAAATGTTCAAATTACTTGTGAAAGTGAATGTTCAATATTTGTAATATTTTTCTGATACTATATTGCATAAAGTTATATTTATATTTTCGACGACAGTGTTGTCGCTTGCATCGTTTCTTTCTCCTTCTCTCCTTCGCGCTTCCGTCCGGAATAATCCAAGATGTAATGCGCATGAGAATTTCTACGAATGCTACACGCCGAACCTCGGCAACGGCGCTATGTCGGCGTTCGTCATGGCCGGCGACTTGCACACCGTCGTCACGCTCTCGTCCGGACCGCGCAGGTTCCTCGCGTCACCCTGACGGAGAAGGAGGAACATGTTGCTATCCGTGAGCTTCCGGCTGTTGGCCGAAACTACGGGACAGCAAGGAGTACTGCAGGGTCGTCTCGTCGTGTCGTACGCCTCTCGGTTCTCGTTCTTCTTGCTTCTGTTGTTCGGGGAAGCCTTGTTGCTGCAGATCGTCGCGGCGGTGCTCTTCGGATGCCTCTTCGCACTCCTGGGACACGGTACGACCGGCTCACTGGCGGGAAAAGGTATCTCCATTAATTTGAATCACTCGCAACCTCGGCGACGTGGGAATGTTCGTTCGTTCTTCAGTTGGACACGACGGGAATAGCTTGTAAAATACTAATAAATTTACTGGATATCAAAACGGTAAGTATGTCTCGTATACTATGTTATGATACATTAATGACACATACGTTACATATCATCAAGATTATCTTTGATATTGTTTCTATTACACCGACAACGTCGATGTTGTATCATTAACACTTTAACGCATTCGTAGGTGCTGAATAAAGAGTCAAGCTCAAAGTCGTTTTCTTCCACGTCACTCGAAGGCGACGTGGAAGAAAATCTTACGGTGAAACGACTGTAATCGCCGGACACGGAGCGCAAGGAGAGCAACAGGGTATCGGGGGACAACGAAGGACTCTCAATGCCTCGACGTTCAAGGACGACACTCCTCGCAGTAGCGCTCGCTGAATTGCATTCTCGTACTCCACCCGTTCCTTCATGATTCTCTCGTTCTCCTTTCGAAGCCGTGTGACCTCGGCTTCGAGCTGTCGAGCGGAAAGAGAAACGTTATCAGCAGAACGTGGCGATATGCGATATTTGTGAAGATCGCGATCTCTTCGTCGCCTCTTTGGAACAACTACCTTTGACTCGTATTTAATCCTCTCTTTTTCCTGCTCTGTACTTTGCACCAACACAGTTCTGAATGCGTTTTCTTTCGTCTTTCTTTGTGGGTCCTTCGTGAATCTCTTTCTATCTGTTTCTCTTTGTTCGTCTTCTCTATCCTCTCGATCTCTTTCATCTTCTTCCGTTCTTCTTCTCTCCTGGTCTTCTTCCGTTCTTCGTCTCTCCTGATCTTCTTCCGTTCTTCTTCTCTCCTGGTCTTCTTCCGTTCTTCCTCTCTCCTGGTCTTCTTCCGTTCTTCTTCTCTCCTGGTCTTCTTCCGTTCTTCTCTTCTGCATCTCTTCTGTTTCCCTTCTGTCTCGTTCCCTTTCTGTTTCTTTCTTTGGCCTTTCTCCATTTTTCTCCTTGGCGGCTTTTTTCTGGTCGATCTCTTCATCTTCTTCGATTTTAGTCTTTAGTTCTTCAATATCGTCGTCGTATTTCTTATCTTTCTCGTTTTCCTTTGACTGATCATCTGTCTGCCGTTTGCCAGTTCTCGATGTTTCTTTCTATCATGATGCGATATAACGAGATTATAAAAACCCGGTAACAGTTTGTAACGTACTTCCTAATCGAAAACGCAAGAAGCTTCAGGCACGCGAGATTTCTTTTACGTACGCTTTGATAATCTGCTATCTGAGCTTTGAGATCTGCCATCTCACACGCCTGAGCCAATAATTCCTTGCTCAAATTGTTTATTTCGTTTTTGCAGGAGCTGATTTTGTTCTGCACGATACCGCTCCACTGTTGAATTCGACCCAGGATGTCAACGAACATCAGCTTTTATGGAAAAAGAAGAAGGTGAAGAGAGAATAAACCAAGCTCCCATCGATGCAATTTTACAGGTTGCAAAGGAGATTCGCTACTTAATTTGTATCAAAACAGATATGTATATATATATATATATATACAAGTATATATATGGATTTATTTGCGACGACTTCTTTGTAAAATACGAAACTACGGGTTATCAATTGTACCCTCGTCTCCTTCGCCCTCGAGATGCCGAAACAGTCTTACGACATTCTACTTGAATGTGGGGCTCAACCTTTAAATCGTGTTCGAAGTTCTCGCCTAAAGTTGCTAGAGCTCTCACGGCCTCCTCAAGGTTTTGATGCACGTATTCGATTATTTCATCTACCTTCCTGTCCCTGGCCCTACCAAAGCGAATTGCACAGATGATAACGATATTTTATTCATGGCGACTTACCAATGGCGACAACATTATCGTTGCTACTACCTCTCTATGTATATAAGCGGGAGGTTTTAATAGAAATTTCGCCCGAGACAATTAACACGCGTAAAGTATCTTGATTGGTTCACCCGACTAATCCTGGTGTCCGTGAAATGCAGACGCAGCAGGGGCCACTTGCAGGAAGAGACTGCTTGTTTTCGGGGTCTTTCACTTTAGCTGCCGGTTGCACGGTATCGTCTACGGGTGTAGGCGGAAGATCTGAGGATGGTAGTGGTATATCTGACACTTCGGTATCAAGTTCCGGTACAACCGGCACAGCAATCGCAGGTTCCACTTCAGATTTAGCTGCAGGTTCTTCAGAAACGTCCGCGCCACCCACGAGGCGGTCGCGATCGTGCACTCTCGGCGAATTGATTTTATAAGCGCTCATAGTCATTGATTTATCATTAAATATTTCGGTTGACGATGAACGACGTTTGCAGGTGACGAGAGCTGTTAAGGACGAGAAATGTTAAGGACGCACGCTTGGCTAAGAGAAAAAGCACCTCTCACAATTCGGCTCACCGCTCTTGCAGGCGTTGTTCAAAAGTGTGCGCGGCATTGCCCTATTTTTCAATTATCGAAGATATCGAGAGGCCAGTTTCTCCCAATGTATGAAATATCACGTGTCTCGTACATCAGACGTATTAGATATTGCATTTACCAAATCTTGCACAGAGAGGTAAGATAAAACAGCTCCTCGGAGATGAAATAAAGGACATTACATGGTTCTTTGCGTTTTTCGATCTGAAGTAATGTAACGGCGAATTTGTCAATTTAAACATTATTTGTAGAGCGGTACAATTCAAACAGCTTAATGACAACAAAGAGATAAGTACAAACCGGTATGAATTTGCAGACTATCAATACATCTGAAAAGTCGAGCTCAAGAATCTCGGTAATAAATGTATACTCATATCTCGCGATGTTGATGAGGAATCTAGTAGGATTTATGATTAATAACTTTGCCGCTTCATCTCTGGTCTGTATTTAATACGTATCAATACATAAAATGTTCAATGCGTTCGTGAAAAAATATGACGCATCTATCGTTGCAATTGCGCTTATTACACATTATAGTAAATTCAAGCAAACAAGATGGAAAACAGAATATTGTCCCACAGCGTCGTTATGAAAGAAAGAATTCCATTTTATGATGACAGAACTATTTGATATTTATTAAAAGTATTTTCTATCATTATGTTCATACATATTACGATGTGATTATCGTTTGCGTATATTCTCATAACGTAATATCGCTCAAAATATCACATGCACGGTACATATCGATTTCTCACTTCTTTCCTCTCATATTCTCGTATGAAAATATAAATCAAACAACACTTCATCATAATTGTTAGCGAATTGTTTTCGTTAGTTTATGAAATTTTTGAATACAAATTGGCAGGTACTGTATCAATGGAATTAACTGTGCTCTCGCATTACAAAATATCTGAATTCGTGACAAATACATGCATGCACACATGCATGCGTGCGTTTTCGCATTTACATTATATTACAAATTATTCCGCTATTTATTAGAATTTTAATGTTAAAATAGAAAATTTCTACATTTGTTTTGGTTTGCGAGAGCGAAACGGTGTTTCGGATCGAAAATAGCTGAAAATTGAATACTAACATGTAATTCATGTTCAAATGATATAAGAGAATTACACATATATTTACTTAGTAATTATACATTAACTATATATACATTATCCTAGGTTTCCTTTTTGCCTGGCGTTGGCCTGTATATGCCGTTAACGACGGCGTGGTCACGCTCATACGGCTCAAGAGTAATTTGCTCCTTCGGCTTCATATTTTCTGCAAGAAGTTTTTTCACCTCCGCTGCGAATACTACCGAAGGTTCTGCGGTCGAGTCTATACAACTTGCCTGGAATTCATGACAGACGTTCAATGCAAAATCTCCATTTTCATGCACCTATACGACGCCGTGATGACGCACAGATCATAATCGCGAACGCTTACCTTAATGGAAATAACGAAGCGCCCGCCATTCTTGAGGAAGTACTGTGCATTCAATGCAACTATTCTGGCCTGATCTGGCTGCGCCACATCTGAGAATATGGTGTCTACCATTCCTACAAGCATCCTGTACTTCTGAGGGTGTCTCGCGTCCTCAACAATGGGAATGATATTGGTCCTCTTCTTAGCAACGTTTATCAGATCTCTACCCGACCTGTGGGAAAATTCCACCGCGTATACCATGCCCTCCTGCAGACATAGAAATGACAAATTGCACATCGAACATGTAAACACGAAATAAACTCTACGATATGAGACTTGTACGCACGTTTTCTTTTCAAAGTAAAACTCAAGTTTTACTCGATGAAGAAACGAGCATGTGATTGTTCTAGCAGCACTTCGACACCAAGCTGGTAATTATGTGCTAACCTGGCTCTAATGTGTGCATAAGTGATTTCTCATCCTCCAGAAATAGACTGGATAGATCTCTGCGTAAACAATATACTCACTGGACCAACTATGTCAGCAACATGAGACACGGAAGTCCCAGAAGCAGCACCTAGATACAGTACTTTGCTTCCTGGTTTCATGTGAATGTGATCGATACCACCAAGAATAGCAGCAGCCAATTTGGATCTGAACGGATTCCATACTCTATATTCAATCTTTTCGCCCTTATCATCCTGTGTAACATGCAGCATTTTGAAGATATTAAGTTAAACTTAAATACAAAGGCAAATATAATAATAGATGCAGCATGTAATTAGAACTATAATTACCTCAACAGTGATTCTCTTCTCGCCATATACATCTGATCCAGGTGCAAAATTCAGAGTCACCAACACATCTTCTTTACCTCTAGCTATAAACACACCTTCGTGACGATGTGGCTCTATTACTACAGTCTTCCCACCTTTCAAACCTCCACGTCCTCCACGTGATGCCCCACGACCACCTCGACCTCCACGTGGAGCACCTCTTCCCCCACCTCTACCACCACGGCCTCCGCCACCACCTCGACCTGCAAAACCTCCACCTCGACTTCCAAAACCTCCACCTCGACCGCCTCCACGATCTCCTCCTCTTCCTCCTCGTCCTCTAAAGGGTGGCACAAATCCTGTAATTTACATTAAAGTAAATGAACAATGAATATCCAATGGTTTTTAACATCTGTAATATGTAACACGGTTGTTAAATTTTATTGCTGTCACTTTTAATAATAAAGAAATATATAAGATGATCATAACAAAGATACCAGATAATACGACGTTGATGATATATATTTTTAATATTAATATTTATTTTTAATATTTAAGTAGCACAATATATAGTAACCTACAATTATATAATCTCCAAATAATGCTACATTTCTAGATTTTTGTTATTATCACACTGAATTGTGCACAGAAAACAAAACTTATCATTTGTACACATACATGTAGATATTGTACGCGCGTAATGCACATTTGTGATTATGAATTATCAGAGTTAGGTTATATTAATAAATTATCAAAGTTAGGTTATATTAATGAGGCCACCACGCTGTGGTCGAAAAAAGTATTTTTCGAATGACATAAAGATACATTTTCGGGTATTGTAAACATTTCTAGGAATAGCTACAAATCCAAATAATATATAATAAAATAGTGCTCGAGATCATAACATATTAATTTTTTATATCGAGGTTACCGGTAGCCACAGTGAAAATAATCATCACACAGCAAACGCAAGATAACAATTGGAGATGCACTATGCATGTTTATGTTACCTGGTTTGCCCATGATATATTTTAAGTAGTTCGATTGTTCCTTAAGATATTATTTTCAATTTGTCTATGGAACATCCACGTGCACACACATCCAATATCAAACCTCAACAGAAAATGGAAGACGACATGAAACGAGAAGATATTTCCTTCCGAAACGTGCAGATATAACGCTACAAACGGTGGAACGCTAAACTACTAAATGGCGATGCATAATTAGTCCGCGTTATGGCCATTCTACAATGGCCGTATTCTAAAATTCACAGCCAGCGCTGAAAAGTTACAGTTTGCGTGACACAAACTATATATTTTCAGTACTGGCAGTAAATTTTGGAACACGGCCAATAAGCTAATAACAGAGAGAAACCTGAGAGCCGCCAACACGACATTTTCTGCGATACCGACTTTCAGCACTGGGAAAGGACGCCATCTGCATCCATTTTGAAAGGGGAACTACGATGGTACGTCCACTTTCAAGTCTCGTTTGGTTTATTTTCTTATGTTTTATCAGAGAGGAAGCTGAGAGCGGCCAACACGGCGTTTTCGGCGACACCGATTTTTCGCACTGGAAATGGGCGCCATCTGCATTCATTTTAGAGCAGAACTACGATGCTACATCCACTTTTAGGTCTTGGTGGTAAAATCTGCATGTGGTGGAAGTCCGTGCTACATCCACTTTCAGGCGATTTATGTCCGTGCTGCAACCACAGTTGCCATCTCTATGCCAGACTATGCCCGAAGGTCTAAAAAGAGCGGGGGGGGGGGAGAGCAGGAAAAATAAAAGACACATTAAATATTAAATCCTCTACATACATGTTGCCGTATCAAAGACTCCTGTATAATAAACGATTTGATACGTCTGCAGACGCATGATGTATCGTTGCCCGCGTCCCGTTCCCTTCGTCCTGCTTCTCAATTCAGCATCCCGTCCGCTCCGGACATTCGCTCGTGGCACTGACAGTGGCCGTCGGTGAGCATTCGATCCGCTCGGAGGAGCACATGTTAATTAACGCGACGAGACTCCGATTACAAATATCCCGCGAGTCGACAAAATATTTGAATTTTTAAAAAAAGCATCAAAGAAAATCACGTTGATGTTGTCATGGGTGAAATCTCACCCTGGTATATATTTTTTTTATTTTCGAAATAATAAAAGCCAAACGAATGTAATTAAATGTTATTTATTATCATTGAATATTAGATGAAAAGTAGAAGAGTTATTGTCCGCAACGGATAACATCTAACATTTAATAAGAACGAGACAAAATTCGCATGAGATGAAATTCCACTCTTTAACGCTACCATGACCTTTAATTATTCTCCGAAAACGGCGTTACAACAACTTTGACATTCTGTACAATTAGTTGTTAACATATTTTCTAATCGTACACATTCCTCTTTAATTAACATAAAGCTAACAAATATCCGATGCTTCGACAGAATAATTTTCTTTATTTTCAGTAATCAATAAGTAGTAAATCATTATATTATAAAAACTTATATTATGTACATAATATATATCTTAAAAAAGAAAATAATTTGAATTTGAGATTTCTAAAAATATTAAGTTAAGTATACAATAATCATATATATATGTTAGGTTTCTCAGTTGGCGTTACTGGTCTAATATATCACTTCTTTTGTACAGTAGAATAGTGTTGTAGAGTTTTATTATAGTTATAAGTTTTATTTGTAAAAATTTATGTACACATATATATACATTAAAAAAAATAATTTGCATGATAGTCTGCATGATCAGCTATCAAACAACCTGTATATACAGGGTGTCTTATAACTAATCTGGCAGAGCTCGTGGAGACATAGGGCAGGTTAAGACAAATATAAAAGTCCCATATCGTTTTCTTATGTTACCCTCACACTTCGGGTTGGCAGCTAATTACCGGACACTTCGTATGATCTTCATGATATTAATCATACATAATGTCAATTCTTTTTTTTTCGCACATGTTAACATGTTAATTCATGTTATAAACGCGTAACAATGTGCGAGACCGTGCTTGTCAAGTATGCTATTATGGTTGTAGCACGAACATAAACCGCCTAAAAATGGATAGCACGGACTGCCACCACATACAGGTTTTACCGCCGAAACCTGAAAATGGATATAGCATCGTAGTTCCCCTCTTAAAATGGATGCAGATGGCGCCCTTTCCCAGTGCGAAAAGTCGGTGTCGTCGAAAACACCGTGCTGGCCGCTCTCACGTTCCTCTCTGGTTTTATAAATAATAACTTATTGTAGAATGGTCATTAGAAATTGGTGATATTAGACCAAAGAATTATCAATGTTTGGTTCTTTGTTTGTTAAATTCGTACTATCTTTAGAAATAAAAAATTTATTAATCTTTGCCTAGTTGCTAGAAAAGGGAGTAACAATGTACTTTGCAGCAACAGCAACCAATAAGATAATGTAATTCAAATGTTTTAAATTCTCTTCTTCAGAGGACGCGTCGAAGAAAGAGTTCAAATTAAAATGATGGTTAAATATAACCAAACATAACCAAAAAGATTATAATATTTCTGTCTTTAAGTTGTATATAAATAATACAATCTTATAAATAAACACAACTTTTTATATTATATATATGTGATTTTTATATGCCATTGTATGTAACATAATAGAAGTAATAATATGAAGTGAGTACAAACACTTTTATTGGATTGAAAATACGTAGTTTTTATTGTCATTTATAAATATACATTTTCGCTGTAGAATAAGCGTTGACGGGTTGATCGTATATTTTCCATACGATTATATTTATCCAGAGCAATATGCTTATATGCTTGAGCTCAAACGTGGTTTGGATGCCAAGGTATTATTTTCTGTTTTTACTTTACAGTATTAATAATATTAAATATTGGAAAATTATAAATTAAAACGATTTTCTTTAGGGGCATTGCTTGCTGGAAATGCCTTCAGGTACTGGCAAAACAATTACCCTTTTATCACTCATTGTGGCATACATGTTGGAGTATCCGTTAAATGTTACAAAGTTGATTTATTGTTCTCGAACTGTACCAGAAATAGAGAAGGTTATTGAAGAATTAAAAAAACTTATAGATTATTATGAGACAGAAACTAAGAGTAAGCCAAAAATTGTTGGTTTAGTTCTGAGTTCACGTAAAAATATGTGCATACATCCTGAGGTAATTGGCATGTCTTTTATTTATATATTTTTTCTATAATTAAACTGATCAAATTATTTTATAGTTAAATATTTAATTAATCATGCATTATATGTTTTACATTTTTATATCAGGTTAGTAGAGAACGAGAAGGTAAAATTGTAGATGGTCGCTGTCATTCTCTTACTGCATCATATGTAAGAGAGAGACATAATCATGATGAATCTACTCCAATTTGCAACTTTTATGAAGGATTTGATATGGAAGGTAGAGAACAAATTGTTCCTCCTGGTATTTATTCTCTGGATGATTTAAAGGATTATGGAAAGGATCGTGGTTGGTGTCCATATTTCCTTGCAAGATTTACAGTAAGAAACCTTAAATTCTAATTTATTTTGCTTAATTTATCTATTTGTATTTTAAATATAATATTATATAATATGTAAAATACAACATGTAATCTAAATTAGATAAATTAATAATGTTTAATATACCTTTCCTCTCTCTAGATCTTACATGCACAGATTGTAGTATACAGTTATCATTATTTATTGGATCCGAAGATTGCAGAAACTGTTTCCAAAGAATTGAGCAAGAGTTCAGTAGTTGTCTTTGATGAAGCTCATAACATTGGTACAAAAACCAAGGACTAAAGTTATGTTTATACTAGTATTTGGCAATTTTTAGTATGTTTAAAAAAAACAAATTTCAGATAATGTCTGTATTGATTCCATGAGTGTGAAGATAAATAAGAAGCTAATGGAAAGGAGTACGAATAATATACAGCTTTTGGAAAAAACTGTGGCTGAGTAAGAAGTATTTCTTTCAAGTGTTAGCATATAAATATAATCACAGTATTGTCAACTATGTATATTTTAATTTAGGATGAGAGACTGTGATGTGAATAAGTTGAAAGAGGAATACGACAGGCTAGTCGCAGGTTTGCGGGACGCTCAACTCGCGAGAGAAACCGATGTTATTCTGGCCAATCCTGTTCTTCCAGACGAAATACTGGAAGGTTAACGGACATTCAATTAGATTGAACGAAGTGCTTTCCTTTCTCTTCCTTGAAGAGAGAAATCGAAGACTTATTTTCTAAAATTTCTTTTCGCAGAGATTGTACCGGGCAACATACGAAACGCCGAGCATTTCGTAAGTTTCTTGAAACGATTCGTCGAGTACCTGAAGACTCGCTTGCGCGTCCAACACGTCATGCAAGAATCACCCGCAGCGTTCTTAAGGGATATCCAAGCAAAAGTGTCCATCGAGCGGAAACCCTTGCGATTTTGCGCCCAGCGACTGGCGTCCCTTTTACGTACTATGGAGATAACAGATATGACGGATTTTTCTCCAATCATTCTGGTGACACATCTCGCGACGCTGGTCTCCACGTATACTCACGGATTCACGATCATCGTGGAACCGTTTGACGACAAAACGCCGACCGTTTTGAATCCTATCTTGCACTTCAGTTGTTTGGATTCTTCGATCGCCATTAAGCCAATATTTGACAGATTCCAGTCTGTGATAATTACTTCCGGGACGCTATCCCCATTGGACATGTATCCCAAGATACTCAATTTTCATCCAGTCATAATGTCGTCGTTCACTATGACATTAGCCAGACCGTGTCTTCTGCCTATGGTAAGCTAAGAAGAAAGAAAATAAAACACCTCAGACAACATAATTTGATATATATTAATATTTTGCGTACTTTCGCGTTCCCAATGTCAGATCGTGGCTAAAGGCAATGATCAAGTGGCTATTTCATCGAAGTATGAAACGCGAGAGGATGTGGCAGTCATAAGAAATTATGGGCAGCTGTTGGTCGAATTCGCTGCCACAGTGCCGGATGGTTTAGTCTGCTTCTTCACATCGTACTTGTACATGGAATCGGTAGTAGCTGCGTGGTACGTATATACACGTATTTTATTATTCTCGTTTGTTATAATTTTATTGCTTCATTTTTAATTTCTCTAATGTTCGTAATGCCCATTTGATACATCACAGGTACGATCAAGGAGTCGTGGATCAACTTCAAAGGCATAAACTGTTGTTCATCGAGACACAGGATTCAGCGGAAACCAGTTTAGCTTTGATCAATTACATAAAGGCCTGTGAGAATGGAAGAGGAGCGGTGTTGCTTTCAGTTGCTCGTGGAAAAGTGTCCGAAGGTGTCGACTTTGACCATCATTTGGGCAGAGCTGTACTCATGTTCGGCATACCTTACGTGTACACGCAGTCGCGAATCTTGAAAGCGCGTTTAGAGTACCTCAGGGACCAGTTTCAAGTGAGTGCAGGCTAATATTGAGATTATCCGGTACTCATATATATGTTTGAATAGAATTTTGCTAAAAGACGCTTCTGCAATATCTCTACAGATACGAGAGAATGATTTCCTAACTTTCGATGCCATGAGGCATGCCGCGCAATGCGTAGGACGCGCAATCAGAGGCAAAACGGATTATGGTATTATGGTATTTGCGGATAAAGTAAGTGTCATTTACGAGAACATTTCAGTTATGTATTTTCGTAACTCAGTTATATGTTTTTGATAATGATTTCCTCGTTCCTACAACATCGTAGAGATTCTCGAGAGTGGATAAACGAAGCAAATTACCGAAATGGATACAAGAGCACTTGACCGACAACTTCTGCAATTTATCTACCGAGGAAGCTATACAGGTGATCTGAATTTTCTCTTTGGTAACAGGCGCGAGAGATTAATGATTACAATTTCATAAGTTTTGTGCAGTCATAACAATTTATTTACAATATTCAGATCAGCAAGAGATGGTTACGGCAAATGGCGCAGCCGTTCACGCGTGAGAATCAGCTTGGACTGTCGCTATTAACAAGAGAGCAACTCGAGAAAGAAGAGACTGCCAGGATCGAAGAGAAGGCGCAGCAAAATTGATAGATTGACACCGGCAATAGGCCGAATGATGATCCGTTTGTTACTTAGGCTAATTAATTATATCTGTGATCTGTGCCATTTGCAGAAAATATATCACACGATGTTCATTGATCTATTTATAAATTTGTACTTCCGATCGCAAGTGTACTTTAAGGAATGTAAAATATATAACGGATATACTTCTCTTTCGACAGAGTGGCGAACGTTTTTCATCGATTTATACAAGCTCATTGCGTCGAATTCCATAATTTGTCTCAGCAAGGTTTATTAAGGATCCGATGCAATTAAAAATGATTTAATAACAAATTGTATCGTAGTTTTTAACAGCGTAGAAAATACAGTCATATCTATAAATAATTCATTTAATATCACCACCTCACAAGAACCTGATCGCCATCTTGTATAGAGTAGTAACTAAGTTCTTGTAGCGGTTTATCCAACGATATCTCATCGTTTGATAACTGTAACAACATAAAATGCAACATGTATATCGAGTCAACCGTCATAAATATTTCTTGTGTATATCGTCTTGAACTTACATTCCGCGGGATAAATGAAAGAGCAGGTATTTTGCCACCAGTTTTAAAGAGTCTTTGAGCGATTCCGATCATTTTCTGAACCTCCATGTCTTTGAGTAACTTCCTTTTAATTCCTCTGGGCTGACGCGGATCGTCCGGGCATAAAAATTCCACTGTTATCACATTCGAAACCATCTCTACCTTTGGCTTAGCCGAGGGAATATCCGCGATTCCATATTCTAGATAAAAACACAAAAGCATAAAAGAAATACGTTTGTTTTACAACAAAAATTATGGTTGCATAAAATTTATTTTGCAACTATGTGACTTATTAATGCAAAAAATATAAAGTTTATACATACTGTCTACTAAAATAGGATATCGCGGGTGTTCGTTCAGAAATAGTGTTCTTTTGTCTGTATTACTTTCGTTTTCTTGCCATTTTGGCAAATACAATTTTAAATAGTCATACTCAGCACCTCTCCTTTCATCGTAAAGTATCTCTGTACCGTTTAACATTTTTAATCTCGCTATTCTAGCAATTACCAACTGTCTTGCAGTCTCTGAAATTTCATTCTTCAAAATGGGATTTTCTCTAAATTTTAGATCTTCCAGTTTTGGTAGCTTATCGAGTTCACTAATTGACTGCCACTAAAATTATATTGAATATTGATTAAATTATGATTGTCTTAAGCATAAGATTTAATTTTTCCATATATTGTGTGCGTGTGACAAGTTATATTTATAAGAAAAAAACATTCACATTACCTCTGATATGTGATTTTCAGAGATATGCAGTTGCCGTAAAGAGGGGAAAAGTACAGTTTTGTCAGTCGATGTTGAAGATGGAAATCTAATTCCATCTATTTTATTTGAATTCAGATTGAGGTATTCTAAACTGCAAATTTAATTATCAATGTTGTATAAATAAAATTCCAATTTTATACTCTTCAAACATACCACAATTAAATATATTACAATACAATTTACCATGGAAGAGAACCTAATTTAAGTATCTCATCCGAATTTGATATTAAATTTCCTTCGAGTATTAAAGTAACTATTTTAATTAAATTCGTACGTAACGGTATGTCTTCTATGGTCGTGACAATATTAAAAGAAACAGATAATTCTTCAATTGATGGAAACATGGAAAGACATTGTTGGATATCAGACCAATTATAATTCATTCTAGCTATTGTCAAGTGTTTAACTGTTGAAAATGAGTTTTTCAATGCTACCACATCCTCCTCAACAGGTAGATGATTCTCACTACAAAAATGAATACATAAATCATTCTTTTAAGATAATATAATTTTTAAATGAACAATTATTATTATCTCTGCAGATTTTTAATTTACTTTACACTATTTAACTGTTGAAAGCTTTAGGAACTATATTAAATATTGTTTCACTTACCTAACATCAAGACGTGCAAGAGAATGAAGCTGGGAGCATATGTCTGCTATAATTTTCCATGAATTAATTAAATTTCTAGATATATCCAGTTCTTCCAAATTTGGACACAACTCTTCCAATTCTTTTGATTCCCCAGCATTGCTTACACACTGTTCCCTTAGCCATACTATTTTTAATTGATCAAATTTACTCTGTTTCTTATTCACTTTGGAGAAACCAACCAATTCTAAGAATGGTGCATTGATTTCCTTCTTCAAATTTGAAACTTCCTCCCTATCTATGCCTGCTAAATCATCATCAATTAGCCCATAGCGCATTTCGATAGCTTGAGGACAAGATATACCAAACTTAGCTTTGGCCGGTCGTATAAAAGAACCTGATGTTGAATGCCTATTAAAAATTATAATACAGAGTAAATATACATAGAATACAAATCATTATTGTCATTATTATTATAATTATTGTTAATTTGGCAAACTTTACCTAGCTTGAAAATATTCTATTCCTTCATATGTACCATTATGCTTGCCACGAGTCGAATCGTCCCAATCTATGCCTAACCACTGACCTTTCGTATTACCCACAGGTCCAACGTATTTCAATGTACCCCGGTATCCGTCGCACTCGATACGGCTTGCGATCTGGTATTTTTTATCTTCTACCATACCTAAGAGATAAAAATGACAATACTTCTCTACAGTACAGAGAAAACACTCATTTCTCATAAAAAATAATAAGTATACGTATATCTCAAGGATACAAAAAATCAATTATCGAACACTATAATAAAAATATACAGGCCATAATAAAAATTTAAACAAAATACTTACCTATCAAGATACACTGGCTTCAGATTGCGGCTGACAGTATAACCTTAAATCCGGAGATGTACATCGAAAATGAGAAAATAAAATTATAAGAGCTTGTTTGTTGGAATGTGAAAATGTTTCTAAATGTCGCAAAAAACAATAGAAATGAAAATTATATAAAATTGCTCACAAGTGATAACGTTAGAATAAAATTTCATACACGGCAATTTGCTATATTTCTGTTTTGTGTTCAGAGAGCTTCACTATAGAAGATATTCCTCTCTTAGTCACTTACACCCACTACAGTAATATCATAGTGTATATATATATATATACACACACACACGTGAATCACACATATATATTCTATTGGATATATGTACATAATTTATTGAATTTGCAAATTTGCAACACATATATATTCTATTGGATATATGTACATAATTTATTGAATTTGCAAATTGCACTTTGTTAAAAGTTATTCTGAATTTTTATATCTTGACTACATATTTAATGTACAATATACATACACATAAATATTAAAAGAAAAGGTATATACATATATATAATTTTAATACGAATTTAACACATTGTTAAGGATGTGCAATGCAATAATAATAACTATATGCAAAAAATAAATATTTTGATTTTATTCGTTGAGAATTATATTGCATATTCTGTACATATAACACAATGCCATATAAGAAAATGTACAATCGCTAAAAAATATAGAGTATATAAATACATATCATTTCATTCTTATTAACTTACACAGTGGTTTTGGTTTATGTCTATGTACTGAATTTGGTAAAAATCTTCCTGGTTATTAAAGTTATGTAAACTTATATTTGACATAACTGGTTGCACTTAAACATTTATTGTTCTAGTGCAAGGCATATTAATGACCTAATGCTATATTTGCAACACTGATACCATTCATGATTTCGATCCAGTAACCATCAGGATCTTTAATAAACGCGATTCCCTTCATTTTGCCATCATTTGGTTTCTTCACAAATTCCACATTAAACTTTTCAAATCTTTCACAAGCTTTCTCCACATCAGGTACTGTTATTCCAATATGACCTATAGTTTAAAGTAACATTATACATATATATTTGGAACTTTATAAAATATCTTAACTTTTTAATGGAGAGTCAATATATCTATATAAACTCTCTTATCTTGAATAATACTTCCAAATTAACTACTTTAATAACTTTCTTACCAAATCCTCTGGGATCTGAATTTCCATTGTGATATTTTGCATCTGGATCTGTTTCTGTTCCCCAATTACTAAAATATAATTTATCTTCGATTACCTTATGTACAAAAATATATCAGTTTCTATAAAGAAATTATGTTGAAACTTACTGAGTAAGCTCTATAGTTCCTCTTCTACTAAATACCCATTCAATATTTTTCTTCTTGTCACTTGATATATCCTCTGGATTTTCATACCCAAGAAAATACAGAGAAAATTTCATATCTGGGAAGTCAAATTTTTGCAGTAAAGTCATGCCGAGTATTTCAGTATAAAAAGGTAAAGATTTCCTTGGATCTTTGATGCGATACATTGTCTGCTGCATGATATATCCATTTGTTGCAGGATCTGGTATTTTGCAAAGTTCACGGGCTTCACTATTAGTCAATCCTGATGGCTCACCCATCTGTAACAAAAAATAACACTATTTTATTTATCTCTTATCTTATCCCTGTAATAATTTGTGATGATAGGTTAACTGAAGATAACAAGTAAACTTCAAAGGACATGATATCTAATATATTATATAATTTCTCAGAACTATTATTATAACTTTAATTTATAATATATATATATATTTTTTTTTGTTAAATGATATATAATATAAAGCAAAAAAATTTTTTTTTTCAAAGTTCATAAATATACATATATAATATTTATGTTGAATAACATTGATATACTGCAAAGACTATATTATTTTAAGAATTAATTTATTATATAAATAATTATTAGCAAATTAATCCCATAACATGTAGTTGAATTATCATTTGTATTCAAGGACACGTACTGATATCTACATAGTAATATTTATATAATTACCAATGCCACTTGTTTCAGCATTCGATATCTTTTAGTTATTTAGTAATGCCAATAACTAAAAAAACATCGAATGCTGAGAGCCACTTATTAATACAACATGAGAAACTTCAGCAATATATTCTTATAATTAGTTTCTGTTTTTGTGCTATTGTATTATCTAACATCCAGGTTAGATAGAGCAAATAATGTAGCCTCTCTACGAAATCATTTTCATTTTCCGTGTATTTTCATCCGCGACATGTGCATTCTGATGAAGCTGTATGTAATGCACAAATAAAAATTATTCTACGGTAATTATTCTTCATACCTTTCACCAAATACTGGAGTAAACACAGAGCGTAGAACGTTCACAGCAAACGTTGGAACGAATGTTAAAGTATGATTTACGAATGAATTGTGCTATTGCTGTAGTGTTACTGCACGTACGTGTGTAGCATGATATCATACACACCTACGTACCATACACACACACCACACACATACTACTCATCCATATCACACATCATATATGTGTGCGATTACAGACGTGTACAAGAGAGTGGAGTGTCTTCCATTGAGTACGACGCTGCGTCTCGCTACGTTTACCTTATCTGTCAAAAGTGACAAGTCCGCGCGACTGGATCGCGCGATAGTCAATCGGGCCGTGAGATACAAGCGGCACGATAATGGCGCATTGGTTTCATCGCAACATTCTGAAAGCGACGACAAACCAGAAGTTTGAATTAAAAGTTGCAAATCCTACGGACGCCACCAGAAAACTTTGCAGGTTAGAGATATTTCACAGGTGCACACCGTACTGCGCACTTGTTAATGAGTAGACTTGTAATTATTTGATTCTGCTAAATTGTTGCATGGTTATATCTGTGATAAAGTTTATTATCTGATAACGAGATTATATAGTCCTTCAAGAGAATATATTATTAAAATATATTGAGTGATATATGATAGACTATATATATAATATTCTATTTTCAATACTAATAAAGTACTTTCTTTTGTATCTACTTACATATACTTGCAATATATTTTAACATATAATGATATTTACGTTTCCAGTGACTTAAAACTGTCCAGGGCCAGACTTTTAGATCTAGTTAGAAATGCAAATAATACAAGCGATACAATAGAACCTGCATTTCATAGTTATCTGAGTCTGTTATATGGATTTTTGTGGGAAATTAATCCATCCGAGGAACATGTTGGCAGGCCCAATCCTAGCAAACTCAGAAATGTTCTCATGTTCAAATGGACCCAGACATTACTCGGTGGTGGCACATTGTAATTATTAAAATATTAAGAGGATAACAGATATAATCTTTTTAAGATGACTTTTAAATTACTCTCAATTTTTTTTTGAAGCTCCAGTGCCGATTCTGTTTATGAAGCAGCCAACATGAGTGTCAATATAGCCCTTTGGTTTATGAAACATGCAGCAATGATTGCTGGAAAGGATGAGTAAGTATGAATTTAATAAAAGTCTCTTTAGCAAAGTGTATCTAATGAAGCAAGTGAGATCTACTAATTGTACCATATATATAACTTAGCATAACAATGAATGAAGCTAAAGAAGTGCACAGTATGTTAAGACGAGCCGCTGGAATATTTACTTTTGTGCAGACTGAATTTTTGTCACAATTGGCTAGCCCACCTCCTCTAGGAAGCGACTTAGATCCCCGTGTGTTGAATGCATATGTTAATCAATGTACTGCGGAAGCACAAGAAGGTTGTACTTGTGTATCTTATTGTTTTAATATATTTCAACAAGTTCATTATATCCTTATATTATCATATTTTTTCCATTAATTTTGCAGTGACGGTAGCTAGAGCAGTGGAACTAAAACATAATTCCAGCTTGATATCAGCATTAGCCAATGAGACCAGTAAATTGTTTCTGGATGCTGCTAATACTCTTCGGCCATTTAAGATAGAAATATCAGGCCAATGGATAAAATATTTGGAGCTTAAAGCAACATTTTATCAATCCTATGTAAGTTTATGTATATTCATGATAAAAGAGATGATATATTTCTCGTCAACAGTCGTTATAAGCGCAATCGAACTTGTAGAAATAATTATCCCGGCCAGAGAAAACATTTCTCTCTGCATTTTCAGGCTTACAACTACTGCGGTGAAAACTTATTAGCTATGGACAAGTGCGGCGAAGCGATACGAGCGATGCAAGAAAGCGATGCGTGTCTGAAAAAGGCGAAAGCATTGTGTCAGGAGTACGGGAAAACGCATGGACCTGCGCCTCGCGTTAAACCGGACCAACACGCCGTGTTTAAGCGTTTAGCACCGTTAGTGAAACTCACTCTCGACAAGTGCAATCGAGAGAACGGTTTGATGTAATTATCTCTCTCACTTGTATTATTTGCCACCTTAAATCGTTGCACTATTCATTTACTTATTCTGTAGTGTATGACATCTTATAACACAGTACATTAATCTTAATTTCTTCAAATGATATTAGATATCACCATACGATACCAGGAGAAGTTCCGACTTTAGACACCAAAGCTACTTACGGCTTGGTCAGTCCAATCGATTTCCAAATGCCATCACCAAACACCATTTGGAACTTGGACACGTATAGAGTGTTAGCCGGAATAGCGGCGGCGAAAACGGAGAAGGAGCAGAATTTGCCGCCCGTTAAAGAAGAAGCAATCCATCAGAGCAGTAAGGAGCCGAAGAACGAGAGCGGTTGTGTATTACAGTAAACTCTCCGCAATGATATAGACCGTTTGTAAATGCTTTTTCTCTTCACAGTGATATTAATTTTAATTACGACGGACATGTGTGAATGCGTTAAATGAGCAGATTATAAGTATGCCACGCATGAGTACAAATTATGTTATGAAAAGCTAGAGTGTATATTGATGATTTGATGAAAATTCCTATTACGTATGCTTTGCTTAGTCCATTATTAAATATTGCATGACATGGTAAGTAGAAGAAATGTTGTAGAGAATAATAATGAATCAAAATGCACTTACTTCGCACTGCACATGTCCGAAACTTTCTGATAGACCAATTTTGTACGCATCGACGCGAAATAACAAGCAATATGATTTGCTTTTATTATTGTAACGTATAATCGAGTGGATTATTATCATCGTATGTAAGTGGAATTTTTTGCTAAAAGCAACGAGTTATTAATATCGTTGGGTGTTATTTGAATCGCAATGTGACCTAGTCAGCGCGTTTTACTGAAATATAAAGCTGAGTTTTTAATAAGTACAATGATGATGAAGAATCATTGATCGTGCAATTATAGGGTGTGTATATGTTAGAACAGAGAGATCTTTTTCTACATATATTTTTTATAAGCTATAAGCTTAAAAATACATATGGAATGTCCAATTCGGTTTATATGAATATATTATAAATGTAAGAACATATTTCAAAAATACGTTAAACTATTGCAAAGCAATATCGTTGCTAAATTATAGTGATTATATCTTTGTTAATTATTATTTTTAATAACAGTGCGTTGATGTTACAATAAGATGAACGTTTACGATCGGGGAATTGTCTATTAAAATTAAAAATTCACAGGTTACAATATCGGTATCTGATATTAAGAAAAACAAACATTTTCAAAATTCGTATAATTGTACGTGATAAAAAAGATTTTATTATTATATAATTTATGTGCATTTATAATTTATATAGTACATCAGTTGGAATCTATGTACCAATATAAATAATACAAGGTAGATAATAAACTCATAATAAATTGTGATTTGACAATTTTGTCTGAACCATTGTTGAATCTTACAATGAGAGACAAGAGAGATATTCTAACATTGGGTTGGTCAATAATTCCGTGCGATTTTTTACTTATAAATGAAAAATATGATTCTCTTCTATAAAAGCCAATAATTTTAATCAATAATGTATTGGCCGTTGTAATCTATTATTTTTTGCTATCTTTCGGACAACTTCATGATTTCTTATTCGAAGAAAATAATAGTCTTATTTTACAGTAGTCTTATTTTTTTCGGTAAGAAACTGTTTCAAGTGTCGTTTGCCGCGCGCCGCAAGTTGACTAGGGAATATTGCGGTAGCCATTCAGCATCTTGCTTGCCCGGAAAAGATATTTACGAAACCAGAGAGAACCTGAGAGCGGCCACCGGACCGCGGTTACGCTAGACGCTTTTTCCGACGCGCCCCCTGAGAAAATGTGTGCACACTATGTCTGTTCTGACGATAACGGCAAAGCGTGCACGGTTCTTATTCACTCTGCTTCCTTAAGAAAGATAGTAAGATAGAAACGCATAGACGACCAATCGCTCTCTGTCTTTGTCGCACCACCGATGAGTCATACTGCCTTCAAATTAAATAGCATCATTTCTTTCGATTAGCATAAATATTTCCATGGCGTATATATTCCCATACAGCGCAAAAGTTGCAGAAACATTGCTGCAACGTTGCTGCAATATTGCAAATTGCAATAATTTGCCGTGCACGCTTTGCCGTTACCGTCAGGATAGATGTAGTGCGCACACATTTTCTCAGGAGGCGCGCCGGAATCCGGCAGAAAAAACATCCCGGCGTAATCGGCCCGGTGGCCGCTCTCAGGTTTCTCTCTGACGAAACATGCGGCACGCGGAACGTTGATTGGCTGCGATATTTTCTAACCAACTTCCGTCGCGCGGCAAACATTGCCGCGTCCTGTGTGCAACCGGCTTAAGACCAACGGTCTTTATTAGTGTCTCGTCGGATAACGTTAACTTTTTAATATACATGTACGTAATTAATAATTTCTCTTTAACTAAAACGCATTCAGCGAAACGCTCAAACATGAGTCATATTGTTCAATGTAGTTTTATCACATTTAATTACATGACGATCAATATACGTATTTCCGAAAACGGTAGGCTGTTAAATGAGAAATGGCGGCTGCCATTTGTCATTGTCAATCCTAAGCTCTTACCTGAGTCTTATATCGAGACATTATTTATATTAAACAACAGCTGCATTTCAAAGGAAAAGCTTCGAGCTTCCTGTTTGGTCGTTAAGAAACATCGTACATAGATTCGTTAACATTCTGCGCGCGATGAAAACATTAAAGACAGTCCTCGCCTCACCGCCTCGGATAATAACTTCATTATTCGAAAAAAGAAGTCACACCGCAACCTGAAGATGCGCGTATTAAAAGAAAAGTTCATAGACTTTTGAACGCTACTGGAAAGACTACTGTCTGCGATATTTAACACCGGCATTCCAGCCGGTCCATTGCGACCAATGTTACGAAACATCCCAACACACGACGACGACGAATCTCAGATGAAACTCACACCGCCGTATTTCGCTAATCCGCGCAACATCGGGAGCGACGTTTAACAAGCGAGCAAGCGCTCGCAAGGACCGCACGGGGCTCGTAAGGATCACCCGCGCTGCTGGTTCCGGAGATCACACGAACCGAGAGAGATCAAAAAAGACGCGGCAGACAGTCGCAGCAGACGACGGATCGTACGATCCTGAAGAGCCGACGACGCGCGCACGCACGCACGCACGCCCTAGCTCGCAGCTGTCACACGCTTCTTCTTCTTCTGTCAAGAGAGCGCGATCCGCCTCCGCTGACGGTCGGTCGATGCGTCCTTCGTCCGCTCGGACCATATCGCGTCCTGTCGGCGAGACCTGAAGTTGTACTCACCGACTCGCCGGTGGCAATCGCGAGCGTTGCGTCATACTTCTCTCCCTCTTTCTGACGAGACGCGTTAAATGATGAGCCACGCCGTCTTCGCTGTTCCTCGCCGAGCGGCCGCCGTCGCCGACGACGGCGGCGACACGGGTGTGTCCGCTGAATCGGTCGCGCTACGACACGGTGCGATCAAGTGTGTCAGTCGCTTCGCCGAACGGCAAGTGTGTCGACGTGCTTGCGCTTCTTCTTGTTAGACGAGCATACATGCGCGCGGCCGCACGCACGTACGCATGCACGCACTCCGACGTGCATAGTCGGTCGACCAGCAACGATGATTACCACGCCGGTCAGAGTCTTGAGGGACAAGAACGTCGCGTACCGCGGCAAGGACGATGTGCCGGTGGCTACGCAGCCCACTACCAGAGGTGGACTTAGGGTGTACAAGATCGTGGTGCTCGGTGACGGTGGTGTAGGCAAGTCAGGTATCCTTGCTTGATTATGCGGTGGAAGTGGTATTTGTAAACATTTACCCGCCTCACCGTTGACAGTACGCGCGAGCTGAGCGAGCTGCGTCATAAAATACTTGTTGTTTTTCAGCTGTCACTTTGCAATTTGTCAACCACCGCTTCTTGGATTACCATGATCCGACGATAGGTGAGTTGTATGCTCTTGTATACCTGAGAGGGGAGTTTCTTTGGATCAGTTGGTGCGAGAAGTATGATAATGTTTCTCTTTGTTGTCCGCAGAGGATTCATATCAGAAGCAAGCGGTCATTGATGGCGAACCAGCTCTATTGGATATCTTGGACACAGCTGGACAGGTTTGATCTTTCTGCATATGTCACGATGGTTTCTGAGTGACATTGAGCCCATAATTGGGCCAAGTGTTGGGAATTATGGATCAGAGATAAAAATTTCAGGGATCAGTTGATACCTATTTTCAAGTCAGATGTTAGATTGAGAACAGATTATAAGCTGATATGAAGAATTGATCGATATCATTAACTAATTATGATTAGAATTAACTGACTGGAGATTAAAATTTCACGAATCAATCAATTTTTATTTTTGGCGCTGTCCCAATTAGTCAAGTTCCAATCTTGAATCTCCAATACTCAGTCTAATATGGGCTCCATGGGCTTTATGTACTGCATTGATACGTCTCTATAAAGAAGCATTTCGCTCATCCGACGTGTGCAATCGTATTGGCAGATTGCTCTCATCCACGTTATGCACAGGTGGAGTTCACGGCGATGCGCGAGCAATACATGAGGTGCGGCGAAGGTTTCATGATATGTTACTCTGTGACGGACCTGCATAGCTTCCAGGAAGTAATGGAGTACAAGAAGCTAATATCGCGTGTGCGCGCAAACGAGGAGATTCCTGTGGTGCTAGTCGGCAATAAATTTGATCTACAACAACGGCGCAAGGTACCAGTCGTTGCCGAGTTCTCCATCGCTTTTGATACTTCCTTTAAGCCTGATCTAATAAGATCTGTGACTGGTGTAGCGAACCTTTAGCTTTTTGCCTTGAGTCCTAAACTGCAACGTGATTTCTGGCAAAAGGCGTCTGTTGCATCGCCGAAAGTCCTAATAGTGCTCAAAATTTAGGAATTGCGACGTCTGGTAATGTAGAAGACGTCTTTCGCCAGGACTCAAGTCACAGTTTAGAACTCGAAGCGGAAAGGTAAGAGTAAAGGAATAAAGAAGAGACCTCTTCTTAGACCTCTTCTTCTTCTGGATACACGGTCTATTTTGCAGGTGAGCATGGAAGAGGGCAAGGCGCTGGCGAAAGAGCTTGGCTGTCCGTTCTACGAGACGTCCGCTGCACTCAGGCAGTTCGTGGACGACGCGTTCTACTCTCTGGTGAGACAGATTCGCGCCAAAGAGAGACGCGGTATGACGATACGTAAGACCAGCCGCTGGGGCCGACTACGCTCGATATTCAGTCTCATTTTCCGACGGCGAAAACGCACTTTCCACACGTCCTAGGAAACATCCCGAGATAGCGACCCTCCCCGGTAACGAGAGAGAACATGTTCCGTGTAGACGATAACCGATAATCCGCGCAAATCACAACGAAACAGTCGAGTTCAGCAAACCTGCTGGTGCATTCGGCCAGCGCTCGCGATGTAGTCACCTTCGTTTAGAGACTGATGATTCGTTAACTAAAAACATCTCACTGCCTTAACAATTTGACCCCGATATTATTACTTCGGATACACGGCAACGGGTGGAATTGCCAAAGCAGACCAGAAGCGTATCACGTCTTTCGTTCGGAATTTGACTCGCGATTTCTGGATAGGTCGGTCGTGTGCTGCTCAATGCGAAAGAAACGTGCACACGGTAGACTCAATGTTTGCCGCAAGGTGTACGACCACATGTTGCACATGCCCTTAACATTGCGACTCGCACTGTCTTCAGTTTTATACGTTATCGTATACGCACGCTGCGTGCACGCGTGTCGCGTACAGCGGCAAGTCGTGGTAAATCCTGATGGCCAAGATATTAAGGCGTGTCTTTGAAGAGAAGCCCCGCGCACACTTGTGACTTCCAGTTTTGTAACATGACAGTTCCCCCCCGCGAGACTATCGATGGCACATCTCGAAGGCTGTTAACGTTCATTCAAGAAGCTAACTTTCACGATGACCGGCGATGATGGCGATAAACGGAACTAAATACCTGAAAAACCGACTCATCCAATTGACACGCGGATAAGCTGTAGATACTCCGACTTTCACCAGGCAGATAATTTCTCCCCGATAGCCGTAGGTAGCTTTAGATCTTTTAGTCCGCTATAAGTAGCTAATTACGTGACCAAAGAGAAGCGCCGCGGGCGATCGTTGCGCAGCAGGAGAAGCGATTTTCGGCGATACGTAGACGGGGAAGCTGAAGCGCAGGATATTAGGCGAGAAAGAGAGAGACAGAGAGAGAGAGAGAGAGAGGGGGAACGCGAGATGTGTGTTTCGTCGCGATTTTACATTATCGCCGAGAATGCGCAAATTGAATTTTATTTATTCTAATTGATTCACACGAGCGCAATGTAAATACGCGAAAGATATTCATATACTATCGATGAGTTTATCAGTTGAACTTGAAATGTGCTGCTATAAACTGTATAGTTATATAAAAGTTACAATAAGTTGCAAAGTTTAGCATTGTTGTGTATGAGAGAAAAGGAGAGAGACGCGTGTATATAACATGATCTCTGAGATAATCGCAAAGAGGTATAGTTCTCAATTAAAACACGTAAACGTGTTTGCCATAAATATGTGTAATTAATAATTATATGGATTAATAATATATACACATATATATATATATATATATATATATATATTATGTAGGAGAAATGCGCATTAATGTAATATATATGTGTTTATGGTACATACATCATACACACGCGCGCGCGCGCGCATACACACATACACACACACACACATATATACATTACATACTATGCATTATGCATATTAGTGCATGTAATATATATATAATGTGCATACATGTATACGCGTAAGTCCGCATAGTAATTATCTAGTCGTTACTTAATTCCTCCTAGTCACATTTTACATTTTGTTGTAACACATTAACTTATTAATCATACAGCTTATATGACCATTACGCGCTTTTTTTTTTTTTACATATCGATTGCCAAACGTTCCGCGTTTAACGTGACGCGACACGTGCATATTGATTGCGCAACTTAGTATTTCCAACACGTATTATCAACGTACGCTGATAACATTTTAATTTAGTAATGGTAGCAGCGAGTATGTACAAGGTATTAATTACCGGCAGCATTCTTGGCAGAATTTTCGCGATATATAATTGACTGTGGATTAGGATAAGCATCGTTGAACGTAATATCGCATGTGTTTAGAAAGAAACTGACACGATACGCGCAAGGAAAAGCACAAAGTATTTCATATCAGTGAGATGTTATTATAATGACAAACGTATTGTAATTGTAAATAGATATTTCATGTGTCTTGCAATGTGTTGCAAGAACATGCAAGTATCGTGTAGATTGGTGTGTGTATGTGTATGTTTGATCGTGATCATACTTATTAGACAGATTAAATTAAAAAGAGAAAAAGAAATATCACGACATAAAGGCAGCACGCGTCATAAGGAACATTATCGTTTTATATATCGCGACATTTATCTGATGTATTTATCGAGAGGAACACATCAAGCGAGAAACATAATATGACGCAGATTGACGGAATAATAAATGGAATAACGTACATATATATATACCAATACAGATATTTGTAAGTATAACGGAGAAAGTGTAGAGGCGAACACGTAGAGAAAAAGATAATAACTTATTAATTTACGAGGACAATATGATAATCAACGATCATACCGACGTTATTATATATCTTTTTATTTGACGCAAAAAGGAAAGCAACGTGAGTGTGTGTGTGTGTGTGTGTGTATGTGTGTGCCACTTGCTGTAAACAATTTTCAAAATTGCATGATTCTGATAGTACATACCAAGCATTAAAGAAGAAACTATAGGCAGGCACGTGGTAATTTTTTACTTAATAGGTAGTAAGCTCTCGTTTGTACACACTTGTACGAATGGCACAAAAAAAATGAACGTTACATATACATTTCAGGGATATTACGATGCCCGGATGTATTGCGAAATTTTATGTAAGCTAAATATATTTTCGATAAACTGGTCCAATAAAGAACAAATATTTCACATGCTATGGATACAAAGTCACTCTACGACAAGATGTCGACCCTACATTATTTGAGAACGGACGAAATCTCAAAAGTGATCAATCATTGCAATATCATATCGAATATTTTTGCGTTGTTATAAAAAAAAAACTCAAACGATTTACTTACCATAACTAACGAGAAACGCGCGCGAGAATACTTTGTATATAAAAATTTATTAACTATCTATCTTATATATACATATGTATGTATATATATATGTATGTGACTATTATAATAAAATTGGCAAAGCAAAAGATAGAAGGACATTTATTGAATTGAATACTTTTCGCCTAATCTTAGATTACTATGTGTAAAACATTTATAATTTATTGCGTAATGCCTTTATCTTTTTAACTGGCACGAGATATGTGTGTATGTGTACGTGTGCATGGTTTAATAATAAATTGTGGCAGAGGTTCTCAAAGATTGCTAGTGCGAAAACTTTTTGCTATTTGTTTATCAGACCTTACAACAATTATGGCGTAATTGGTTCGCTTATTATACATAAATACATATAGATAATGAAATACAAGATATATAAAAAGTACAAGAAACAGCCATAATTATGTGCATACAGGAAATAATGAACACATAATTTGGCACGTGTGTTACTTTGTAACGTTATGACGTTGGTAGTATAAAGAGAAATGCGATTAATTGCGCATATATATGTCTCTCTTATAAGAGAATATCTACGTATAAAAATATTTCTATCGTAAACAATTAAGTATGACACAATTGAATGAGCAGTATAAAGTATCTTGCGCGAGTGGAGCGAGTGTCATATGGGCTTTTTCGTTTTATTTGTGTACGTAGTCTAATTGTTAGCTCGCCAGTTATTGCAAAATTGCACGTATCGTTCACCTCTAGATTACATATTGCATCGTATTATATATTTTTATCCTCAGGTTTTCCTGTGGCATCCTGCGCTTTCGTTTCCTCCTCGTAATTATCTGGAAGTAGCACAGTCCCGTCTGTACTTTGAACCTCATCAGCATTATCTACACAAATAATGAAAAAAAAAATTAAAAAAAATTGTAACACTACTCACACAATCCTTCTTCTCTCTTACATACACACGCGCGCGCGCGCAAAATGTGCTTTAAACAAATCACTTCTATACATTGAGGATATAGACCAATATATAAATATAAAAAATAAAATATATTAAAAAAACTTTAACGATACTTCAAGTCATAAATTTAATAAAAGATCGCACTAATGCACGAAAATCTAACATCTATTTCTCCCTCTCTGCTTCATAGAGAACGTTACAAGAACGTTGTTCTTGTTCTTCTTCGAGCTGCGCGTCAAACAAAAGTGTGAGCGCTACATGGTGATAATGCTACGTTTAAACTTTTAATTACCACGTGCACGGTCAGGATCCTCTAAGTCGTCGGCAACTACGGCATCCTGCTCCGCGGCGTTATTCGATGTGCCGTTCTGTTTCGAATCCATTTCAGCTGAAAGGCACGTAAGCTAAATTATTATGCTTAAATGGAAGGTCCGCGTGTTTTCTGGAAGAAGTTTTAATTGCGATTTGTCGTATGGAATGTGCATTGCGACAATAACGAAAGCTACTGTTAGAGCACGTTGGTAGTAATGAATAACTCGTAATTAGTCGGTGCAACTTTCACCAATATTTGTGTTAATGTAAAATTATTCATCAGTTCTCCAGAGTGCCGAGAGAGAAAAAGAGAGAGAGAGAGAGAGAGAGAGAGAGAGAGAGAGAGAGAGAGAGAGAGAGAGAGAGAGAGAGAGAGAGAGAGAGAGAGACAGACAGATAAATAGATAGATAGAGAGAGAGAGAGAAAGCTTCATGACAACAACATTAATTAATAGCTATTGAAAACCAAATCCTTTAGTATACAGTCCAAAAGTAGCAGTATATCCCACTGAAAGAGTATTGCATGTATATTTTTATTAATTATAGTGAACATGCACGCGTACGCGTGCCTATTCACGCCCGACTTTTGAGAGAGCTGAAACAGCACAGTTGATCACACTTGTTTATTGTTCAACATATTTCTACAAATACAGATTGAAGTCCGTGTGTAGCTTACATTATGCGCCTCAGGTCATTCGCATAAGATTTTATTGTGAACAAATACAATGTGTCATGTGTTGCAGCAGGCGGTAAGTTAATAAATCACAAAATAGCTCTACACAAATAAATATCTTACAATTACCAATTATAACTTAGTTACAAGTCGTAAACAGTCTCGTACGCTACTTTTAGCACGATAAATATAGTTTGGGCAAAAGTATCCAAGCGTTATAGACAGGAAAGGATGTAGAATAAAATCTTGTCCCGTCTCATCTAAAAGTTTGCTTCTATTGTACAAGACTCGATTGTGATCTCTCTCCTTAGAGCTGTCGAGTCGGCCGAGAAGAAGCGAGGACACAATTCTCATGAGAAAGCATCGTCAACGACACTCGTATGGCATCCCTATTAAATTCCCAAAAGTCCTTTCTACGCGCATCCTACAGAATTACACACGAAACTGCCGGTCCTCGTATAGTGGCGTAAAGCGTAAAGGAAGCTGACTAACGCTACGTTTTAGTCCGCGAACACAGGCAGTCCTGTGTTATATGATCGAAATGATCTTTCTCGTATGAAAATCTCGACGGTCGGTATTAGAAATGGAGGATGGAGTATCGTGTGTCGTTAGAACGAAAACGAAGGACGCGATGCCGCATCGTAGTTAGAAGCGAATACAGTAGGTTTGTTCTCAATAGAGCTTTCGTTACATGTATGTATATATCTGTGTGTGTGTGTGTGTGTGTATGTATGTATGTATGTGTGTGTATGTGTGTATGTATGTATGCAGACGTGTGAAATTATGATTTATATACAAATCTACTGCAAACTCTTAATTTCATGTCCGTGGCAGCATTCTCGCCCCGCGAGGACGGGGAAAGGTATCACTACCTTTCAACATAGTTACTGAGAAACGAGGAGTTTGGCGCACAGCACCGGGTGGGTCTGTCGGTAGGATTGGAATCCCGTGGTACTTCAAGCCTCGCTGACCAGCTACGGTTACTCTTACGGCAGACTCCGGTACCCGGTGCAACTGAGACTTGTTAATGACCACTGTCGTTGCTAAATCAGCAAACCCCGAGACAATAATCTTACAACGCTGCGTCAGTGAGAAATGCGCAAACAAAAGGGCTTATGGGGTATCGGCAGCCGCGTTAATAATTCAGTGAGCAGCATCGATCCGAGTTAGAACTTAATGGGAGGGTACGGACGAGATTCGAGAAAATAAAAAGAAAATAAACAAGAGGGTACATCGTACTCCCGCCGTAGAAGCAGGGTGCAATCAGCGATCTAAGTTAGCAAAAGTTTTGTGGCTCATTGTACATCATCATACCGATCAAATACTGTGCAAATGTTTCACACAATAGGAGAGTAATTATTTAAGAAATTATGTCAATCTAGACGATTATTCAAACGTGGTTATCAGCTGTGATGGAAAATGTAAATTCAAAAATACATATCAAACGTGATATACGATGAAGAAAATTGTTACAGCTTACCTGGTTGAAGAACTGGAGCCTCTTTTTTGTCAGGTGGGGAATTGCAACCGAGTTTTAATTGTTCAACTTCTACTTTTAGCTGTGAAATAAAGAATATCAAAGTTATATCAAGCACTTTGCTTTATGTTGGTCTAGCTGATTGAAGAATCAGTACCTTTTCTACATCCTCCTGAAGTTTCTTGTTCTCATCACGTTTCACATCTAACTGCGTATTAATCGTATCCTTTTCTAATCGGAGTGTCTCCAGTGTTGCAGTTTTAGTGGCATCCAATTTATTTAACGAGTCCAGTTCACTCTTGCACACGGTAACAGAGTCCTCTAGCTCCTCATTTTTCTTCTTGAAATCCATCTGCTGTTCCAAGCGGACATGCAGAGAAGCTAATTCATCCTCTGTATGTTTATACCTCTGCTCTAGGTTACCGCGTAATGTTACACACTGATCTCTCTCTTCAGCACTGAAAAACAGATTAACCTCTCAATCACAAAAGAAATCTCGTATAATGTACAATGTCAAATAACATGAATTTTACAAGTGACAACAGACAACAACCTAGAAGAAAACTTGAACAATGCCAATATTGCAGATATGCATCCTGCGAGAGCAAGCTGCGAATGCAAAATTTCCCAAAGAACAAATTCATATACTGCCAAGTTTCTGACAAATTACATGACAAACACAATACACAAATACAGAAAACAGAAAATAAACCTGGTGCCTAAACGCGGTGCTTGACACAAGCAGCAGTCTTCACGACGAATACCCTCAAATGTCATCAGTAACAAGAAGCTTCATCGATAACCCTCACCTGATCTTCAGCTGCTCGTTCAGCTCGTCGATCTGCCTGACCAGCTCCACATTCTCAGATGACAGAGCCCACCAGTTGCAGAAGAGCATGAGGCACACCAAGAGCAAGGCTATGACCAAGAGAGGCGGGCATCTGCCTCCGCCGACCCTCATGCCGTCGATTCCCATCACTCTCGCCTTTCGTGTTATCGCGTTCGCCCGCTGTCACTCACGCAGTAACATATGCCACGTTATCGTCGACCGGACCACCGGACCGTCGTGTGTGCCTGGTGTGCAAACAATCTATGTCACGCGCGCGTATTCTCCGCAACATTAGCCGCACGTAACCCCACTCCGTAGTGTTCCCGCGCCTACCGAGGCCAATTCACAGAGGAACGACTCCGGAGGAGTAGCCACCGTCGCCGGCGACGACGATGATGATGATGATGCTACTGTCGCCGCTGCTGACGCCGTCCGCTGCGTCGCTCCGCTCGGCCAGACTTTCGCGCGATAACCATTTGAAAGCCGCGCAATTTTAGGAGCTTTATCAGGGGCGTCTGCCGATATAACGCTGCCGGCACCGGCACACAGACAGCGACACGATACAGACGTTTTAACCCTTCCGCCGCTACTACGGGCGGACATCAGCGGCGCATACACGGTGACCCGAAAGTAGCGCGCTCTCGTCCTCGCCGTTAACGAGCGATCGACTGCGGAAATTCGCTCGACGAGCACTTCGAACGCGCGCGACGCATCGATATATCGTTATCGACGTGTTTGACGTTATCGAGGTTTTTCGAATTTTTCAATTCGCGCTTTCGTCGATCCAAGTGTTGTCTTGCATTTGTGAGTATCTCACCGACGCCGCGACGATGCGATTAGGTCTCCAGCGATCGGTTAGCATTTACGCGTTTCTAAACCTCTCCAGGCGCGCGGATGACACAATCGATTCCTAGATCCTTGACAGAGATGAATGTACGATCGTCCCGATTTTTACCGCCAATTATCCGCGTAGCCGGCGCTGAGTCATCGCTTTGCATAAAGCCCCCCTGATATGCATCGCGAGGAATATGACCTTGCTACCTTTCTCCGCCACCATTTTATACGAAGCACCCGCCGCAAGTTTACACCGCGATTTGCAATTCAAACGGCCGTGACGACTTCGCGCCTGTTTGAAAAGCATTGCAAAAACGTTCTATTTTAAATGAAATACCTTCTACTTAAATGATAATCTGACCAACCGTGAACGTACCGAAATTTCAGCAGAAGAGTACAGGTGTGCGGCTAAAAAGAGAGAGAGAAACGCACGTATACAAGAAGTCACATTTATTCTGTTCTTTTTATTATGTATATATATATATATATATATATATTTATTATATATAATAAATATATATATTTACTTAACACTGTGTTCCATCGAAGAGAATATTCACAAAGCGGACCAGAGCGAGAAAATATATCGCGTACGCGCGAGCGTAGACGAAAGAGAGTCGACGGAGTCGCGTCGCCGAATTTTCACGGCGCGGCCCGTCACCGTGATTTGTGTGATTCGACTGCAATGAACGCGGAGCGCCGCCTTCGAGCTCTCGAAATGGCGCGCACTCGTGGACTCACAGGTGTAAACTCTCTCGCGACGCTGCCCGTAGGACAGGAGCATAAGACTGGAGCGGGACACGACACACTCGCCGGTTTGTTGGCTTATTATCTCGCCTGAGCGGCCGATCGCAACAACCAGTAACACCGGTCCGATAAAACGCGTTTCCCGCTCGCGACGCGACGAGCGGGATCGCTGTGAAACGCTTATCCGCGCGGCGTGATTAATTATGCATTCCCTCCCTTATCAATGCTAAAACGGTCTTATCGATCCGCACTCTCCAGCCAAAAATCTGGCCTCGCGAAAAGCGAGGAGAAAAGTGAAGATTCGACGCGCGTCCGATGATTCAGCCCGATCGGCCGATCGGCGAAGGACCAACATCGACCGTGTGTGCGATCCGATCTCTTCTATCTTTCTTTCTCCTTCTGCTATTCACCGCGAGTCGCATGTCGGAGGCGCGCGCGAGACCTATTTCGAAAGCCGCGCAAGCGAACAAACCGACGGCGTATGCATTTTTTTCCTTCCTTCATTCCCTCGCTTTCCCGCATTCTTTCCCTCCCCCCTCCTTCTCCTCTCCTTCCCCGCGACATCCTCGGCTGTGTATGGGTGGTATGCGTGTACGCGTTGGCGTTCGGACAGAAATAAAATATATCGTAAATTTAATATGCCTGCGTCGTAGCGTGTCAAATGTCGGACGTTCGGGGTCGTCCGAGGGGTCATCACTTGGTGACCTATATATCGAGAGTCCCTCTCGAGAACGCCAATGACACACCGATACTTGTAGGAAACGTGAACCAGCCGCTAGACTACACGCGGTAGCGACGTGCACGGGCACCCCCCGATCGGCGAACAATCCGCTCGACGGCGAGGTGTCCGATGACGCGATCGCATCGGCGAAGTCCGAGGCGTCGTAATCGATCGCGCCTGAAATGAATCTCGAGGGAGAGCGTTTTCTCCCGTGCGAGCAGATATCGAGCGAGTGCAAAAGTCCCGATGAGAGCTTCGCGATAGAACAGACTGAGTGAATTTGATGGGGGAAAACGATTGGTTCGTTCCGCCCGTTGGTGATCGTTACGGCATGACCTTCCTAACGGTATTATCGTATGGATCTGCATATTTCTAGGCGCTGCTACAAAACTGGGTCAGTCACGGCGTCTTCGCACCGAGACCTTTGCACTCACTCGATCTTCCTCATGGGACATCTCCGGGCGAATATACTCGATAAAAAATCAAATTCGGTTCGGTGACGCGACGCGCTCTTTCGTTCATTCTTTCGAGAGACTGGACCAACACGCACTCTCTCTCTCTCTCTCTCTCTCTCTCTCTCTATTAATTTATTGTCAGTGATCGGTAGCAGTCGTTGTGCTACACACGTGTGATCGCGACGCTTACAGTGATGAGAATTTTGTCTCATACACACACGTGCTCGCTCGCGAGATTCGACTCATCGCGCGACGCAAGGCCGACGTGTGCGACCACCTGTCCCCGCAGCGCGCGGCCGCGGAATATTGCACTGATTAACTCTTAATTAAGAATAACCTGTGTGCAACGCAAGGCCCGTCGTCGTTGTCGTCGTCGTCGTTGGACGGACGAGCGAACGCCCGAAGGGTACCGTTTAGCACGCGCGTTTCCTCGCAAGTACAATCGGAAAATCGACCAAGGGTCCAAGTATAACTCACACTTAGGCTCTAATCTCGCGCGTCTTGATTATTCTGTCGATGACAATCGCAGACCCTACGTAATAATCGCTAACATCACATTGAATAACACACACACACACACACACACACACACATACAAACATACCACGGTGAAGCAACGTAGACGCACATTCTCGCAGACGGCACGAATTATCTCTTTATTTTCTTGTCTTTTACGCTCTCTCGCGAAAGAGACACATAGAAAGAGGGAGAGAAAGAGAGAGAGAGAGAGAGAGAGAGAGAGAGAGAGAGAGAGAATGTAGAAACCGGCATAAAAAATATGTCCGATGTACAGACGTGTCCTTTCGTTTCCGCAGCGCGTGGTCGATACTTTTTATCGTTACGCGGTGAAAATAGCGGGAGAGACAAACTTGGCAGGAGAGAGAAACATGAAGGGAACAAAATGCGGCTTTTGTTTTCTCTACAAAAGGGCGGAGATTCTCACGAATACGAAAAGGTACGCCAGTCAAGAGCGTTCTCGTTTACGTGTGCGTGTGTATTTGTACGCGTGCGATTACGCACAGTGATTCTCCGTAAATGCAGCGCGACACCCGTTCGCTGTCTAACGCGAGAGAGCACTCGAGTAGGACGAATATTTACAGAGGCGATTCTGTAAAGATCCGCTCGAAGAGGAGCGCGAGAACGCCGCTAATCCGACGGTTACGATTCTTGCTGCACCCTCGTCGGTTATCCTCCTTATCGAAGCGCATCCTGCGATGCGACTCTCGCATGGCGCGGCTCCTCTTCGCGATTTGTTACAAAGTCACGCGATCTTCACGGTTCTGTCGGTTACATCGTGCGATCGTGGCGTATCACCAGCAGCGAGAGAGAAAGAGAGAGAGAGAGAGAGAGAGAGAGAGACATTTTCGTCTCTCGACGCATTATCGACGCTGCGGATCGATCGATCTCCTAATCTCTTCAGGGTGCAATCTTAATTTTTGTTCGGCTAATTTTTGCGCGCGCCGTGTTTCTCTCGGGGAAGAATACAGATTCACTCAAGGTATCGCGCTGTCGGTGTATACCGCGGGTCGTGTACAAAGTCAACATCACCGACTCGACTTGTGTTATCGCGCGAATCACAGCGGCGGTCTCCCCCCCGAGCTTTTCCGTTATCTTATTACATAGCGCGTAAATCACTTTCTCCGGACGACGCGCGTAATCTCGCCGTCGCGGGCTTTTTCTCGCGCTTATCGCGCCGCGCGATCGCTTGCAAGTAGAATTAAGATCTAGTATAGAAAAAGTAGTTCGTAGTAAAACGGCATGGTCCGTAAGTGACATCGTCGCGTCTTTCCTCCTTCGGCCGTTCGTACAGCAGATCGGCAAAATCGGCGATCTATCTCGCGGGGAAATCGGCGAACGCCACTTGCAATCGTTACGTTGCCACGTTGGAAACGATTACAGCTCCACGAAGGAAAAAAAGAAAATCTCTTTGTCTCGGTGAGACAAAAAGGAGAGATTGATTTTTCCTAGACGTCTAACAGATCGACACGCAGTCGGCTCATTAATCTCGTTCGATCTCTCGCGCTCATGTCGCATCGTTAATCATTCTATCGATCGTCGGTGTCACGTGTGTACATAAATTGCATAGAATTACTCGAAGATACCGTGCACGACGATCGATCGTGTCCGAGGTGACAAATTATTCAGCATGCTCTTTCTGATCATCGTGTAAACATTCCGTTGTATCCCGTCCTTTCGATTGTCATCGAGATAAAGTGAGAGGGACATTAGATGAATGTTTTATGATCTTTTGTTACTGCCAAGTAAGCTGCGGATTTCGAAGAGGCAACATGAAATATATATATATATATATATTCAGAAACGATCGAACACAACTCGGTGGTTCTTGCGCTACCAGAGCTCTCGTGTTCGTTTCTCTCGCAACAAGAAGTTCTATTCGCCGAATCGCCGTCGCGATATCTTTTTGCAAATCGCTGTTACATGTATAAATTTAGAATACAAAGGGAGAAGGAACGATCTAAAAGTGCGAGCTAGTGAAAACGAAGAGATTTACAAACAAATAATCTCAAGCAAGGCACAACTGTCAACAATTCTCAGGTAAGGCACAAACCTAATTAGCTGGAAGAAGCGCAATAAGTCAAAGTCGAATAGTCGATCGTGCGATTTCCAGATTAAAATTAATTGACAGACTGTCGCGACATTCCGCGAAGGAAGAGAACAGAAAAGCGCGAGAGTCTTCTTTCCAAGATGTAATCTGGCATAAGCTACGCTTGGTACAGATTGGTAGAGATTCCGTTACACGTAAGAAATTCATCTATATTTATTTGCACGACATACTTGGGTGTGTGGGTTGTACGGTGTGTATGCGTGTGTCTTGCACGAAGAGAGTATAAATGCGGTAGAAGAGGCGATTTACAAACGAATGCGATGCCGCGCGACGCGTGCGACACGCGGCGACAATTCCAACATTTTTCTTCTTTCCTCTTATGCACAGGGTTTGTGTACAAGGATACAGATTAGTGTCATCTCCCGTCAACGAAATGTACAGAGTAAACTAAACGACTAAGAACGGCTTATCGATTAGTTGATACAGAGACACTCGCGTGTTTTCGTAGAGGATCAGCCAGAAGAAAATGAGAAAACACAAGATTAAAACAATACACTTGAAAGTATATACCATTTTTTTTTTAGTTATCCCATTTACATTATACATCGTATGTATATATTTATATATATGTTCATTCGTATTTCTTTTTCCAGGAAATGTTCCTAAAATCTCGGGCGGAGGGGGGGGGTAAGGATGTACTCATCAGAAGAGTAAACAATTGCAATTGTACATGTGATCAATGCGAAGTTATCGGTAGTTGGGTTGATAGTACGCGTCGGTGATGGTCTTTCTAATATAACACGTAAGTTTCTCCTAAGTGAAGTAAACTTTGTTAAACGCAAAACTTCAATATAACAAATTAAGCATACGAACGCTACGTTAGTAGTAGGCGGTTCTACCCTGCTTAAGCTACAAATGGATAACGGAAAGTACACACATATATGTATAAATATATAAATGTCTGTATCTTTTTTATATATTTATATATTCATATATATATATGTGTGTATATATATATATACACACACACACACACATATATATATGAATAATCTAAAATAAAATGTACGCTTAAATTATTGCAGCTTTAACATAGCCCCAGAAAATCGACCGAGAGGAACGAGACCGCCGGCGACACTAGCGTAATCAACTCTTCTCCACAGTCTCGGCATTTAAAAAAGCTCTCTCTCTCTTTCTCTCTCTTACCCAGTATTTTGATTAAAATATAAGATTATGTTGAAAAAAAAAAGTTACGGATACACTACGTGTCCCCTCCCTCTAGCGCGACGGTACATGGTGTGCCACCTCTTACCTTTCTCTCGCGTATCTAATCTTCCCGTTTATTCGCTCTATGTCTGTCTTAACACTATAAAAGATTAGAATTTACGTAAAGACGTATATATTCTACCGTTATCCGGATATATTAGTATTCAAACAATCGTTTCGTTGCCGTCTAAAAATATCCTTAAATTTTCCTCGGAGAGCTCTCTTTATTCGCTAAAATATCAATAATCGTCCTAGAGCCCATCCTTAGGGACACATTCATTAATTATACATGTATAATTCTCATTTAGATCTATATTTTTTATACAAAATATATCTGCATCGTTGCAAGTGTTCGACCGAAAGCAAATAAGTAACTCGGTGTTATGCGCCTCAGCAGAGACAATTTTGCACTTTAATGCGCGTGTTGCTCTTTCGATAACACAATCTGGTCGCATCTGGCAGTAACAAAAGTATCCGGAATAATGTATTAGCACCGATTGTCGTGTGTAAAACTAAATCGATGAAACGATAAGAACTCATCTTTTCTCTTCTTTCTTTGCACGAAATTAAGACGTAAACGAGCAGATAGAAATAGGAGACTATCAAGGTTTGCACAGTATATGTGGATATCTCCCAATTATTCTACCTTATCAAAAAGTATTTTATTTCATTGCCTCGTAATATGATAAACACATTTGTCAATGCAAGAGTTTTATGTACACTAAATACCTACATTTCAAAAGCGAGCTTTTTCTGCCTAATGATGAGTGTCAAAAGAATTGCAGATGTTCTATCAATGATAAATATATTATAAGGAATTTGTGAATTTTTTTTCTCATTAAAACCTCTCCCTCTCCCTCTCTCTCTCTTTGTCTTGAATATATAGTGTTCCGTAACACACTGGTGGGATACAATAGGATGATCAATAATTCTACATGAAAATATTATCGCGAAGATGTAGAACATGTTTTGTCAGTCACACTTTCATTTTTTTGAACGATTGCGCTCGATGATCAATGTTCTATTATCGATGAATGGATATTTCATATACTTGTGTGACACATCACTCTAGATATCTCATCAGTAAATGTATGTAATTAAAAGAATAAAATGTATTTTGACAAAACGTAACTAAAACTAATTACAAAACCTATAGTTAAAAGTAACTCAAGCAGTACATTGAAATGTCACAAAATGGGAAGATATCGTTTTATTTTCCAATTTTAGATATTGAAACTCTCGAAAGCCTCGTGTGTATATGTGCGAAAAGATATTGTTTTATATTGCTGTTTCATGTAGTATTATCTTCCCAGTTGCCTTAACAAACACGGAACACTGTATATGATAATTCGGAAAGATATGCGAAATATAGAATACGAATCCTGTCCGGCTACTCATTCCCGGCAACGCCTACAAAATAAACTTGCGCGAACGTATGATCCGTGATCTCCTTTTTTTTCCATGATGCAACTGTGTGAGCATTGTAGAGTGATATGTCGTACCGTCCGTAGAAAACGCTATATAAACATGGAAAAACTTACTTAACTCCAAAAAAATAACCACCTCGTCATTTATTAACGATACTCATGGTATTTTTTTACAGAAGATTCTCGCGTACTCGCAAGAAAAGAAATAGGATGACGATGAGTAAGAAACGCGGCGGTACAGAAGGATATTGTATTCGTACAGAGAGAACGCTAAAAATACTTTTCTTTCTTAAATGTTTTTTTCTTTTCTTTTCTTTTTTTTTTCAAATCGTATGTTCCTATCTCGGTCTAAATATCGCGTCCCTTTCTTTATCTATTTTTCTTTCGTTCCTCCTTCCTCACTTTCTTCCTCTCTCGCTTTCTTACGTTCTTCGTTCACGCATTCATTTCTTCGTTTACTCGATAATACAATTGTTTTGTTTATCGTTGTTAGGCATGTGGACCGGCGGAAATTAAATAATGTAGCAGCGTCGCTTGTGGGAGTTTCGGCTGTACGAGGCCAGGGGGAGAACAGGCTCACGAGAAATTATCACTAGTTATCTCTTGCTTCGCCTTCTTTTGCGGAGAATTCACCTGCGTGCGTAGGTCTGTGCCGGGTCTCTTCACGGCTTGCGGATTACCCTTCACACCGGTGGTGGGATCTGTCGAGAAAGGAAGAGAATGAGAGAAAATTCACCTTGAAACACCAACTTCGCCAACGGCAAAAAGCAGACACGCTTTCTAACGTGAGAAAATCTCGTGACTCACCTTGCAACCACCTGACTTGCGTGGCTGGTCCGTAACCTTTGTCGTTTCGCGCTGCTATTCTAAAGATTATGGCCGGTTTCGTAGTGGTGTCCACGTGAGCGGCGTTAAGGGCACTATTGTTCACCGAACAGGAATTACTCGAGCCGCAATAAACTCTAATAAAGGCTAATTGATTTGGTGTAGACACGACTGTTTTCGCCTCGCCGTCATTGTTCAACGCTGTACTTCTCACCGCCAGATAGACGGAATACTCGAGAATGGGCCCGACGTTGCTAGGCGGTGGCTCCCAAGAGATTTGTGCGCCGTCCGCGGATTTCGATATCTTTATAGCGCTCGGTGCACCCGGGAATCCCGGAAGACACGTTTTAAATGCCGATACCTGCAACGATACACACAGCATCGATATTATTCGTACAAATATTAGAAATCTCACTTTATATTTGTCTAGCGTGAGCTATGGTTAATCGGATACGTTACCTCGCTCCAGGCACTTCGTCCACAGCTATTCACAGCGGCAATTCTAAACTTGTAGGCAGTTCCGGGCTCCAGTGCTATTTTAGTCCTTTCTTTGAAAACGTCCATCGTTAAGGGTTGCGTTATATCCAACGGTTCGTCACCGGAAAGATAATAGTGTTGAACTGTGAAAGTAGTTCCTTTTATAACTCCCACGTCATACCACTCTGGATCCTTCTTCTCATCCTCGCTCTGCAAAAGGCATCACAGTCGTTATTTAAACGCTCACGCTCGAGATAAATAAGAAACGGTTGCAGGAAATTATCGAGACCTACCTGCTCGGTTTTAACTTTCACCGATGTCTCCGTTGAGCCCAAGGCGGCGCTTGCTAACGTAGACAAAGCCGTGGAGTCATCATCTGATCTGGCGTCATTTATTTTCTCCTGCTTCAGGCTGTCCCTCTTCGAAATCGCGTTATCCTCTTTGATGTCGATTTTGATAGGAGTGTGAATCTTTTGCGGACTTTCGGCTTCCTTTTCGAGAGAAGCGGCGACTCCGTTAATCGACGAGATTGGTAGGTCGGAGAATTTGTCCTGTTCCATCGGTTCTATCGGTTCCATCGGTTCGTCCGCGGGTTCTGACTTTGCTGGCACGTTCGGTGTGACGACGGGTGTTGTTACTGGTAACTGATCCACGTCTGTCACAGGCAACGCGCTGTCCGTGACCATTGGCTCATCGGCGTCTTCCGATTTCACGAGAGAAATATCTGCTTTCTCGGTCGGTAGATTGGCTTCTGGTTCCACAGCTTCGTCCTTGATCTTCTCAATTTCCTCAGCTTCTTCCTTGGGGAGCTGCGGCACGCTGTCTTCAACGGGCGGTGGAGCTTCAGGCGCTGGCGATTTTTCGTTGTCGGAAAGATACTCTGCCTTCATGCTCTTCGTTTCATTGTTTTCATCTTGATGATCCTCTTGGTTCTCGCTTTTAGGTTCTGCCGAATCGGCGACATTTGTCAACGGCACTTCCTCCACTTCGGCAGGAGCTTGCGTTGCTGGTGATTGTACGAAAGGCAACTCGGATTTCTCCACTTTCACTTCGTCGGGCAACGTATTATCGATATCAATCTCCTTTTCGTCCGGTAGTTCCGCCTTGGTACCAACATTGGTATCTACGGGTGTCTCTTCGTCGGTCGGCGGATTGTCAGTAGCACCATCAGTTTCCTCGGGCACTTGGTCAGTGGCGGGGATGTCTTCAGGCAAATCGGCTGTCGCTTCGGCCGCGGCTTCCTCCTCCTTCTCCTCCTTCACAACGGGCTCTTCCGCATGGATACTCTCGGCCGCGTTAACGTCGTCTTGCTCCATGGGTGTCGGCTCATCAACGGCCGACTCCGAGGCATTCTCAGGAGCGGGGTTCTCGTCCAAGTCGATCTTATCGTTCTCTTCGTCCTCAGACAGGAGAATGTCGGTCGGACCGTCCACTTGTGGAAGCACAAAGTTGCCATCGCCATCGACTTGCATCGGTTCACCCGCGCCCATTTGGGAAACCAAGGCGGCCGCTGTGGTCGCCTCGTTACCGTTACAACTGTCCTCCACTTTACCGTCACCGCCAGCACCGTCGTCTGTAGCTACCATAAACGACAGACCACCAGATGGCTCCTGCACCGGGTCGATTAGACCCGCCTCTGCTGCTAAAGCGGCTAAAGCTGCGTCAGTAGTAGCGGGACCGTCAGACGTTGAGGCTAAAACGTCATTTCATGTTACGTAATATTCGCGACACCTTCTCGTTGACTTCTGTTCATGTCGCGCATTAAAGAAGACAATTGTACTCACCTAAAGAAGCCGAAGGCTGCTTCTGCGACGGAACAAAGAGCATCTTGCTGGTGTCTATCGAATCCGACGCACTCGAAGTAGTCACTATGGAACTACTTGTTGGCATAAGCGTCACCGTCTTCGCACCTATGCCTCCAGACATTTGCAGAGTTACCGGTTTACCAGACATCGTTACCGCTTCCTACAATTTGCAATGACAAGCTTTATGAGTTATTGAAGAACAACGAACTCTTGTAAGTGATTAGTAGATTAAATCATTTTTTTTCCGGCAGTTGTTACGAGTTTCAATCTCAACGAATCTGCTTGTAGTGAGAAACTGCAGAAAGGATTTTACGATCGTATATCTATGTACATTTTTAATCGTCGATTTCTCTACCGTCACACTTACTGGAGTCTTTTGTATCTGCGGCATGACGATTTGGCTCTTGCCAGGATTAAAGATTGCCTGTGGACTGCCCTTGGTGGCGATAGTCACTGTCTTTGGTACACCGCCTTGTCCCGGTACTGTGATGGTTATGGGCTTGCCAGCGGTTCCGCCCACCATCGCGCCCGAGGACACGACGATCATCTTGACACCTTGCTGATTCGTCACGTGATTGGTGGCCGACAAGGGTAACACGTTCACCGGGGTCGTGAGATTGGTCCCTTGGCCTGCGCCAGCTTGCGAAGTAGTTACCGTCTGCACGGCTCTCAGACCGGAACCCGTAGTGACTACGATGATCTGATTGGTTCTGCCGACCAATCCGCCGTTGCCACCCGGCTTGGCGATCATAATAGTCTGCTTGCCGGTGATATTTTGTCCCTTGCTCATCGTCACCAAGCCGGAGGTCTTCATGGTCGTGAGCAGCTTCGACCCCGCTACCGTGTTGGGGTTCACCAGTCGCAATATCGCCGGCCCGTGATTCAGGAGCTTCACTCCGGTGCCTTGAACCGCCTTGCTGGGGATGAGACTCACCTTGGGTCCCGTCGCGGCCATCATGCCGCAGGCCACCTGACCAGTTTTCAGCAGATGCACGATTCCAGTTTGACCAGATATGTTCTGGCCCGACTTCTGCAGGATGATCTGCTTGTTCTGCGGTGGCGACGCCGTGCGCAGTACTGTCGCGCCGGGCGTGGCGAAGCGTATCTGCTGACCCGGCTGAACGTTCTTCATTCTAATGGTATTGGTCGCAGCTTGCGGCAAGATGGGGACATTGTTCATGGTGATCTTCGGCGTCGCCGCCGCTGCCGCGGCCAATGCAGCTATGCCGGACATGGCGGCGGGCGTTTGACCGGTCGCCACGGTGGTAGTCACAGTGGGAGAGGTTTGTTGCTGCTGTGGCTGTTGCTCAGTGGTGACCACCACCGTCGCCGCCGCTGCCGCCGTCGACGTTGTCGCCGCCGTCGCGGTGGTGATTAACGGGGAACGGATTCGTATGACATTGCCGGCAGCGACTCTCGGCGTCATGGGACTAGTCGTTTTCTGTACGACTTGTTGCGGCGGCACAGTCTTCTGCACCGGGCTCTGTACCGTTGGCTGCACTCGCAGCGGCGCCACCGGTATCACGGCTGATCTGACGGAAGTCGGGTTAGTCGGGATAGAAGCCACAGTGGTCACAGGAGGCGACGTGATCGGCACGGTTGCCGGTGTGGCCACAGCCGGGGCGGCGGTGACAGGAGTGACGTTTGGCGTGGGTGCGCTCACCGGCGGGAAAACACCCGCGGTCGCCGCCGGCGGCATGTCGTACTTTTGTATCTGAAGAATGTAATATTGCGCGGACGGGGTCGCTGTCCAACTGACCTCCAGCGTTTGCGTGGAAGCCCTGACCAGCTGAACTCGGGAAGGTGCTGGCGGTTTGCTGACTTCGAGGTACCACAGGTCCTTGCAGCACACCTGGATATGATCGAGAGACCATTGTACCTTTGCGCGACACGGCCCAAATACATCAAATACACCAACATGCACACCAACCTGATTGTTCCAAGCCTTACGATACCCATCTCTACCGGACCATACGTAGAGCCTGCTGTGGACACCTACCGCGCAATGACCAGCTCGAGCGCGAGGAGTGTTCTCCTCCAAGGAATCGACGGTTAGTTGCTCCCAAGTGAGAGTTTCTAAAACAACGACAGTGTGTTTGCACGATAATCACATAAACGAGTGGAGATCTTTAAGCAGTCGGAGCACTCAAAGATAAATAACACAAGGGGGATACATAAGTAGCCAAGTATGATGTAAATACATGGCGTAATGTATGGAGAAATATGTCGTCAAATTTAAACCTACCTAGATTCAGACACGCCAAGGTGCTCGTGCACTTCCATTCCTTCTCGTGTGTCGCGACTTTGACATCGTCGACGACCAGTGGCACCCATCCTCCAAAGACGTACATACGGTGACCAATTAATGTGGCAGTGTGGAGTGATCGAGGTAAGGGAGTGGGGCCGTGAACGATCGGTCTATTCCAAGTCATCGAGTCAACATCTAAGAACCACAAATCGCCCAAACGGCAACCACTCATACCACCATAGATCACCAGGCACGACTTGCCAGTCGTACGGTCGGTGTACGCCACACCAGTATGTGATTCCCGGGGAGGTGGTGAGGAACCTTGTGTCGTCGGCACGTCCCAGGCGGTCACGCCGTTAGGAAGCAGCTCGAGTGTGTACAGATCATTCAGATATCTCGGTATGTTATTCTTCGGGTCGTCGCTGTCGTTCGCCAGACCTCCGAATAGGAAGACCTTGTTACCAATGAGAGTGAAACTGTGTCCTAGACGCGGACACGGCGGGATATTGTCCTTGGGTGGCTTTGGCTTCAGCCGTTTCCATTCCCACTTGCTCGCCTGGAGTTCGTACAGTTCATTGGAGTACTTGCCGTACTCCACCATCCCACCAAAGACCAAGATGCGTGTGCCGTCGACGACGAAACCGTAAGCCGCGCATCCTGGTGGGATATCGCCTCTCGTAGACGGAACGAACCATTGGTTTGTGGCTGCAACAATACAGCCCATATAAACTGTGCGATTGACCGGTAAAGTAGCACGAGCTGCGATATTTGTTGTTACGCGATGAATTGATAATCATGTATCAATAAAACATCATTGTATACATTGTATCGGCTCTGTAATATTCATCGTTGCTCTCGGCACAATATTATCATGACTTCCACACACAGGTTCGTCGAATTAAATTTCCCGAAATATTCGCACAGCTGGATCGATTCGCGGCGGAGTTTCTTCAAGCCGCCGAATGTCGCGTTACTCCAGCTCGAGACGGAAGAAGTCGTGCGTGGAAGCGTCGGCGGAGATGGGCAGAACACGAGAGACGAGGAAAGAACCGAGAGCGACCGCCAAGTATTCGCAGGCATTCGTATGCACATCACGCCTGTTACCATGGCGAGAATTCGCGCGCGCGTTCACCGCACAGAGGACAAACATTTCGAAATCGTGGCCGAAATGCGCGCAAGTAGCGCACGCAGGCGCAGTGCGTTCCGCCGACGTAGCGCGACGGCGATAAGTACATTCGTGTGCATCAACTGCGACGGTGGCGGCGTCGGTGGGCCCGGATACGCAGGCACAAGGAGAGAAGGAAGGAGGGAGAGGGGGAAAGAGAGAGAGAGAGGAAGAGCGGGGGGAGAGAGAAAAGAGGCGGACAAGGAACAGAGGTACGGGGGAAAAAAGAGAAAGAAGGCAAGAGAGAAGCGCGAACGTGGAATGACGGGAAACGGCGGTGGGTATCGCAACGCGCCGTCGTGCGGGCACCGGTGGTGGGGGCGCGTTGGAGACAGCAATGGCCGCTCCCGCGCGTATAAACATGTAGAAATGACAGACCGCGACGATTTCCTGGAGCCAGCGCGGCCGCACGGCCGACGCCGGAGCGCGGGCGAGCTCGTGCGCTCGGCCGCGCTCGCGATCGCGCCGTCCGAGTGGCGCGCGTCTCGCTCGAGCCGCGAAATCGCGTCGTTTCGCCGCCGATCCGGCCGGTCACCGTCTTGTCAACGTATGCCGCCATGTTGGATCGCGGGAATCGCCAGGAACGGCGCGCAGCGAAAGAGACGCACCGCACGGCGGCGGCGGCGGAGGAAAAAGGCGGCGCGGCTTACCCGTGTTGTAAACATGTAGCTCGTCGACGATACCCTCGTTACCGCCGCCGAAAACGACCATGAGATCCTTAATCGCTACCGCCCGGTGGCCGTGCCTGGGTCTCGGCTGGGGCCCGGTCGGATTTGTGATCCGCTTCCACTTTAGCATGGGTGCCGCCATGATGACCGTCGATCACATCATTTTTTTATGCCACGCGCGACCGTACACCACCACTACCAACACCACTATCTCACCACTGCCGCGCGACACACGTTTACTCCTTCGAACGCGACGCGTAGCGCAACGAGCTGATCGGCTCGCAAGCTTATGCGGCGCGGAGCAGTCCTTCTCTTATCACAGAGATCGCGCGGTCGGTGCTCGCGATGGCTCTTTTGTACGGGGCCGAGACCAAGACTCCGTACTTCGTACACAGTCGACAGTCGTGAACAGGGTGCTTGCGACGGCTGGCGACAACCAGACAGGGGATTACCGCGACCACGATACTTTCAAGTATTCGTTGGTCAATCGCGCGACGAAAGCACTCGTCGCTACACTCCCCGCACTCTCGGTCCAGACGTGACGCAGACCCGAGAGGGGCTGTACGTCACGAATTCTAACCTCCTCGACGACCACCCGTAGAGAAAGACGCGACGACACTCCTCCTGCCGTACGCTTCGCGGATTCGCCCGAGTCTCGTCGTGCTAGTGCAACGCGTCAACGCGTTCCTTCAACGCACACGCTGCACGCTCTCTCGTCGCACCCTCGCGCTACGATAACACAGAATCGCGACCGGGCAGCGAATTCCGGACGCCAAGATTCGCCGCGCTGTGAGAGCGGTGTATGTCCCCGCGGCGCGCAACACGTACACACGGACAGGCTCGACGACTAGCAGGCGGAGAAAGGGAGAAAGAGAGAGAGAGAGAGAGAGAGAAAGAGAGACAGCCGACGCGCAGCGCGTGTATTGGCGCGCGCGCGCGCGCATACGCTCGCGTATGTGCGTAAGCGTGTGTATTTACGTGCGCGATGTTTACGGCACTGATAGTGCGAAAACTAGAGCGGCCACTCGGTGATACACCGCGGCCCGGGCGGATACGTGCTCGCGACGGTTGCGTCGTTGCGACACGATCCGATCATATCGCCATCCGGGTGTCGGCTTCTCGCTCTCGTTCCTCGTCTATCCTTGAATGCACCACTTGGAACGAGCGAGTGAGCGAGCGAGCGAGCGAGCGTGCGCGCGCGCGCGCACGCACGATCTCGAGAGCGAGTCTCGAATTTTCGAGACCGATCGTCGACTCTTCCGTTCCGCTCGCGCCGTCCCCTCCCCGACACTCTCCCACCGCCCTCGTAGCAACACTCGCAGTAAAACTCGCGTCAACACGGAGCGAAAAACGGCGGGGCGACGGAGATATCACTATGGTATACTGCCTAACGACGCCGGGCGGAGCGCGGCAATACTCGGCGTTGCGCGACGCACCGACCACGCGGGGATACGCGGCAGGCACGCGGCACGACCGGCGACTCGAGACGATTTCGTAGCACTCAGTGGTGAAACAGACGTTGCAGACGGTAGCCCAACGGCGCGAACAAGCGGCCTCCGCGATCCTTATCCACCATTGCACACAACTCCGCGTCGGTAACAAGCGCGTTGCCAACCGACGTGAGCGGGAAGACCCTGGAAGCCACCTACGTCGGCGAGCGTCTAAAGCCCGTTCTACATTAGTCGCAAGGTCGCATGCAAATTGACCAATCACAGCCGATTATTCTTCGATCGCGAAGAGAACAGTCGACTGTGATTGGTCACTTTGTTTGGGACTTGCGACTAATGTAGAGTGGAATTCACCGATCGCCTTGGATTGATCGGGGTCCTATGAGAAGATCTACTCGCTGCGTACTTCCGACTCGAAACGCTCACCAATCGAATCGTCGGACTCGCCGGCTTAGAAGAGAGTCCCGCTCGGACAGCCAATCGGATCCGGAACGAGCTCTGCTTCTGGTGAAGTTAGGCGCAACACCGCGCGGCGCGACCGTTGGCGACCGAGTAGGTTCAAAGCTAATTGATGATGTTATCGTCATTTCGATATTAACGCCGGAAGACTCGTTATTTGTATATTTTTATTTCACGCTTGCTCTTCTACGCACTTGTGGTCGGTCATTGCTGCCAAATTGTCAACATGTCACGGCCCACGGGTGTCCGCTGGCAATGCACTCTATTTCACTCAACATGTAGACGATTCGAATACGAAAGCCGAGGGAGGCATCATGGACGCCTGTTTTGCGTGTGAGAGCCATTAGAGGTGTTTGAAAAATTCGTTGCAAGCTGAACACGAATGTTATCGCCGAGTGTATCGGAATGAAGAGTAACCGATATTAACGCGAATGATAACCACAGAGAGATGCATTGAAATATGTAATATTACGCCGTAGATACGTACATATATCCACAATCAGGACAATCGGGACAACTACAAATCATAGAATTAATCAATACTGCGTTATAACATTTAGATATATATATATACATATATATATATATATTGAACGATACAAAATAAAGATGTCAGTATTTCTCAATTATTCTGGAACCTGCTTGATAATTGTAAATAATTGTAAAATTTTTTGGAATTGGGGCCTTTCTTGCTGCTATTTTTGTTTTTTTTTGCTATATCATATGTGCTGTTGACGTCAAAATTGCACTGATATATGTATAAAAACTAATTAGCTAAATGCGTTATTCGACTGCGCCTGAATCCAAAGTATACAACAGACCAAGCAGCTCTGGAATAAAACCAAACATTGACAGTTTAACGTCGATAGAGAGAATGTTTCTCTCTGCAGTATTTTTCTCTATTCTATCTCATCTGCTTTGTTTAATAAAGGGTAGAAGATATCGTGTCATAGAACTCATATCTCTCTTGATGTTAGACTGTCACGTTCAACACAGTAGCAAAGTTGTGAGACTGCTTGATCTGCGCACATTTGCCATTATGTGATTAAAAATATATAATAAGAATTTTAAGACTTGTATATACTAATTATCTCTGTATTGGGAAAGATTGGGAAACAGCATGAACGTTTTAAAATCAACTTCGTGACCAAAGGCCTCGGGCTATCCTAAGACCTGCCCTGTCTAAGTCCGATGCATTCCTTGCCTATCATAGCAACCTCGCATATCTTACACACTGTGTCCTTAAATAGTGGGTTGTAGCTAGCGCCGCATAAAGGACACTTGACTTCCGGCTTTCCTCTATAAATAGGCGTGAACGTGCTCGCGCACAACGAGAACGGATTGTGTTCGTCGTATGCTAATTGATGCTCGTCGACGGGATTTTTATCGCAGACCTGAAATAAAAGCAGATCGGATCTTTCAGATTCGTCGGGGGCACAAGTGCATCGTGTTTAGAGAATCATCGAATGCTTTATGAGTATATTAATATAATGTGAATAATTCGTCGTATGTATGTTCCTTATATCGAAAAGTGAAAATACCTGTAGAATCTTTCGAACTTGCTGCGCGTGCTCGGGCTTCGGTCCGAGCTCGAGTAATCTTCTCGCGAACGAAGCGGCGGTCTTGTAGTTCTTCAACTTGAAGAATATATTCGCAGCTATTCTCAGAGTGAGTATCTGATGTACCGGTTGCAGATTGCAGTGCGTAAAGTACGCCGCCATCTCGCAGATCCTCTTCTGATCGTTCAGCGTGTTCTTCGGCAGGTTCTTACGCTCGGTTTCCATTTTCAGGCCCAAAATGTACTCGCGACAGATCTGAATGAGCTGCTGGGCCTCTGCGATGTCCTGCCTGGTGTCGACGACGAGCAACGGTACGCTCAGCAAGATGGCCTGTAACTTGTCTACCGCCTCTGAGAATTTGCCGGCGGTTGTCAGCTGATAGCACACCTGCAGACGCTGGACCAGGTCGGCGAGATGCAGTCCCACCGCGGGCATGCCCGTCTTCGGCGTGGCGTCTTTCCAATTCCTCTGAGGATACCCATGCAACGACGGTATGTTCGGCAGGCTAGCGAAGGACGTTCTGGAGCGGGCGTACGTGTTCAGGAAAAGCGACTGATACGGCCCGAACTCCACCACGCCAACCTGATTGTTCAGTAATCTGAAGGCGGACTCGAACGAGCCGGCCAATACGTGATCGACCACCAATTGAGAGTTGTTGATCCAATGCTGCGTCGGTGGTACGCCTTTAGTAGGAGGAGAATAATAACCATCCTCGTTGGCGGTTGTCGTGGCCTCCAGCTCCGGCGGAAGATCAACATCCTCGACGTCCCAACCAGCGCTCTCTTCGCCCTCGGCCGCGATCTCCGCGTCAACGCCTTCCTCGCCCTCTTCGTCGATCCCGAGCTCTTCGTCATTGCCCCACCCGTCGGTTGTCGCCCCGCCGTCGTCTTCCGGAGCCAAAGCGGCGGCCACTTGACTCTTGCCGCGAGACATCATTGCGCCCTCGAAGAAGCCTTTGGAGACGGTCAGCAGCGGCCAGTTGTTCTCGGCCTGCTGGATGGGCACCGGTGGACGCAGATATATAGCGCCGTTCTCGAGCGAGGACAGCTCTTCGCTCATCGACTGGTACTGGGCGTCGTCGTCTTCGTTAGATATCCCGTGGATCTTCTCGGTAACGTACGCCAACGACGCTTGTCCAGAATTCTAGATGATAAAATTCGAAATATGAATACTACTTATCTGGACGTATGAGTGTCGAGTAAAAAAAATATAATTATTGCAACCAATGGAGACCGACATACCCGCAGAATCTTAGCCCGTTCGTAAATGTCGCCGAGCAGCAGGCTACCTTGATACTGTCCGGATACGTCTTTGCGGATCTCCGCAATTTTGATCATTTTGCGCAGCTTCTCCAGATTGCCGGTTATAAGGTAGAGGAAAGAGAGTTTCTCAAAGTTCTTGGTTCTCTGGTAGCACATCTCCACGACCTGGTGGTTGCCTTGCAGCAAAGCCGCTTGAGCCAGGCTCTCCCAGCACGATTTCTGATCCAGCGATCTCGCTGCTTCCAGTGCCACCTCAATGTTCCCGCACTCGAGCGCGAGCCCGAATCTGGTCTTCTCGTCCTTCACAAAGTGAAGCGCCACTTCCGGGTATCCCTTCTGCTGTAAGTACGCTATGATAGATTGGCCAACGAGATTCGCCGTGCGCACCATGTGCAAGACCTCCTCGTACTTCCTATTGATCAGCGCGAGCTTGAACTTGTACTCCGTCGGGTCTATCCGCAGAATCCTCGGCCTACACTCCCGGTCCAGGCAGTAAACCTGGTTGCCTTTGACTCTCGTCACGTATATCGGCAGGTCCAACGTGCGGATGATGCCATGATCGCCATTGTTGATCGCGTACTTGATGTGATTGCTGGTCGTGTAGATGAACACGCCGGAATCGTCCCAAGCGCCGGACTTCACTCTGGTGTTCTCGTGCACGGAACAGAGGAACTCCAGTCGGCGATTGCAGATGTTGACGCAGTGCTTGGCCAGCAGCGCCACGTGAGACATGTCGCTGGACCACACGACGTACCGGCACTTGGATATCTTCACCTCCGCTAGCGTTCTCTTCTGCTGCACGTCGAACAGCGTTACCTGCTCCGGATCGCGTAGAAGCAGCATGCCAGTGCCAGCGTAAAATATCTCGTCGCAGTTGGGAATCTGCACCTTCTTCGTGACCTCGTTCTTCAGGTTCTTGATGACCAGCTGGAAAGAGACAGGCAATCGTGAACATTCGTGTAGTTTCCAACGAGTGAAAGAAACGTATGAGCAATTGTGTGTGACCGATTGGTTCACCTAAGCTGTTTTGAGATGAAAGAAGATGATATATCTTCGTTGATTCGTCACATCTTTAGTAATTTAATGATTTCGACTTGTGTGTACACTCACTTCAACGTTGTGAGACACTTCGACTCACCGAATATGCCCTATCCAAAACAGCGAATCGATTCCTGGCGACCCAGATGGCCGTGACACCGGACGCCCGTTTGGTGTCGGCGTCTGTGCTGGAGTCACCCTCGCGCGGTATCATGTACAAGTCGTACGTGCTGTTCTCGATGCTCGAGGGCGACCTCGTGCACACCAAGACGCTGTTCTCCGCCTGATTGTACGACATACTGTAGGGCGGTGTTTTCCCGCCGCCCCGAATCTGCATGACCGAGGTGTCCTTCGACGTGGTGAAGTCCAACTTGCGCAGGAAACGATCCTTCACGTAATACAGCAAGTTTCCGTAGACCGCGTACGCGGGACGCTCCCTCTCGAGCTTGAAGATGATCATACCGGAGTCGTGGCCGGCGGCGAAGAGGTTCAGGGTCGGGTGGGCGGCCAGCACCCAGAATCTCTCGTGCTCCCGCCTGAAAGTATGCAGACACGTGCGCTTCGTCATGTCCCAGACGCGGATGCTTTTGTCTTCCGAGTTGGAGAGTATGAGGTCTTGTCTAGGGTGGAACAGCACGCACGACACGTTGTTGTAGTGGCCGCGGCACGTGTCCACCTCCCAGGCTTTGGCGTCATTCATACGCCACATCTTGATCTGCCGATCGTCGGCCCCGGATACGATCAGTGGCAACGAACCGTGGAAGCATGCCCAGTTGACGCCTCTGTCGTGACCTTCCAGCACGTACTTCACCACCGCATCCGCCTGACCAAATAAGTCAGTCGCTCCAGGGTTCTTCAGGTGGTCCTCGAGACCTCCCGGCCCGGGCGCCACGTTCTTCTTGCGCAATCCTGCAATGCCGATTGTTAAAGGGCAATCATCGCCTCCCCTCTCTCACCCTCAGGTAATTGCACGCTGCTCGTAAAAGCCGTCGCGCCATATCTGGGTTTTTTTAACGATACATCGTCGCGGTGCAAGTCTGACTTAATTTCACATAAAGAGAAATATATGCGTTACCGATGTGTTTCTTTCTGTCTGTCACGATATGAGCGCGTTTTTCTGTAATTTCTTCTAAAACAGATGATAATAAGCAACGTTCACGAACCAGAGATGTCCCACACGCGGACAGTCTGGTCCAACGAAGCGGACACGATGATATCCTCCGTCGGATGGAATTGGGCGCACATTACATAATGATTGTGCCCGGTCAGCACGCAGATGCAGGTGCGGCTCTGCCAGTTCCAGATCCGTATAGTCTGATCGTCCGACGCGCTGAGGATCCAGGGGTACTCCTGATGAAACATCGTGGTCCTGATGTAGTCCAGGTGACCCAGCAGCGTGAAGATGCATCTCCGTTGCTTGTAGTTCCAGACCTTGATCTTGTAATCATCACCGCCGGAGACAAACAGCGGCTGCTGATTGTGGAAGCATATGCCTCGGACGGGCCCGTCGTGCTCGTCGAATTTGTCGAGCAGAGTGCACATGCGGTAATCCCACAACTGAATAACGCCATTGTGCAGGCTGCAATTTGCATCAACGTAAGACACCGGTAACGTGATCATTTCTTTCGCTTGAAAGAGACACGTAAATGGAATGTTATATTTTACGATATAAAAATCCGCTTGGAGAGAAAAAAATGAAGGTTCGTTTACTAGGCAGAATTTTATCTGCAATTTTCTAAAAAAATCTAAAAATGTTCAATTTCGCACGTTGATTAAATTTTTCGCTTCGTTATCGTTACTTGATTCCCGTGATTTTTTTTTCTGTATTTGCAGAGTGCAATTGCGCTTCATCTCGCGAGGGTGCGGCAATGGTGAAACCGCTTTATTGGTTCGCACGCTATAAGTATTATCCACTTCGATCGCCACGAGCTATATCAGGAATTTTATGAGTGTCCTGGATTGCGAAAACCGGCGGTTTATACGATTTTTTTCGTCTGGCTGCACGATTACAAAATGAGGCTGAAATATAGAGGTCATTCGCAAACTGGATTTCGGGCCTACGCCTCTATACAGGGTGTCCCGATATTGCGACTGAACGGGGAAAAAAGATGCTGGGCTCGAGAATGTATCATGCGGCGTGAAAACGATGACGCGAGAATTCCCATTGTATCTCCAAACAGGTTTAAATTGTTTCTCCCGTTTCGCCTCCCCATTATTTCCGTGTAACTCGACGGATTTCCGCGAATCGCGCTCGATCGCCCGGTACGTCCAAGAATATATCTGGGCTGCTATTATCTTGCAAAATAGGCGTGGTACCGCCATTACTTAATCGAAATATGTAAGAAGTGCACAGCTCGCTGCTTCGGTCGCCTCGGCTCGACCTTCTATCGAGATAATCATTTTAATATATGCACGAATGTCGAATACGCTCCTACGTGTTTGGAAACAGTACACTTCGAACACGATTACCAAGTTTTCCTGTCTAACAACAAATTTATAGTAGTAATATCAGTATTGCCTACATTGTATGCTACCGTAATTGATATTGTCATAAATATAACAAATAAGTCGCGAAATGACATTATGTCGCCTTCAGCAGAACGACGATTGAATTTGCCATTTTGGATCGTGCAAGGACAACATTATGTAGTAGTATTAACCCTCCATTGCCCTCGTATGAGGCAAACGCTCAGTTTACATTTCTTTTTTTTTTTTTAATTACTTAGATGTGGCATAAAAGTTGACTCTGAAACTTTCTGACTTTTTACTTATAACCATTTAGATTATATCTGTATAGTTATTTTCTGAATTATGTTAATACAATTTTTTTAATACGAGAAAACTAAAATTCGTTTTTTTAAACGAGGGCAATGGAGGGTTAAAGAACAGAACCGTATTAAAATACAAAATCTACACGTGACTCTGTGACGTAGCAGTTGTAATGTAAAATAAAGACTCCGCATTAATACGCATGAGAAAAATGATGAATTGTTATTCTCTTGAAGTGAACAATTTGTCCTTGCTCGCGGAGAATGTATATGTCGCGCGTCCATCAACGTACTCCACAAAAGTATCCGAAAGTCGATCTTAGCACCAAATAATTTCGACGAATCGAACGACGACAATTGCGGGGCATATCCCCTCAGGATATCTCGACTCGAATCAGGTCATCAGAAGCAGAGGTGTACGCGCGGGTGTGGTGGGGGCGTCAAGTGCACGTCGGACGCTGTGTATATAGAGATCACATCATTACGCATCCTGGTAGTTCGCTCCTTAATGTCATTAAGCTCGCACCACTTTCGACAATGGCAGCTCACCATTGTTCCATCATCGCTGTTGTAAGTGCTGTGCATTTGCATTTGGATAATTCACTTCTCTTCCCTAAACAGCATCCGCGAGAACCACCGATCTGAATTTCTTACGATACTACTTGGCAATTCTGAAGTCGGTCTTTGTCTTTACAATTTGCCGCAAGAAGTGCGACGATAATATTGAGAAATAACTGAAAGTAAAAAAATGTATTCTTCCTTTATTTTCTCAGTTCTTTCTGGGGATATTGTCACTAGCGAGAACGATTTCTCTTCCCTACGAGGACATTCATCTGGCGTTTCCCGCCGCTACGAGATTAATCTACACAGCGTCCGAATCTGATCCTGATTTCAGCGGATATTCCTACGCGACTCAAGATCTCAATGGCGGCGGAAGTAACGTTGTCTTTGCAACCGGTGCGAATTCCATGAGCAAACTCAAGGAGGCAATGGGCTTGATATATGAGGCCGATGATACGATGAAGATGCCAAAAAAATACACGCAAGGAGACATGTCGGACGGTACTCGAGATAATATTCAGGAGAGTCCAGCGTCTGTGGAGCAACAATCCAAACCCGAAATTGAGCCAAGCATAACCAAGCAAGAAGATTTCGTCTTGAACGACGCTTCCGACCAGGAGAAGAAGCTATCGAAAAATCCAGAAATGGACAGTTCTCTTGAACATCGAATATCTCCGCAGGAACTTCCTTTTGTGCATGTGCCTTATCCAGCATTTCGAGCAAATTTTTTAAATCTGCAATTTCCAACGGTGTTCCCCAGATATCATCATGTATCATCGAACGTGATACAGAGCCAATATTATCCCAATAATCCCTATGCTCATTTACAATTTCCTTTGCATGATTTTCCTCTTTACAATCCCTCTGCGCCACTATTTTATCAAGCTCCCATCACAGTCAATCAAGTTCCTGTTAACGATTTCAGCCACGTGTCATTAGCAGCTGTTAAGGATATAACGATGTCAGTGAAAGCAAATTTTACTGACAGCACAAAGACAAGCGTGATCCAATCTGCTAGTTCTGTAGAATCCGACATGATAGAACCAAGAACCAATCTTGAGCCAATGGCAAATAAAGTTAAAGAAGCATCTCCCAGCGAACCTGCTTCGAGCACAGTTGAACCTATGACTACACCTAAAGCAGTTAATGAAGAAGCAACGTCAGCGAAAGTAAATTTCACTGACAGCATAAAGACAAACGCGATCCAATCTGCTAGCTCTGTAGAATCCGATATGATAGAATCAAGAACCAATCTTGAACCAATGGCAAATAAAGTTAAAGAAGCACCTCTCAACGAACCTGCTTTGAGCACAGTTGAACCTACGACTACACATAAAGCAGTCAGTGAAGAAATAATGACCGAGTCCATAAAATCTACAGTAAAATCTAGGAGATGTGGTGATCATGTTATGAAAAATGCAGTAAGTAGTACTGAATTTGCGAATGCAGAAATGAATACTTCAACGAAGGAACCAAGTGCTGAAACCTTGTCTACAACCAAAGCATAAATTCAGACACTGTGCTTTGTTTTATGTTATCATTAATGATGATAGGATTTGTAAAATGATGCAACAAAACTGTTTACTACACAATATTGTAAGTACTTCTGAATTATATCAAAATAAATGTTTCGATATGTTTACTGTGCAAAATTTACAAATCAGTTTTTAGATATAATAATAAATACAAATGAAGAATATAATAAAAATAATTATAAATGTTTATGTTACAAAAGCTACTTCCGATAAGTTTGACCTTGAGATAAGTTATTAAGGTATTATCCCTGAGTAACATTCAAAAGGTTGTAATCATCATTCATTATTTATTAAAAAGTTATTAACAGAAGAAATTTCATTTAGAACATTATACATTTAGAGGCACATAGTGTCAGAAGTATATGTTCTATTTATTAGCTCGTTTAATTTGCATATACAAATCTTATATGTATAAATAATCTAAAGAATGACTCCTCAAGCTTGAGTCTTTCAACTAATTTCTTTTGTTAGTAATTTTTTGGTAAACAACGAGCAAAATATAAAATCTTTTGAATGTTACTCAGGAATGAGATCTTAATAACATATGCCAAGATTAAGCTCATCAGGGATGACTTTGGTAATATAAAAATTTACCAAGATAATTCCTAATTTCCTGAATCAATCCCTTATTTATGACGTTATTGATGACTTAATGTCTAAAATGACATTGAATATAGGTTATGTCAATAAATAACCTTGATTGAGTGTTCAATCGCATAATGTTTTAATATAGCCATTGTTTGAAATGGAACACCTGTTCTGCAATTATTTGAAATATTTTATTAGCAATAATTTTTACAAACGTCAGTAAGTTAAATTAAAACATGTGTCTCTCTCTCTCTCTCTCTCTCTCTCTCTCTCTCTCACTCACCTTGCAAGCACCCAGGGACGTTTCGGATGAAAGGACAGGCCTTTCACTCGAGCTGATTTCGTCTCAAACTTCGTTAACATATTTTTCCTTTTAACCAGAATATTAGACGGGCACGTACGCAATTAATTAAACATCACTCTCTTCGGATTCTTTAAACTTTTGACACGACGGGAGACACGTCACTATACTTCCACGAACTACAGTACAAATGATAAGCACGTAGATACGTTTTTGTAGGCCCGATCAGCTATCGGGCGTTGTGAACTACATCACAGTTTATACTTCCGAAATCTCCGCTACGAGTCGCCACCATCTGCATGAAGAATCGAAGTAGTACGACTAAACGATAAAATAGCCGGATACTTATTCGCAAATAGCATTGCTCCACGACAGATTGGATAAACTCTTGCCCTTCGATAGCGCGATCAAATAGCAGGTTGAACTTTTGTTCAACAGCTTTTATTCATCAACGAGATATTAGAAATTTAGTGATCTGATAATCTGTTATCGATTCAACGATTCTGCACGGCCGCGTTCTGCTTGCACGCGGTACGTTTTGATTGGTCGGTGGTTCGCATTGTGCAAATGGGGAAAGTACACGTTTTGTCGTCTGGTCCTTCTAACCTTCGACATCAATATAACCTGTTAGACGCTTCAAATTGGAATCATTCAGTGATTATTATCTAATCCGGAACGTAAACTCGATAAACGCTCAAGGAACGTTCGTTCCCCTTGATTCTCCGATCTTAAGGAGAATACACACTCAGGTGCTTCCTATAATTTTTTATACATATTGTATACTATACAGTTGCGTGTCGGTAACCGGTCTGTTTCGATATAACAATATAATGCAAACGCCGACAAGTATTGTTATTCTGAATTTCTTTGTGATTGTATTGATTTGCGTAAATAGCGTACAATGTGAGAAAGAAAAGTCGGGCAAAGACGAACTGAAGAATCAAAAACTTCCGCCCTGTGCAGCGTGCAAAGTATTTACCAATAGTTTCAAAAAGGTAAACACCACGTTTCAGTTATTAAAATTTAAGTAATAGAATTTTATTACGTTGTCTAAATATACAATTTAGCAATTTTACGTCATACTAGTCGATGCAAACATTTAAATTACTTTATAGGAGTTAGAAAAAACAAGTCGTGGAAAATTTGAGGGTGGAGATAGCGCCTGGGAAGAAGATAAACTCGGTCCCTATGCCAAAAGTGAAATACGATTGGTAGAAATACAGGAGAATCTGTGCAAGGATATTGAGCATGAAGAGACGCAATGCCATAGCTTAGCTGAAGAACTAGAGGGTTTGATAGAGGACTGGTGGTTCAAATACCAAGATACTTATCCGGACATACACAATTATATTTGTATAGAAAAGACACAGCGCTGTTGTCCCAAGGATCATTATGGTCCGAGCTGCAAGCCATGTCCAGGATATCCAGACAAAGTGTGCAATAATAATGGCAAGTGCAAAGGAGCTGGTACTAGGAAAGGAAATGGCAGTTGCCTTTGTGATAGTGGATATATTGGAGACACCTGTTCAGAGTGTGCATCAGGATATTATGAGTCTTACAAGGATGAAAAGACTCTGTTGTGTTCCGCATGTCATGCAGCATGCGAAGGACCTTGCAGAGGTGCTGGACCCAAGGATTGCGAAAAATGTGCAAATGGATGGCAAATGATAGAGAACAAAGGTTGTTTTGACATTGACGAGTGTCTGAAAAGAGACATCTGTTCTCGGAACCAATTTTGTGTAAATAAGGAAGGAGGACATTCTTGCTTGGGTACATGTATACTTTGTGTACATTTTTTATACATCTTCATATTTCTAGAGACGTAAGATGTCTAATTTCAAAATATATCTTTCTAGCTTGTGACAGAGCTTGCAGTGATTGCACCGGTGATGGTCCAGACATGTGCATCGATTGTGCTGATGGATACCATAAGAAGGACAATTTGTGTATAAGTAAGCATTAAATAAGATGGCCAAAAGAGAAGACAATCCGCTTAACCTTCGCACTCATGATTTCATCATCATTTGCAGATTCGGATCTTCTCGGCCGCAAGAAACAGGAAAATCTGGCGCGATATCTGACATACTTCGGTCTCTGCGTAGCGACGTGCATCATCTTGCAGCGCAACGTTTACGCAGCAGGTATTATCGGTCTGCTGGTTGCGGTGTATATATCCGTCTCGGAATACATGATTGCAAACAGCAACGTCCAAGACACCACGGCGAATATGGATATTCTAGGACCAGCTTAAATAGACAAGCAATTTCAACGCAATATCTCTTCGTGAAGTCATTATGATGTCGCGTTGCACTGACACAAGAAATCACCATCCATATGTAAAATAGATCATGTTAGAATTAATCTTTCACTGACGTGTCGTTGCGCGATTGGCAAAGAATGTAAAAGTTTATTTATTAGAGAATTGTATTCTCTGTCGATACAATTCTGAAATTAGAAATTTTCCGATGTACGTTTCTGTTACTCGTTTTTATTTTACAGTTATAAAATCGCGAGATCTGTTTATTTAGATGCATTTTTCGTGTCTGCCAAAGTCACCTCGTTCGGCTTTTTGCCCGATATATTATTTTGGCCAATTTGCCCGATGATATATATCATCTCTCGTATATATATATATATATATATATCTCTCTTTATATTATTGTAAATAATATATTTTTCAGTGCAAGGTAACAAGAATATATGAAGATATATATAGCAGATTTTTGACATAAGTGCATTACAAGGTGTAACATGTGTGCATGATAATTAGACATTTTTATACTCTGTAGAAAAAGACAAATGATCTCTCTTCCTCTCTCTCTCTCTCTCTCTCTCTCTCTCTCTCTCTCTCTCTCTCTCTCTCTCTCTCTCTCTCTCTCTCTCTCTCTCTCTCTCTCTCTCTCTCTCTCTCTCTCTCTCTCTCTCTCTCTCTCTCTCTCCCCCCTCCTCCCTCCCTCCCTCCCTCTCTCTCTCTCTCTCTCTCCCTCTCTCGGATATGTTACACTCATAGTTTCTGATAGAAACACTAAAAGATAGAAAAAGACATCGATTTTAATGCGAAGAGAAGAACGCGGAGACATTGTCAGCGATAAACTTCAAACACAAACTTCTACTTCGCGTGTGTCACACGCTCGCTGTAAATTCTTCCTTGTTCCATCTTGTCTCGTCGTTACGCACAAGATACCGTGGAATTGAATTACGCGGAAGAACAAACGGACATTCTTGCAAGTGGAAGTTTATGTTGACGTTCACCAAAGAGCGTGGCATTATACATTCTGTACTTGATACACATACACTCAACGTCGATTTGTGTAAGCGCATCGTAACGTGGGGCAAGTATTCCCTACGGTGCGGCAAATATATTACGCAAATAAAAGAACTTAATTATTTCCTATCACAATAGAAGAAACTCTGCTCCTCATTATCGTGTATACGTGGTGAATTCTACGGTCTCTATTATTCCCGAATAAATTTCCTCTTGACTGAACAATTATCGTCGAACTAGATAGTGCAATAAGTTGGAATGAAAGAAAGTATACTTGCTTCAACTTATTGCAGTTAATACATGCACTATATGCACTAGTTGAGAAATTTATACTTGCTTTAACTTATATATAGTATATCAGAGCTTGGCAAGATCTGCACATTTCGCTTGATTTTCCGTTCGTTCCTATTTCTCCGACGTCTTCCTCCGGCTCGGTAACATACGACGTGTGAATTTGTGTTCAATAGCTTTCTACGTTACCTACTATTGACACGTTTCTTTTTCTTTTTTCATGCGTCGTACGTTACTTGAGCTTCGTGCGGTTCGTGAGCCGCGGAAGAAGATACAAGAGGAATAGCGGTAGGCGGAGCGAGCTGAAAATCAGGCAAAATGTGCAAATTTCGCCAAGCTCTGTTACGTATACTTGCTGCAACTTATTGCACTAATTAAGAAGTTCGAAAACGAACAGACGCAACCTACGCGCGAGCGTGGTTGCATTCGCCTAGGCGCCTCAGTACGCCCGGAACGAGATTTTAATGACGCTCCGAGGGACGCGGGAGAGGATTTACGTGTGCGAGAATAAGTGATGCCTGGATGCAACACGCCGAGATGACACCGAGACTGACGGTGACGCGCTACATTATTCAAGATCGACGTCTTCCGAGACCGAGAGAGAGAGAGAGAGAGGAGAGAGAGTGCCGCGTTTCCGATCGCGCGCGCGCGCGAATAATGCGGCGCGATGAAGCGCCCGCAGGACTCGCGGCTTTCTTCGCGAGAGTGCGCCTCCTCTGGAAATGGATATTACACATTAAATGTATCAATAATTCACGCCGCATTAATGGACAATAATTGATATTACATTAATGGGTCGGCTGTTCCTCGGACGTTCCGTTTAGCGGCGGCGTTGTCGTTCGAAGTTAAGCGGACCGCTCGACCCGACCATCGCCCGGCGAATCGTTAAATTTTCCATCGATCCGTGTTCTCTTGACGAATTTGTACACGAAAGCGCAACGACCTCGCGAGCTCGCGACGGAGGTTTTCCATCTCCGACTTTCCGACGTAATTTAATCGCGCCGCGTCGAGCGAGGCGATGCGATGCGTCCATGACCGTGCTGTGCGCGAGATGTTGCAGCTGTCTGGCAATTAATAATGTAGCAACGATAATGGAGCCCGGCTACGATACTTTGTTCACATCGCAACAATTCGTCTGCACGTCCCGCGCAGACTGACGCTCGAACTTTTGCACCGTTCGCCGAGATCGATGTGTATTCTCCATCTGAAAACAAAGGAAGAAGAGAGATCTCCTGGCTGTAAGACAGGAGATAAGAAGATAGAACAACGCGCCGCACCTCGCGCCCCATCGTCGCGGTTTTCGCACTCTAATTACGTTCCGAGCGCGTATCCGGAGGTAATTTATCCGCAAAAGCGGAGGATGTCTCGCCGAGAGGACACGTCGAATGTGTCGCGAGCAACGCGCGGATGCACTATTGATGCCGCGCGCTCGGACCGCTAATGCTTATGCGAAACACACATCCGTTTGACAACGCGTTTGGCAACGAGGGGGAAAGATTCACGAGGGGCAGGGGAGAGGCGAAGGTACAGACGATGTCGCTGCACTCACACGCGACATCGAGATTGACAGTGATATTTTGGATTATTCAAGATATCTCCTCTGCCTTCCGAGTACGGAGACAGTTGCGGGCTGTGCGCGTCGAGCGTATATCGACGCTTCGCTCGCGCGAAGCGACTCGACGATGTCGAGGAGAGGAGAGGAGACGAGACGAGGAGAGAAGAGAGAAAATCGGAAAAGGCGCGCTAAAATTAACGTAGTTCAACGTAATGCTTGTGCTTTCGACCATACGAGGAACGTGAAAACTCGGCGCCGTCTCCCGGGGCGATTCAGCTCGCATTTTCAGCCTTCGAACGGACGGAATCCCTCGAAGCCTCTCGCATGCCCCCCTTTCTCGGATTCCCCTTTACCGCGGGGTGGATGAATAAAAAAATCGAGAGGAACGGAGAAAGAACGAGAAGAAGAGAGAGAGAGAGAGAGAGAGAGAGAGGGAGAGAGAGAGAGAGAGAGAGAGGGAGGGAGAAAGAGTGAGCGACGGAGAGAGAAAGAGAGAGAGAGAGAGAGGAGACCCCCTTTCGCGTACCCCCTTTTTTAACCCCCGGAGGCTGCCGGCCGGTCGGTCGGCCGGCACCTGGACCCGAAACCGTTCACCCTTCCAACTTTTTAGAGTTTTCCCCCTTTCTCCGGCCTGCAGCCCCTGGATTCGAGGCTTTTACCCCCTGCGCGATCGCTCGAAGGGTTGTTTTAAATAATAATAACCCAACCCCGATCGTACACGGGCGCACGTATACGTGCACACCGTCGTACGATACGCACACGGCAAACACGGACACATGTACAGGGCGACGAACTCGATGCTCGTCGGGGCCTCAGTATGTTACCGGTGAAGCCACGTGTCGCGCGCGTGATTTTATATCCGATCCCGCCGCGGTGTGACTTACACAGCTAACATATCGCCAACGCCGTATTATTTAAACAATTGTCGCGCGGAGTGTGCACGTGGACGTGAATCGGTTGCGTGGCGCATCGCGCTCTCGAAAGTCGACACCGCTGGAATATTCCGCGACTGGAATATCCCTCTCCTTTTCTCTCTCTCTCTCTCTCTCTCTCTCTCTCTCTCTTTAGTTTTCGCGAATGAATTATCAAAGGACCTCCCACGAGCGTTAAATCGAACATCGAAAGAAAGAGAGAGAGAGAGAGAGAGAGAGAGAGAGAGAGAGAGAGAGAGAGAAAGAGGGAGAGAGAGACACCTCGATGCCTCCTCTAATTAACGCCGTCGAATCCGAGGCTTTGTCGTACACGCGGCGTCCTTCGATTTTTCTCGCAATGCACCTTGCTAATCGAGCGTCTTCACGACGCCAGCCGGTCGGGAAAAGACAAAGAGCGGTGAAGAAGGGCATCACTGACCTTCCGGACAATGGCCGGCGAAGAGCCGCGAAGAAGAGCTCGACCGGCGCGGACGAGGCGTGAAGCCGATGAAACCGCGTTTCGTTTCGCGCGCTGCTCCGTCTTTTCTGCGGTTCCTAACGGTAGACGGTCGTCGTCGTCGTCATCGTCGTCGTCGTCGTCGTCGTCGTTGTCGTCGTCGTCGTCACTGTCGTCGTCGTCGTCGTCGTCGTCGTTGCCGCCACCGCCGCCGCCGCCGCAGCAATCCTCGGCGGGGAAGAAGAAACGAACGGCGCAAGAAGAGTAGTTACGAGGCGAGACTTCGACGGCGAGATCTGCGGCAGGCAATATCTATAGTAATTTGTTCCATCGGCGAGCCGGATGGATGAACTCGTTCGAGCGTTGCGCGACGCGAAGAATCGATCGTGCACGCCGCGCCGTGAATTCGAGATCTCCCCGCGGGAGGAGGAGGAGGAGGAGGAGGAGGAGGAGGAGGAAGCAAGAAGGAGCGCGATCTTTCGCCGATCCCCGCGGTCGAGTAAGATCGGCTCCTTGCTCAAGAGCGATGCTCTTGCTGCTGATTCATGGTAAGCCGGTAAGCGGTTTTGTGTGAGTGCGAGTGATGCAACCCGAATATAGCTCGCGAATATCCGAGGCGCATATGTCTCTGGAGCAATATTGTTTCCAGTGTGAGACGTGTACTTGCGAAACTACGAGTAACGTTGTACGAGTAACGAGTACGCGCAGCGGCTCGTTACCGCTTGTAGAGCAAAGCTAGCAAGCTAGTAGTTTACAGCGACGCTAGCAGGGCAGGATCCAAGCGACGGTTCTCTGTAATTCGCTGTGAAAATTACTCCAGATTTTTCACGACGTTTCACATTTTCCGACGTCGAGCGAAACTAAGATGAAGAGAAGTCTCTCTTTCCTCTTTGTGAACGAAAGCTATTTCTTCAGCTTTGATTTTAAACGCTTTGATAGAAATAGGTCGTTGATCGTCGGTAGTTTTAACGTTGAGGCGAGGAGGAATGTAAAGCAATTATGTCAATGCACTGTTATTCTTGTAAAACGTTCAACGAGCTCTCTCTCTCTCTCTCTCTCTCTCTCTCTCTCTCTGTCTCTCTCTCTCTCTAATAACGAGCTCACTGAATATATATAATATTTCTTATCAGTCGATTCCAAGTACTCATCTTTCCAAGTGCTTGCTTCGGAAAGATACCTTTGAGAGAAGACTTCAGACGCGCGCGTATCGAGTTATTTTCAATAAAGATATGCAACGGGAACGTCGCGATGCACAATCTTTCCCCTTGCCGTCCGGGGATGAGATCGATTATCGGCATGTGCGCGTCCAAACATTCGGCAAGCTCGTCCGCCGGTTCACCTCGCTGGAGGTGAAAAAAGAGAGAACGAGAGACAAAACAGATTCTCCCCCTTTTTTATCCGTTCCCCCCCTGCCCTGCACGTGTGAGAAGCCGAATTCACGAGCCGGCCGCAATTCACGAGTCACGCCGGCGCGCGTTTTGTAGTGGCAATTTTTGCTCGACTCATTACCCTGATCAGCAAAGTCGGTCGCGCACATGTGTCGACGATGGTACAAAAAAAGAGAGAGAGAGAGAGAGAGAGAGAGAGGAGCTGCGCGTTAGGTTCAACAGTGAGGGAAAAAAAGCGAAATATAAAACAGCGGGTAGCGCGCGCGCGCGCGAGAACACGGCTGCGACGGCAGAGGGTTAGTTGGATTTTTAGGGGTAGCCCGCTACCCCTAACCGTGTCATCCCCCCATTCAGGCTGCGGGCACCGGTCCCTCGAAATTGCGCGAGCGTGAGTTTACGAAAAGGTGGAAATAAAGGCTCCACGGCGAATCCGCGTTAGCGTCACCTCGCCCGGTATCCTTATGTCGTCTTGAGCGATTGGTTCGTTCGCCGGTTAATTAGGTAGACGAGCGTTGATAATTCTCCCGCGTCGCTCGATTCTCTGGAAAGTCCAAAAGTAGATTTCCGCATTGACCAGCCAATTTGTACGATATTTTCTCCCGCGTCTCACGATCCATTTATAATCTATACACGTGGGGATTTATGTTCCAATTAAATGCAAATCTCGACAGAGTTCCCGTCTCGCTTCTGACGCGAGGAGGACACATATCTTCGTAAGGTACCATGAAGATTTGTCGACACGACAGATTCTTCCGCGCCGCGAGATTTTCTCCTGTCGCTCGGTTTGCGAAAGCGGTGTTTTCGAACGGGGCGAAATAACGTCGAATGTTCGAGCGCGTTCTCCCAGCAGCGTGCAGACGCTAACGCTAACGCGACAGAAGTGTCAGATTTTTCACGGGCCTTTTTAATTGAGCCAATCGCTCACGGAGGAGCAGAGGGGGTGTCGGCGGTCTATAGAAAACTCCATTGGCTATTAGGTCAATCCCCGCGCTCGTCGGTATCAGCTTGCAGGCATTGTGTTCCATTTTCCACGAGTGCATCGGCGTTCCTTTTTCCCCGCCACTGTCGCGTCGCGCCTGTGCCGCGTTAAAGCGTAGATTTTTTAGCGGGATCTCCGTCACCGTCTACAACGCCCGGCCGTTGTGGGGGATGAGAAAAAAATGTGGATCAGATCCGGCTAGTTGCACAATAGGGCACAATGGCCGCGTAGCGCGTCGCAAAAAGCGTACGCGTCGCCAGTCGCAAAGTTCTTTCCGGCGAACGTGCTCTGAATATTTAAATGGAAAGTTCTATCAGCTTGTATAGAAAATTAAAAAGAAAGAAATTATGTTCGTTCTCTTATACCGTACTGGGGCTGTTACTCTTCGGCAGCTTCGAAACTCCGAAATTTGTAAGCTTCAAAGCTTCGAAGACTAATCTTCGAAGATATTCATTCTGCGAAGCTTCGATATGTTCTTTGTTTCTACGCGCATATATTGCATGCTAGAGAGCGTCTCAGTCATATATTCTACATTTCGCGGATAAGTAATAAATAAAAGTATAAAAAATCAGGCAATGTACAATTCTCGAAATTTCGAAGTTCGTAGAAACTTCGAAGGTTCGAAGCTTCGAAACTTCGATCGTCGAATATTTCCTATCGAAGCTTCCTTTCTTCGAAGCTTCGAATACGAAGACTTCGAAGAAAAATTACACCTCTATACCGCATTCGAGCGAAACATTCGGTCTTGCGATTACGAGCAACGGCGTCTTCGCTGTCGCTTCGAGCGACAATCCGTCGCTTCTCATTTTTCTCGAGAGAGAGAGAGAGAGAGAGAGAGAGAGAGAGAGAGAGAGAGAGAGAGAGAGAGAGAGAGAGAGAGAGATTCCACCTCGAGAAGTATCACGGAGCGTGTTAATTGGATTAAAAGAGCAGTGCACGAGTCTCGAGTCTCCGCGTTTTTAACACGCTGACGTGTATCGATGTAACTAATCGTGAAACTCACTTTCTGTTTCAGATCCGCTGGAGTTGACACGGCGGGTGCAATTTTCGATGGACGACGGACGATGTCGTAAGACTCGGGTCGAGCAAGGTCGGTCTCGAAGTACGTTCACAAACTCGCCCCGTCGTCCTCCGTTCAAAGCATTTTCCCTGGCGATCTCAGCAGCTGAAACGTAAACGACGAGATAAGAATCGTCGAGCCGTAACGATCGCGAAGTTGAGACGCTCGTCGTATCCGCGCGCATTTCTCTCGTCAAGCCGTAAACTGTCATATCTAAACGGCGGAATTATATTTTCCTGCTCCAGATATTTGCGGCGGCAGAACGCGGTTGGCTCTCTGAGTTTGCGATGTTTCGGTGAGTCGCAAAAACCGCGATTTGCGACAGAAATGAACGCTCCATCAGTTGTTCATATCGAATTTACGGAATCAATGCGATTTACTTGATTCTGGCGCGCGTGTCTTCGTTCACTAAAAGTCGTCGCTTCAAACCAATCGAGCGATCGCTTCTTCCTCGCGCGTCACTTAATTTTGCAGTTTTCTCAGAATTCCCTCGCGAAACGAAGAATTATAACAATCCATGAGATGGGATATTTTTTTTCTTTCTCTGAAACGCATTGATCTTCGTCTCACCGTCGTTTACACGCGATTCGTGAGCCGCGCATATTCTCGAGACGCCGGAATTCGTACTTTTCGTTAAAGATCACTTAAACGCCGCTAAAATCACCGCCATGGCGAGTGCAGTGCAGTGAGTGAAGTGAGTGAAGTGCGGTCGCGACGCGAGAGAACGGCTCTCAAACTGAGGCTGCAGTGTTGGTTGCTGAGGAGACTCTGCGGGGATTCATCGTTGGACGACCGGACGTCGCGGGTTATTCCTTCAACGCGAAACGGTGAGTGCGCGTATCGTAGCGACGCTGAAAAAGCGTCGTTTTACGTAGGTCATTTTTAGACTAGGTAAGTCATATTGATTTCCGACGAGAAGGACGAAGCCGAGCGAGGTGACTCGCTCGACAACTCGAAGTCGCTTAACCTGCCAACCGCCACGGTGATTTCCACGGATTTTCCCGATTCACGATTCGGGATGTTCCAATAAATCTTCCGAGTGCAAGCGGATTCTTTGGTTGGCCCGCCGACACAGAGACGAGCGACGATTCTAACACAATGCCGCGTAAATTACTCGCGTTGACTTCAATAACTGGCTCGTAAAAAACCGTGCTCGTTGCGGGACACACGGACTCGCACGCGCGTTTCGTCGGCGTACGCGCTCGGCTCGGTTGCGAGTGACGAACAATCTGTAATTGTTACCACGATGTAATAATTAGTCTGACGGGCGGCTCGGAGAGAACCTCCGAGAGAGAGGGAGAGAGAAAGAGAGAGAGAGAGAGAGAGCGAGAGATGCGACTCTCGACGCTCGAGCGGAAATACTCGTGTAACTGGCTCGCGAGAGCGCGAGCTCGGCCGCTTTTTCCCCGCGGCCTCTCTATCTCTTCCTCCGCCTCTATTCTTCCGTGAAGCCGCATAAAACGCGTTAAACCGTGCCCCGCGGTCGATCTAAACTTATTACAGACGATTATATGCCGCCGCGGAATGTGGGCCCACCGACGTGGCGCTTTTCTCAATAACGCGGACGGCTGACTAATCCACCATGTTGTCGGTCAGCCCGCCGCACTTTCTTCACTTTGTAACACACAAATTGCGCAGGATATGGATCAATAGGTCCGTTGCTCAGAGCCGCGTACACAAGTGCGATTCGCGCGGCCGGAGCGCGATTCGAAGAAGCGATGAAAGATCCGCTTGCCTGAGCGCGAGCAATACGCGCCATTTTTATTACGCCTCCGCGTAATAAACGTAATTTCCTGCTTTGATCCGCTTCGCTGACGCGGGCGCTGGCAAAAAGGAGAAAAAGGAGAAGGAAAGAGGGACAAAAAGGCAGCGCGATATTCCCCTTTTCTTTAATTAGAGCCACGTTAGCCCCGGCCATTCGACGAGGGAGGGGGGAGGAGGGGGTAGGGAGAAAATGGGAGCGTGACTGCGCAAACCTTTCTGTCAAAACCCGGCCAGCGGAAGGACGTGCCTGCGGGACGAGAGTCCTTTTCCTGCGAAACGCTCGCGAGAACGATCGGATTTGCTAGTGTCGAGGATCAAATGAAGTTTCGACGCGCTGCTTAAGTCGCGTAGTTGACGCGGCCAAGGGGGAAGGAAGGAAGGAAGGAAGGAAGGAAGGAAGGAAGGAAGAAAGGAAGGACTTGGCGAGAATTAGCGCCGCTGTGTTTCTTTCCACTGATCCTTCCCATCACTCCGCGCGATAATCACTCCGCGTTATTTGCATACGCGACGAGAGCAACGGCGGAATGCGCGACGTTAACAGTCCGGCTAATACAGAATCTCTTCTTTTGCGCAGCGCTGTGTTCCGGGACAGAAATCGGCCGTGAAAAGTCATAAAACGCGATCGTCCTTCCGCCGGTGATTTTCCTTTATAATCACGCGGCCTAATGTTTGCTCTTCGCTAGCGCGTCGCGTCGCAAGCAAGAATGATGCTGCGGCTCGGAGCGCGAGCGGAGAACAGCGGTGGAAAAAAAATTGGGTCGGTCGTAAAATTGCGGTTGTCGAAGGTGCAAGCAGGTGAGCGGCGGGGGATGGGAACGGGGTGGAAAAAAAGTCGCTGGTCCGTGCGGGCGCCTATAATAGCGCGTCTAAGCTGGTGGAGCGTATAAAAAATAATTACGGGAGATAACCGCGAGCGCGAACGGCGCTTCGCTGTCGCTTCTTGCCGCCTCGCCGGACGCGTAAAACTTCTTCCCGCGGCCGTGCGAAACGGTTTCTCGAAAACCGACCGCTGCTGAGCGATCGGCGGGAAGGGAGGAGAGGATGCCTTCCGGTAAGACCGTTCGCACGTGAGACCGAGAGGAGGTAAAACACCGTTTCGGTCGCACGCCGGAAAACTCTCGCGAGAACGCACGGGAGAGAAAAGACAGAGAGCAAAGGAGGAGAGAGAGAGAGAGAGAGAAAGAGAGAGAGAATCTTCAAAGAAGCGGCGGAGCAGCTCTGCAGCGCGAAGTCAGCGATAAATTTCAATCAGCAGAATGGAAATTTACAGCGCGGATATATATCTCAGTTTGCGCCTCCGGTAGACGAGACGAAGCTGCTGCTGCTGCTTTCGCCGCGATTCTGCCGCGGAAGGAGCGCCTCCGATCGAACAATATACGATATCGATTTCGAGCGCAAACGCGTCGGCCGCGGTGACGCGTTCGATTGTTACACAAGGCACTCTCGACATATCCCGAACTTTCGCTCCTGCGCAAGCCACGCGCGTAGTGTAGGCGACGCGGACGTGGGCATTTCCGCACGCCATTTTGGCCGAGCCAACAGTCATCAGGATCGTCCTAACAATGGGCCGAAAGTAGCCCAGGGGTAACTCGCAGACAGCATACTGATCCCCGGCGGGGGATTCGACGGGGGTGCCGCGTGAGGGATCGTCCTTTACCCTCCCGATGGGCGAGCCCATTGGTCAGATCAGGATTCTGTCCCTGGACGGGACTATCGATTATTTGTTACCGATTTCGAGGGGCTACCTGCAGGACACAGTCCCCACGTCTGCCCGCGGCCGCCGGAGGTCCGCCCTTCGCCCTTCGCCGTCGCCTTTGCCTTGACACGCGCGCGAAAGCCACACATTGCAGTCCTTTTAAAACTCGCTATGCAAATCGACCGACCCATCTCGCGCCGGCTCGCCCGACGCAAATGATCCCGCCGCGGATCGGCCAGCTGATCGGCCGAGCCGATGGTCCCTTTTATTTGCTTTCTTCCTTGCTGGCGTCTCTCGAGTTCTCGGTTATGTACGCGCGTCCCACGCGCGTGTCCGTTTCATTAAATCAGCATAGCGCGCAGTCTTATCGCGATCGCAATTAGCATATCGAGGGAAGGCTAATGCGAGAGAATTACGGGAATTACTTTCGTCCTGCCGTGGGAGTCTAGGATCACGGCGGGATTGTGGGCGGGGCGGGAGGCGGCAGGCATTAGGCGAAACCGCGGGCGAGCGCGGTTACGCGCTGCGATAACGTGCGATCGACGTTGTAATTTATTAATTCCGCGCGGTTGTTAATTCGTGGTTACATCCGCCGGCACGTAGACTTCTCCGTTCTCCCTTGGGCAGCAGCCTTCTTTTCGCCGACGAAAAGAGCGTCCGATGATCCTGGGACGTTTCCAACTCTCCCTCTCTCTCTCTCTCCCTCTCTCTCACTCTCACTCTCTCTCTCTCTCTCTCTCTCTCTCTCTCTCTCTCTCTCTCTCTCTCTCTTTCTCTCTTCCCGCTTGCCTCTACCCGTTTGTTCTTACCGGCGAGATAAGATGGAGGAGAAGCTGCTATTTAATATCAACATCACGCGCGTAACGAAAATGACTGTTCGCTATTCCGAGTGGAATTTAAAAGCTCGTCACGATTTCCATTCCCTTTCGGTTTGCTCACCTTCGCCTTTTCCGTCCCTCTGCCACTTCCTCCTCCCTCCAGTTCACCTCCTCCGCTTTTCCCTTTATCCCGCGCTCAAACGCGGAGTCAACGGCTAAGCGGAGGAGTGCGTGTGTGGCGCTGACATGCAGGGCAATTAAAAAATTGCGTGGTCCGGGGAAAAAAGCGGCGAGAGAACGGAGAACGATCGTACCACTGTCAGCTGGTACAGGACGACAGTTCCCTTTGTCCTGCGCGCCTTTGGTCCCGGATACCTTTTTTTATCTCCCTCCCCCATGCGCTCTGCCCGGCCGCGCGATCCGAGAACCGAGAAAATCAAAACGCCCGTCCGATATCGCAACAGGGCGAAGGGATTATCTCCGCGGATATAAAGTTTCGGCGAACATGTGAAAGCGTAGTAAAAGAGAGAAAGAGAAAAGAGGGGGATATGTAACAGAGCGCAGATTCCTCTGAGAATAGCAGCGAGAGGGAGAGAGAGAGAGAGGGAGAGAGAGAGAGAGACGCGTTTTCAGTCTCGTAATTAAATTTCACTCCTATATTCGTTTTTCCGCGAAATGTCAATTGAAATATCGATTTTAATGTGTAAACAATATAACGCTTTTCCACTATCGTTTCTCTCGCGCCGTTAGCTGCGCTTGAATATGCCACGGGTACTTTACCCCCTCAATTCGCCTCTTTATATGCACTGCTCGTTTACGAATTTAGATATTTCAAGTGACGCGCTCGAAGCGGCGTTATCTAGAAGTAAAACTCTTTCCGAAGTGGAACCGCGGCCGTTGCGCGGCTTCTCCTCGCATTTTCGTACTTTTCCAATTAATTTTCAAAATATCAGACGGTTCTATTTGTCGCCTTTTAAATCATCACAATGAAATATCGCGAATACTTATTCCAAGATTAGCTGGGGGATAAATTTGGAGTTTGAGACTCGATCTTCACCGTTAATAACTCTCGGTACAGATTACGTCGCTCATAAAACGAACGAACCATTCCTTCCTTCTCGTTTCTAACCTCTGTGTATATCATATCTCGAAATAAACGTATGATCTTTTAAAACATCGCTCGTTAGTCAGAAAGTCCGTTGAACCTGCGTTCTAGTAAGGCTCGTTTAACTTAACTGAAAGTATACAGCGACAGACATCCGGTAAAATCCACCGGCTCGTATTGGATACGGAATCAATACTGCGCGTTTTTTATGTATCCAATCCATTGGCGAAACATTTCGCTCGTACTAACGGGAATGCCATCGGAGCGCATAATTCGCACAAACGTCAAGAACTCGTGCACACATTACAATGACCGCGCGGCAAACGGCGATGAGTCTAGACGGCGGAAAATTAAGAGATGCAATTTATATATCAGAGAGAAAGAAAGAGCAGCTACGAGAGCGTCGGCGAGTTCGGCCCGCTAAAAATCAATCGCGGTCCATCGCGCGCGCGGTAATGGAGAGAGATGCGTAATTCGGCGCGCGAGTGACATTAATTTCCAGACGGACTGACAGAACTCGCGCGCTCGTTACCTCACTCGAAATCATCGAAACGCGAATGCGGACGTACGCGCGGGGAGGAA